CAAGACAGTCTCGGTCTGGACACAGACACCTTCGATACAGTCGACGACGACAAGAGCACCATCAGTGACACGAAGGGCAGCAGTAACTTCAGAAGAGAAATCAACGTGACCGGGCGAATCGATCAAGTTGATCAAGAAATCCTTGCCTATAAACAAACGATGTGTTGTCTGTAAGTACCAACTGAAATACTAAAGGGAGTATTTCTCAATATTTTACCAATAGTCTTCTGGTTCTTGATTTCCTTGATATCTTCCTCGTGCTCCAAAGCGAAGTACATGGAGATAGCGGTGGACTTGATGGTAATACCACGCTCCTGTTCATCCTTACGGGTGTCCATGAAACGGGTCTCACCAGCACGACCGGCAGAGATAATACCGGCCTTGGAGACCAAGGAATCGGTCAAAGTAGACTTGCCGTGATCGACGTGAGCAATGACAGACATGTTACGGACGTTCGTAACTTTGTCCTATAATTATTATTATAAAACATGGGTTGGATTAGCAAATGTTAGCCGTTTATAACATAAGCTCCCCGTTGTTATGTAAAATGTCGCCGGCGAATTCCGTATTTTCTTGCTTGGTTGTGTTAGCTATACAAAATGAATAGCTTACCATCAAACCACGGATCTCCTCAATAGTAAAGTTCTATAGACACGTAAGACATCCAGGATTCAACGATTAGTTACATTGAACACTCTCAGTGCAGGTTCCCTCTTTGCATAAATCCTGTCTTTTCCAACTTACCACTAGTTACGCGCGCATGGGAAAAAGCACACACAAATAGGTATAGGTTGTTGTTGTTGTTGTTATGTTATTATGGTTGTAAAGCGTGTGAGAATATGTCATTTTTTGGCTTGCTTGCATCCATCACACTTCCCCACCCCCACCCCAAACATTTTCCCACACGTCCATCTGACAGGTAAACACATCCATCCATCCATCATCCATCCATCCATTCACTTCACAACCGATTGACGTTAACCCCAAGGTAGGATACTTTACCCATATTGAATAGCTTGGCAAAGGGATGGAGTGATGAAGAGAACTTCGCCTTTGGGCTGACTTGAAAACTTCAAGACTGGGCAGGCAAAATGAAGCAATCTGATTCGTTGCTTTTCTCCAACTTTCGCGTTCGGGCGGCATAAGCTTCACGGGTAAACTATTTAATTTACTCGGCTGGTTTCGCAAAAGTTGCTCATTTGCTAGCGTCACGTCCAGCATGCTGGATAAAAACTGCCAGTTTATTTATTGGATTTCCACTAATACAGCATATGTTTGTTATGGTTGCATATGGAATGGGAGCATGGCCTCCGTTGTATAAATTTTTTATTACATGATAAGGTTAGAAAGCAAGAGAGGCAAAGAACAAATGTTATTACTTGTGCCTTGATTGAGAATGGTACAATACGAGTTTGTTTGCGCTCAATACGTTGCTATACATTGAAGAGCCATGACAAAGAAGAGAAATAATTATCTCGTGTCATACTTTGCTGGATCGTATGAAAAATAGAATGGTGTCGCGTCTGAGGGGTATGTGAAAAAACACACGTGCGATTCCAATTTAGTAGAGACGACACTGTTGATTACATATGGTATCGAAGTGTATGCTGCACCTGCTGTAGATTCAATGAATCTGAAGGGCTTTACCTTGCGCTTGAGAGCCAGATCACTGAGCGAGAGCCAAAGGACGGACCCAAGAGAATATAGAACCATGAAGTCATCACACCCCGTCAATTCCTAATGCTACCGTAGAACTACCACAACACCAATAAACCGTACATAAAAGGAAAGATTTGGCGCGCAATATGAATATGTTCCTGTCTGAGGAGCGACGCTGTCCCTATAATGCAAAGTAATATGGAAAAATAGCAGACCCATCATCTCTCCTTCCAATGAACGAAAAGCTTTTAACGCGAGAGTAACATCCTGAGGATCTACTGTGAAGAAGTGACCACATGTACACGAGGACGCGAGAGGTATTAGTACATACAAATGATTGGCATTGATGTAAAACATTGTATGATGACAGAAATATGCGAAAGAATGAGAAAAAAGGTAATTGAATTATAGAGCACTTACAATGTCTCCATCTCCGTGTATTTCCATATACTTCTGAGATTTTCACTCAAGCAGTACAGTAGCGCTGAAGAGTATCATTATTATGATACAGTATGCGAACTATTGAATCCAACGATGGGTTCACATTGACTGCATATCAACATCTGACGCAGCCCACCGATACACTCCCCCTCTTTTTTCTCTTCTTCGTAGCAATTAGCACCGCCACTATCGTGACCATCTCCGTTTATATCTATTGACAATATAGATAATTATAACCGGCTACTTTTTCATAAAAGAAGCCAGACCAAGTATGTACTGTATCCAACAAATCACTCGAGTAATATTTCTCAGATTAAACCACGTCATTAGTCTTAAACCGGCTGGCACCTTTTACTTTCCTGTCTCATGTAATCGATATATTACATTGCAAAGACCAGTACATAGATATGGATGGGAAAAGGACTTAGGACAAGAGACTTAAAGCTTATCAGTACGCTCTCCATAGCTTTGACGCGCCAAAAGGTTTGTAAGACTTTTTTTTGAGCGACACAATCGCCCATTGTGCACATTTCACTGTTTTAAAAAGTATGATATTGTAAAAGTTTGATAACTCTGTCTCTTGGTTCAGGTATCATAAATGCTTTATTCTATCGATCTTTTTTTGGCGCGACGTATGAAAATATAATACTAGGGAAGTAATCAATTTGCTGGATATAGTGGTAACTCCCAAATCAAAAAGGTACATACTAAACCGAGCGTCTGCTGGAGTCCGCTTGCTGCCATATCAAATGCGAAGTTGCTTTCTGGACGTGAGCCGTGGAACCTTCCTCAACACCATTGTCATCACGTACACACTAGCCTCTTCTTTTTTCTTTCACGCTGGTTTTCCAAGCTTTTTTGCGCTTTTATCCTACAATCATTTGTCCTGGTATACAGTACATGTTGTCTCTTCTTCGGAGGAGGTCCCTCAGGAGGTTACGTACTCTCGCATGATAAACGTTTCTTTCAGTGGAAAGAGAGATGACTGCTCTGTTTTTTATCATTACTACTTTGCATTATAGTGACAGCGTCACGCTTAAGACAAGAAGTTATTAATATTTCGCGCCAAACATCTCCTTTCTATTTTCTTGGATGTGCGCTTTCCTGCATGTTTTATACAGTTGCACCCCGGTTTTTGCAACCCTTGGGTTTGCAATTCCTCGTATATCTGCAACTTTTTTTTAAAAATCCATAAAAACTTGGTAGTTTCGCAAATTTGCAACTTGCAAATGAGTTTATACGATTTGCACGTTATCGGGGTAAAAACAGCTTCAATTCATATCAACTGAAAGAAGCATCTGTTGCGTATTATCGAGGAATAAAATGATACGGTTACTACACTAGACAGCTTCAATAAAAGAACGGTCTTATATATACAAGTAGTAGCATTTAGAGCTGTGTGAAATCCCCACAGAACGTATCGTACATCATCTCTGACAGATAAACAATGGGCTAGTGTTTATAGGATGACTTATCCAGTGTCTAGTTGAAGCAGAATTGTTTACCCCGTTACTTGCAAATTCTCACTTTTTGAAAAAAAAAAAATCGGAAAACCCTCGGTTGCAAAAATCGGGGTACAGCTGTAAGTGCTGTGGTAGTGCTACGGTAGCATTAGAATTTGAGGTATGGTATCTCTACGGATCAAGTTTTTTTCTGGGACTTTTGGCTCTCCCTCAGGGACATGGCTTTAAAGAGCAAAGTGAAGCCTTGTACATTCGTTTAAATCTACAATTCAGGTGCAGCATACACTTCGATACAATATGCTACCATCAGTGTCCTAGCTAATTTGGAATCGCATGTGTGTTTTCTTATACATATACCACCCAGACGCGACAACTATCTATTTTCACTCGATTCAGCATAGTATATTTGTTTGGTCATGTCAACTGCTCTGTTTAAAAATGCTCTCAAATATCTATGTAAAAACATAGAGTATCTTTCGAATTGTTTAGGGAGTTTATATGCCAAGTTCCTAATGTTAAAGGATATGATCTGCCAAGCTCTTAGTATGCTTTTATAAACAATACTGTTTATATCGATCATAGTAGGACATGATCCTATGACTTCAATGATAATACAAATAGAGCATGGTGCTCCTTATATATTACAGCAGATGCGTGTTACACTCTAGACCATGGTTACTGACGGAAAAAAAGACATTCACAACAGCTAATATTGTTATTGTTGCACATTAACTTATCAGGAATCTTTTTTTCACGGGTGCATCACGTAACAAAATGCACAAGTACACAAGGACGGAAGACAATGATATACAGAGTTCCATTGTTTGTTGTCACTGGGCTATTTTTTCCGTTTTGCGGGTAAGATGCATAGATTTAATCAGGCTTAGTCAATTGCTATTGTCATAGGGCAAAAAAAAAGTGTGATTCATATGCCCATATCTGTGCACTGTGCATAGCAGATCCGGCTCACCTGCTTTTCCACAGAAAAGTTTAATTTTCGATTGTCATAGCAACCATATATATAAAATGACTTGGTCCGAATGTAAAAAGGTCCGTGCATGTAAGTTTTGCATCGTAGAATGCATTATGTGCTATGTTTTTCATTATAGTGTGAATAACTATGATACTACAGTTTCAATTCTTGAAAAAAAGGAGGGATGTACATTTTGTTTTGTTGGTGTGTGTGTGCTGTGCGTGTGTGTGTGAGAAAAGTGAGGGATAGGATGGTATGAAATGTGTTTGTGTGTGCTTGCTTACAAAATTTTCAAGAGGCACACAAAGACAACAAAGAGATGGTATATGTGTCTATGTCTGGATGGATGGATGATGGTGATTTTGATGATGGAGTAGACGAAGAACACAGAGAAGGTCTATGTAATAGCGTAGTTGGATAGAGTAGAGGGAGGTATAAGGAGGTTAGGGAGGGAAAAACAAACTTTATACAACGAAGCGACGATGTGACATTGGCCAACCTTCGTCTTCACGGCCCTCCTCTTCTGAAACAACGTCGAGGTTTTCAAGCTGGGTGCCGAAACGCGGTACCCGTACATACGCATCCGTACCCCATCCATCCATCGTCACAATATTGATATTTCCGCCCCAGTATTCTGTATAGACCCGACTCATTGGCAGGCCAATGCCTAGTGGGACCGTGACTTGATCATGCTCGGTGATACGTGCAGCCAGCTGCGAGACATTTCGAAAGTTACCAAAGCGAGCATGCGGTCGTTGTCCATATGACCATATCTGGTTGTAAATCGAAGCAGACATCCCTCCTCCTTGATCCGATATACGGAAAAGAACGTCAGCGTCGTTGGAGCAGACGGTGACCTTGATTGGCGGAAGCGTGTGTTGTGGATGGGTTGCAATAGTATGTCGGAACGAGTTTGAAAGGAGTTGGTAGATTATGTATTCAATGTGGTCAAATATGTACGTGAACCAGACGTCTTGTCCGTCTATCATCACTTCAGGTGCCTGGACGTTATCTGCTGCACTATGCGCTCGGGCCAACGCAACGCACTGGGCGACGGTATCCCGAGCAGAGCAGCTGCTGAACACTGTGTCGTGTGATGCTCTATTATTCAACATATCTGTTGCTGCGGTTGTTGTTACGGTCGTCGGCGTCAAACCATGTGATGATGATGAAGCAGCACCACTACCAGGTGATAACTTATTTCTGAGTTGTTGCGACAAAGCCAAATGCTGTTCTGCTAGGACTCGGCGGGATACTCGGGAGCGCAGCGTTGCATGCATGAAGCGATCGATACGGTCAGGGTCGATATGTTGTTCACATTCGGAGATGCCCAGAACAAGGCGCGGGATCGCGACCATATGAGACTGGAGCGATTCGATCAGCTTGTCACAGAAAGCGTCATTCTCCTGGAGAGTGCGAATCGGCGGCACTTTACGCAGTCGTTCAAACGCTTGCCAATAGATATCGTAGACGGATTGAATATGCGGGTTGGTGCCCACAATGAACGGTAGTTTTTGGAATTCACGTATCCTATGCGATATTCGAACGGGTAGTTCGCGCCGTACATAGTTGGCGGATTTGAGGAGTCGATCCGTGTTAAGCTGACGTTCATAGAACAAAAGTTGTCGCAGCGTTATGGGAGTTGTCTTTTGCTGTACATATTCGTCCAGAAGTTTGTTTCTGTAGAAATGAAGGTTGGAGTCGACGTTTACTACAGTTCGTGAAGGAGGAGGAGGCGACGTAAGAGAAGAGTGAGTAGGGGCAGTAGACGGGGATGGCGAATGGCTAGTTGATTCTTTTAAAATGTGCGAAGCTTGCTGTTGCGCCACTCGAACATGGGATGAGAAATGACGAACTCTGGAGGTAATTGTTGTGGTTGCTGTTTGCATTCCGTCTGTAGATATCAGTAATAAAGGAAGAAGGGGAAAAGAAAGGCGAAAAAGCTGAACCATTTCTCTACCCAAACGAATTAGAGCTCCTAATGAGTCACTTGCATATGCGAGATACAAGTGGCCCAAAACGATTCAATTTTTCAGGATCAAAGGCCAATTCCCGATTTTGTGTAACAGAACCAACTACAATGAAGGTTTTTTTTATGAAAAACATCACATGTTGTAGCAGTATCGATCGATTAAGGTTGCCATACACTACCTGCTTACCGTATTCACTTGGTCAACGTGAGATCTCCATGCACTCACAGGGACAAAGCATCTCTTTCTATGTCACAAAGATCATGATTATCAGGCTTAAGCTGCTATGCATGAGCACTGCAGTCGTCTTGTTGCCTTCACCAATGCCAGCTCATGTTGACACACTCAAACCGATTTGATATGGATAATATTGGTTATTTTCTGACGTCGAGTCACAACATGATTACAAGAAAAACTTCACAAAGACGACGACACCATTGCAATAGTAACCGTATCGGACAGTAGTAACAGCAGAGGTAAGTACGGAGGAAAGACTGCTCGTTCTTTTTCTCAGTCAAGTATGGACTAGTGGGAGATAAAAGATAGGCGCGGCCCCTCTTTTATTTATACGTGCCAAAACATTCCGTTCGTCACTGATTAAACTTGATGTAGTAATAGCTGACAGCAAATTTAAGCTAGTACCAAAGCATCCCATGACATCAAACACTCATATCCTAACATGCACTCTATGTGGGATGCTTATCATTACAAAGGAGGATGCACATACTCTCATGCCATACTAAGACGAGGTTAGCTAGTGTATGCGCATAACGGCGGTATAGCGTACATGTAAATCGTTATGATCACCTATCACACGCTTTTCCCGACGAAGCATTTTGTCAAAATCAACTTTGTGGTCAGTATGAAAAGAAAACGGATGATCGGCAGCACAACCGAAACAACTGCTAATGTGCCAAGGAAAAGGAAGCGCCTGAAAAGAAGAAGCCGACAAAAGAACAATTCAGGGACCCTGCCAGCAAGAAAGGAGGTGTGTGGGGTGGGTGGGGGGATATGTAATGCAAGCCTTCTTTAACGACATTCAGAATATTTATATTCGAATATCAAACAAACGGCTCTGCCTTTTGAGGAATAGTTGATCGCTCCATAAAGAGCAAAGTCTATTAGCACTTGGGGCCCGGAAATGTTGCATGCTGGTCTTCTATCGTACGAATAACAACAACAAAGCAAACAGCGCATAGACCAACAAGAGCGGGTGTCCCGCATTGTATGTGGGGGAAAGTCAAAAGGGCCTTGCATATTCATTGAGCCGACCCCTCCCCCACATGTTATCTAGACCCAAAACATGTCACATTCTCAAATAAACTTTTGGATGAAACAATTTGGCTTTTATATATGTTTATGTTTATGCATAATCGATCTGCTAATCGACATCATCATAATAATAACTACTTACTTGGCAGGAGTGATAGAGGAAAGGGAGGAGGGGCAAGAGTATAAAGAAAGAACGTGCGGGTCGTCAAATGTCATGTGATAGCTGACCAACTACAGTATGAACAGCATCCATCAATACCAGCAACAACTTTAAATTCTGTGTTTTGATGTTTGTTGTGGTTATGTATTAGGCGCAGACATCATATTCCTATCGTCATCATAACATTCATTATCCGCTTATACTACATCCAGCCATCACCCATTTCTGCTTGCAACGGTTAGAAAGCCAAGTCATGATCCGCACATGTACATAATATCTGTACAAACTAAAACCTTCTTTATCAGCAATTATTATGCCTATCATATTACTAATAGAACACTGAGATGCGTGGGAGTTGGTGAACGGATAGGACAACGCCACAAAGTTGCCTAATATGGTGACGCGTCTCTTGGTTTCCCGCTTTCCCCACCCGATCTACCACATGCGCATTGTATTATCAACCTAATCGTAAGTACAATAGTTGACAATACCTTAAAGAAAAGACCCACGATATGTAGACCAGGCACGTATGAATCAATGAGTTCAAAGTTTATTTGAGCACTTGGTAAGCTACCTGCAACATTTCTTATTAACCGCTACCGTTATTTTTGGCTGCTTACAATTTACTTCTTTGGCTGCCACTGTCGCCGCCGCCGGTGATGAAGTTTATCCATTAGCAAACACCACGTTCGATTTCTTTTTTTAGCCTTTTTGCGCTTGTTGTACCTTGACCTTTTTTTTATTCGTTACAATTTCCATTCATCAAACCAATTCGGCCAACAAAGGGAAACATTTTCGCGGGTTACGAATTACACAATGTCGTCCTTTTTTGTTTCAGAGAACAATGGCGCTTCGCAGTTACCAGAACCAACACGTCCAAAGCGCCCGAGATCTAGTTTAGCGGTAATTAGTAAAAATAAAATAAGAAAAAAAAGGGGGGATTGCTGTTAGTGGTGGTCCACCATTTGTTCAAAGTCTCTTTTCATTCCACGGAAAAGACAAATAAAAAATAAAAATAAAAAATGGCCATTCATTTTAAGTCCCCATTATGGTAGTGCATCCGTTGTCGAAAGAAAAAAGTAAAGTGCGACTTTGTCCAACCAACGTGCAACCGATGCGCCGCTGCAGGACTTCCGTGCAGTTATGCGACACCCCCGCGACGAGTAGACGGCCATGCTTTTGACCAACTAGGCAACCACGTTGAAGAACTCAAGGAGCGCATGCAGAAGATGCAAGCAGAGCTGGCATTGATGAAACACAATTTGCATCCTTTTTCGCCCACTCCTACTTTGTCAGCTACTTGTGCCAGCAACGACCCAACGAATCTTCATGATAGTACGGCCGTATCTGTAGTATCAACAATGGCCACACAAATACCCTTGACCATTCCTCCATCGCTCTCTGTTGCTCATTCTTCCGGACCAGTTGTCGTCTCCCAGCAACAGCAACCATCAGTCACCTGGAAACTATCGCTTTCACCCTCCGGCCTACGTATTGATACCAACATTGCAAGCGTGGCAGACCTTTATCGAATCCTTCTCAACGGTATCAGCCAGCTCAATGTTACCACAGATCCATCCATCAGCTTATTTGGCACACCAGAAGCTATCAAAGGGGTACGTGACAGACGAAGACACATCAACGATGATGGCGGGTCAATTGATGATTGTAATGACAACAGCAACACATCGACGCGGTTATCACATCAGAGTGGTGGTAATGCTAGTGGCGGACGCGTTTGGGAAGTGGATGAGAACGAGGCGCGTAAACTTCGCAAAGTAAAGGTGCATTTACTACCAAAAACCAAGATGGACCATCTGATGCATACATGCTATAACTCGTGTTTTGTGGCCTACCAAATTGTCGACAAGGCTGCTTTTACGCGACAATACATCAATGAAGAGTTAGACCCTTTGCTCTCTAACTCAATCAATGCATGGATGTCCAAACATGGGTGTATCTATCACGGGGTAGAAGAAGCATATGATCCGGTAACGATGGGCGAAGAATACTTTAACAATGCCCGGCAGTTGCTCAAAAAGTGCTTTGACATCAGCAGCCCGACGACAATCCATGCGCTTCTGCATCTTTACATGTATCAATTGAATAGCGAACGTTCCAATATGGCCTACCTGTACATTGGACTGGCGATTCGAATGGCGCAAGATTTGAAATACCACAAAAAGGATTACATGTCGAGCGATATGCAGCAACGAGAAACAAACAAACGACTCTGGTGGTCAGCGTACTGGTTAGATTTGTCTGCCGCACTTGAATCCAACAGGCCGACAATGGTAGATGACAAGGACTGTGATGTGGACTATCCTGCAAAGCTGGATTCAGAAGATGAAGAAACCGGTTATCGTCTCAGTTTCTGCACATGTTCGATCAAGCTGATGCGGATTCGAAAGGACATTACCAAACATTTGCCGGTTGAACAATCGGGTCAGTCGCTTTTATCTGCCATATCGCGGTTAGAGAATACTTTGACACACTGGTTGAATGATCTGCCACGAGCCTTGCGATTCACTGAAGAGCAGCAGCAACAATTTAATAAAGACAGCAACAGCGATCAGGGGTCGTCAACATCATTTAGACGAGACGCAATGCTTATCCTCAATGTCCAGTATCAAACGACTTGGATCATGCTACACCAGCTGTTCCTTCCTAAGCAAGGCCATGCAGCTACTCCCGTTGCGCTTTTGTCTCTCAACATCTGTACGAAATCTGCCAACGCGATCACCAAAATGCTTGCAACTCAACGTTTGAAATGGTGTCATTTTGGGTTTGCGTTGGACGGTGTTATTGCAAGCGTGGCGATCCATCAGCTCAACGCACTCTCCAACGAAACAGGTGTCGCCTGCCTAGCACAGCGCAATTTGATCATTACGGCCGATTTGCTGAGAAACTGTCCGTTGATCTACATGGACAGAATCAACAGTATCATTGAAAGTATCCAAGCGTTTTTCAAGAAAAACAACTTGTCAGATAATCTCAACGACGTACCCCCTGTCAACGAAGACTCGGTCAACCGCCAATCAATATCATCTGTGTTTCATCCTGACGAGTTTGAAGCCCCTGGTTCTTCTTCTTCTTCCTCGTCCCTACAACAAGAACAGAACGAGTACCACTCAGCACTAGCAGCAGCACCAAAGGGACGTAGCCACCATCATCTGGAGGTCCCTATAACAGTTTCTTCGGGAATGTCATCGTCAGCAGCATCACTTTCTCCAAACAGCAGCACTGCATCACTGTTGACCAGTCCAATTCCGATGGCGATATCACCGCAGCCACCGACTATACATGTTCAACTAGCTACTAATGACACCACTTTGCAGCAGCAACAACAGCCACAACAACAACAACACAGCAGCAAACCATCATCATCATCATCCATTCCGCTGGGTCAAGGCATGATCGACGATACCAACAGTTTGCTTTTCAACAGCTATAGTACATTATTCGATTATAATAACTTGACCAGTGCCGCTGCCGCCGCGAATACGACGACTACTACTGACGCTGTTGCTGGAAATAATAATGGTAGTAGTAGTAGTGGTGTTAGTGTTAGCACCCCGACAGGTATCATGACTACGAGTGCCACCGACGAAAATCACAACAACATGGAATCGCTTTTGATGGAATTTGATGCGACATCCGAAACATTTACGCAAAGCATGTTTGCAGCGGCCATGGCGCCGAATATGTTTGCGGGTACGGACAACAACAATAACAATAACAGCAATGGCGGCGGTGGAATGTTCGCGACCGCAACGACCGATGCATCCTTATTTGCTGCGCATCAACAACAACAACAACAACAACATGCAGGATACCCAAAACTGATGAATAACGGCACGACGACGGCGACGGCGACTGCAGCAATGGGAGCTACTATTACGGCTAACACTAATAATAATGTCACGACGAACAGTGATCATCAACAAATCAATGCACTTCACCAAGCGATATTACGACGATACCCTCATCATCATCTTCAATTCCAACAAGGAGATTTTGATCCCGCCATGTTTCTCAGCCAACTTGATCCTACTACTGCTGCTGGATTAATAGCATCGACCTCCTCCTTGCACCAGCAACCCTCAACCACAGGAGCATCATCTTCTTTCAGCAACAGCAATAACGATACTAATGTGATGGATACTTATGCTGCTAACAGCACCAATCATACTCATAATGCTGAATTCACGGCGGCGTTTTTGGCAGCGTCAAGGAAGCGCATGCGCGAGTGGGATGGATCTGTATAATCATGATAAACATTCATAATGATAATAAAATTGTAATAATAACAACTGTACAAACTCCAAGTATACCCTCAGCAGTATCAGAAGAGATGCATCATGTTTAACTACATACACTGCTACACATTAGCAAGTTGCTTCTTGATCGCAACTTGAAAAAAATCATGTGCACATGTTAAAAATTACAAGTTGATATGTAAAATTGACAGTTTGATGAAATTATGCTTTGCTTTGTTATATATTTTTTCTGATAGAGAAAAAAAAATTGACTGCTGTACATATAAATTGTCAGCTTGGATTATACATTTATACTCACTTTGAATATTTACCAGCTATATCGATATTGCTACATCAATAGAGATCTTGCTTGTACATTTCATATAACGTATAAATGCCCAAAAGTTTACATATGTGGACAATAGTGAGGGTTGAAAGTTAGCGAGAACAAGCTTCACTGGTAACCTTTGCTATTCTTGCTTTCTATTCTCGATGGCTCCAGAAAGTCTGGTAATGACAAGAGCTGAAAATTGACGTGTGAAATTAAAAGGAGGGTCGACTGTGACTGAAGCATGTGCGCACGGCGTTCCTGCATTTATGCAGTTTCGGAAATTCACCCCTTCCGCTTGTACGGGGATTTCAGTAAATGGGTACATATATCAAGTAATTTATTAAATAAGTGTGAGAGCAAAATTGTTAATAACGCTTAGCATATACGACAAAGGAACGAGATATCTAAAAGGTTATTTTCGGAAAGTGTGTATTATGTCGTTTTGGCATTGACTGCCTGTCAAATTTGTCTATCATTAGGTAAATATATTCTCCTCCTCCTCCGCAAAAACGTGTCTTCCTTTTGTTACGTTCTTCTAGAGAGTAATGGCATATGCCTTGAGCAGCGAAGAATAGATGCACCGATTATGCCCTTATCACCCCGTTCCAGAAGCTGCTACGTTGACATGAATTATAAACACGAAGGTTAAGATAAAATGAAGAGCTACATATATTATTCACTGCTATTTGCCTATGATACACAGCTAAACTATGTTGATATACTGGAATCACATATTCTGTCCGGCCTTGACCAGTGCCTCTTTGTTTTTTTGCTGATATACTGTGAATAACATTACGCTACAATCTGTATATCTCGGTTGCACATACTACAACGCCGATCTCCATAAAGAGGTGTGATAGTACAGGGAAGGGTGGATTTTCATTATTAATAATTTACAAAGAAACATAATGAAAAAAACAATGATAGCATATGTGGCTGATGGAGAAAGATATACATACAAGTGGGATAACAAATAATATGACATAGAATGTGAAATGTAAGAGTACAGGAGAAATGGGTGGTGATGGAGGAGGGTTATGACGAGTAGAATGACTACATATGCAAGAGTAATTAATGGAAAATAGTAAAGGGAGAAAAAGAATCGTTGTTGTTGTTGTTGTTGTTGTTGAAAATGTGATGCATGTACTACAGTAAGTTGATATGAAGTGTGCAGTTATTTTTACCTATTCAAAGCATAGATAGCTGTTTGGTCTTCTAGCTGCTGCGTATCAAAAAAGGTATTGAGGACAGGAGACTGGTAGTGCTCCGTACGTCTTCTTCCAGCCGGCACGTGTTCGCCATTCGGTCTCACGATAATGCGTCGCGTAGTACCTATTCCCGACATGTGCTGCACAGGTTGGCAAACAATGTTTTTTTGCCAATCCGGACGGATTTCATCTAGAAAATGTGGAAATGGGTTAGAGACCCGATGATCGCAAATTTCCCCCACCCTCGGGTTAAGAAGCACACACCCATCGAAGAAACGGCCTCTCTTCCATCCCGCCAACCCAGTCTGTGTTACCCAAAGAACCTACCAGCTAGAATAACATCTGGATCATTCGGTCCAAGACGGTTTCGTCGTCGGGGTCGGATCTTGTTATCCGGACCGTACGCGTATTGGATCAAGTCGGTTCTTCGTTTACTAAATTGCTATATACGGAATAAAAAAAAAGAGAGGAGACGGATGTTCCATTGTTTTTTTTTTGTAAATCAGCCAACAGCGCAACGGTGAAAGAAGAGGAGATGTAGTGGTAGTAGTACTAGCACCAATAGGAACAAGGACTAACCTTGTAATGCGGGCTGAATTTCGGTGGTACATGGACAACCCCAAAATTAGTTTGCACACAGTATGGACATTGTACCGGCACGAGTGGAGTGTCCACAGAACGCTTTATCTGCAAAAAACATTCAGTGCAGATCGGCTTGTCGCAGCAGCGTGTGTAGTTGATGCATATGGGATAATACTAAAGTAGGATGGGGGTTTTGTTGCAGTTGTTGTTGTTGTTATTTAGTACGACATCTCTCTCCAAAAAAAATATATATGGTCCGTGTCCCCCTCTCCTAGTGTATGTGCTACACTCTTCTTTTTACCCACAATAAACCCAACAAAAACACCTACCAAGAAACAAATGGGACATTCCGTAACTCGGCTATACGCCATGGAATCAGGAGGTGCTTCATCCGTCGGTTGGTGTTGCTTTCGCTGGTGTGCGGCTATGGTTTTGCGAGCACCCGCTAGTTTTCCAACAAGCCCTTGCATACCTGGATCCTGTGGCTGTGCTGGTGGCATGTATGTGGTTCTAGGACAGCAGGTTACAGCCAAAGCTATGTCCTGGTCCGTAGTGATCGAGAAACTCGGTGGATCCTCAAGACCTAAACAAGGTTTTTGTGTTATTTATGGATTTTGCCACCCACCCCCCGCCTCTCATCATGCATTGATGATACACTCCGCCTTTCAAAAAAAAAAAGAAAAAGAATGGTATCATACCTCGATAGAATGGCGCCAACTTGCCGTCGCGTATAAATTTTTTGACCGCCTTGACGCAGTAATCTGCTGGGGAATCCGGGTAGAGTCCTTGCGGCTGGAACGATCCGCGATCAAACTGTTCGCGATTGTCGACTACAGTAGTTTTGGAAATGTTGGCTCCCATGTCGAATACTTTGTGTTCAATGTAGTGAGTCCCGGTAAAGGTACAGCAACAAATATACTAGAGATATAAAGTGTGTGTGAGGAAGTGGAAAGAATGAGACTGAGGTGGATTGTAACCCAAGCAATGAGGAAACAGGGTATTTATACTTGTAAGAACACGGGAGAAAAAAAAAAGAAACGTGATAAGAAAAAGGATCTCATAGTGACACAATGATGGAGTCACAGCGTTTAGCTCTCCTTGTTGCGTGCCAATCCCGGCAAGACGGTGACAACGGACACGATCGATTGGACTATCAAGGATCCAGCATTCTTGCCTTTTCAAGGAATGTGTTTGTTTGGATGCAAAGCGCCACACTGGTCTCTCTCTCTCTTTATCTTTTCTGACATGCTGCTGCTGCTTATTAATCGAAACCGTTACAATGCGACCCTCCTTGCGTGCACGCGAGCACGCAATACTGCTAATGCTGCTGCGCGCCATAATCGTGATAATGATGTGAACATGAGCGTTTTGTGCACGTGCGCTTCGTCTTTGGATCTTCGTACAACCCGGGTGAGCACGGTGCACTATGCACTCACTAATGCCATGGTTACTATCACCAGCACGATGTGATATGTAACTATCCTACTCACTGTACAGTTGCTACCTACACATTCGGATGTGTTGTCATGCGATCTAAAAAAAGCATGTGATGTTTTTTTTTCTCTTAGGTAGAAACACCAAAGGGACAAATGCACCCGCTTCTCTTTCTCCAAACGAACAAGTTAGCAACGTACTTTCTTTCTACTGCACTGTAAATAGAGCGAAAGACAAACGACCAAGAAAAAGAACAAAAGATTATGCCCAAAGGTACAGTGAATAGCCAATCCGGCTGCGGAAGAGGAAAAAGGTTAAGGAGTGGGATACCTGTAGCCAATGATAACGTCGCTTTCTTTTACTTTCTTTCTGCCGGGCTTGCTCTTTTCTTTCTCTCTCTGTGTGTGTGTGCGTGTGTAAACGCGGCTTAACTGCGCAAAAAAAAAACTTCATTGTCCTCCCCTCTACACACACCTATAAACCACACGTGTAAAACTTCATTTCCTCACTCATGTCAGTGGTTTCGACGCAGAGCAAACGGCCAGGACAAAGACCAGCAAGCTCAATGAGCACTGCCCATGAAGGCCCGTCTCCAGCTGACATTGTTTCTACTTCAAGCCGACAACGCCAGACTAAAAAGGATGAGGTAAAAAAGAAAACAACCAAAAAAAACAAATGCATGTGCAACCCACAGTACTAAAAGCGCTGAGAAATTCAAAAACACAGGCCATTCGCAAAAAGATCGAACAAGAACTTTCCAAAAAACGAGGAGGGTCTACACGCATTCGTCAGACGAAAAAGATTGCAGGCACAGTGTCGGCCTTGAGACCGGCTCAGGCACTGACTGTTCGAGAAAACATTCTTGTTATGGAGGCTGCACAGTTGATGGCTGCTAAGCGTAGCGACTGCGTTTTGGTTATTGATGACGACGAACATTTGAGTGGTATCTTTACGGTAAGAAAAATACAGTTCCCTTATTGTGTGTTTTCCTTTGCTCCCCAACCCCCCTTCGCGCCCTTGCTCTCTCTTTTATTCTTAATCGTGCATATCTTTGCTTGTGCATATATTTTAGGCAAAGGATTTGGCTTATCGCGTTGTTGCTACTCACATGGATGCCAGGTATGTATATATACAGTCAGCCATACCCTGGATATATAATAGAGAGTGGAATTCGGTAAAACTCTAATTTATTATATGCGTGTATATGTATTTGTTTAGGTCCACCACAGTCTCGGACATCATGACCCGTGGCCCAATGTGTGTAACTGCCGATACGTCAGCTCAAGATGCGTTGAACCTGATGGTCTCTCGTGGATTCCGCCATTTGGTATGTATTCATAGGGGGGGGGGTTGGTGGTTAGCCGTTGCCAAGGAGACATCTCCGATATTGATTTACTTCTTTATTGTTTAGCCGGTATGCAATGAAGAGGGCGATATCTTTGGACTGTTGGATATTACAAAGTGTCTCTATGAAGCACTTAGCAAGATGGAACGTGCATATGGGTCATCGCGCAAACTATATGATGCATTAGAAGGCGTTGAACGCGAATGGGCCAACAGCCCAGTGCAATTTGTTCAGTATATGGACGCCTTGCGAGAAAAGATGTCGTGCCCTGATCTGACCACCGTGCTGGACGAAGAAGCTGGCCCGGTCCAGGTTGCGGTCAAAGCCAATGTTCGTGACGTTGCAAAGCTCATGAAAGAACATCATACGACTGCAGTTCTCGTGATGGATCACGGTGGTTTGGCGGGTATTTTTACGGTATAGTTTATTGAGCGGTTTTCTTCTTCTTATCAGTGACAAAATAATGATGATGCTTTAATAATGATCAAGGTCTAATCCACTTCTTGTTGTCACTGTTGTTTATATCAGTCTAAAGATATTGTTTTGCGTGTGATTGCTGCTGGGTTGGCTCCGGAGACTTGCTCCGTTGTTAGAGTCATGACACCTCACCCTGATACTGCGCTTCCAACAACGAGCATTCTTGATGCATTGAAGAAGATGCATGGTAAGCTAAAAAGAAAATAGTGATGTAGGTTTGTCGGAATCACGACTAAATGTCTTTGAATTAGATGGTCACTATTTGAATTTGCCCGTTGTGGATGATGAAAAGGCAATTATGGGTCTAGTCGACGTACTTCGCCTTACCTACGCTACTTTAGATCAGGTATTGATATCCTTGAAGGGAGAGAGAGAGGGAGTGAGATCATCAGTGAAAGTGTCTGATAGCTGATGCATCAACGTGTGTGTTTTTTTTATAGATAAATAGCATTGAAGGAAACGCAGGCGATGGAGGCAAGTTTTGGAACAGCATGATGGCGGGCGACCACACAGAGACCGAGTCTGCTATTTCAGACTCTCTGTCACAAGCTGCAAACTCGCACATGTTCCAATCCCCCTCGAGTCCTCATCCTGACCGTACGCTGACACCTACCAGCCACCATGGACCTCCGGGCCACACCACGACTGCTTATTCCGGCGTTGGATACCCCGAACTTACACCTGGCGACAGTGCCTCTGTAGCCAATGGTGACGATGTACGCTCGACTGTTTCGTCGCATACCCAAGGCACGTTTTCGTTTAAATTCAACTATGGGACCAAGACCCATCGCTTCCGCTGTGAGTACAACAACTATGCAGCGCTGCGCGACATTGTCCGTCAAAAGATCATGGCCGAGCATCTTTCGCTGTCGCAAACGTATGTCAAAGTATCTGAAGGCGGCACAGCAGCAGACGAGGGAGATTGTGATGGAGCAGCAACAGCAGCAGAGAAAAATCGACGTGACGATGATGATGATGACAGCTGGCTCAACATTGCATACCTCGATGACGAGGACGATCAGGTATTGATGACGTCTGACTCTGACATGCAAGATGCGGTTCAGTTGGCGCGCAAATTGGGACACGATCGTGTACGTTTGTTTGTGCATGATGCACTTGCGCCGCAGCAAAACCAACAGCAGCAGCAACAGCAACAGCAACAGCAGCAGGCGCCGCCACAACAACAACAACCGGAAGATTCTGTGGAAATTCCTACGCCTCCAGGACAGCCTACAATTTCGGTGGCAGTACCTCCCATGGAAGAGAAGAGCGGATCGTCCGAATTTGAAGAAGACAGTGGCTCACGACGACACCAGCGCAGTCGTGCTTCGAGACGCTATTCGGTAAGCGCTAGCGAGACTGACAGCGGCAGCAGCAGCAGCAGCAGTAGTAGTACAGATGAGAGTGGCGACGATGAGGCGCACCACGGTAGTGGAGGACGCAGCAGCAGCAGCCGTCGGCAACAGCGGCGCCACCACCACCAGCACCGCCACCACCACCGAAAGGCCAAGAAGGACGCAGCATCGGAGTTAAATTTACCTATTCCGCAGGAGATGCTGCTTCCTGCGGCGATCACCTTTCTCGGCGTGGTGATCCTTGGTGTCTTTACGATTACTAAACTCACTGGATCCTCAGATCACCGTTATTAGAAATTCCTTTATTTTTTCCCCTTCCCCCCCAAAAAAAAAAAACCTTAAAACTTTTTTTCAAAAGATGATGATGCTGAAACCATTTACCCTACTATATCCTTACTAATTGAAAGAAGTATACTAGACCCAAGTGGGGAGGAGAGACTCGGGGCTTTTTTTATTCTATCTGTCCTTTGCCTTTGTTTCTCATCACTTACTATCACTCTATATCTTCCGTCATTCCTTCTCTGTTTCCCTGATGTAAAACATTTGGATTTTCCTCTCTTTTATGTTTCTATATTATTACCATTTTCTTTTTTATTATAAAGCACAACAACATCAACAACAGCAGCAGCAGCACTCGAAACTTTAATGTTTATAAGTCTGTTATGTGACAGATATGAAGCTGTCGAATACCTGCATAAGGCATGCAGGCTTTTGAGATAAAAGGGATGGGAGAGGGGGGGGGGACAGGGTAAGATCTTCCCGGAGCATGATCCGCATTATCATCTGAACGCGCGCGCGCGCGCGCTCATTCTGCTCGATATGGTCCCTTGGCAACCGCAACCCCCCAACCTGCTTCTTCCTCCCCCCCCACCTCCATGAACGCATACATTATAATCCACCATCTTAGTTTTACGCTCCGGCCGACGGAACCAACTGTTTTGTAGGTGCACTGACATTTCATATGTGCTCACCGAACCGTCGGGTGTTTGTCCTCTCTCTCTCTCTCTCTCTCCCTTGCTCTCCGTACATCATCAGTCGGCAGCCTAGATCGATATGGTAACTTCAGTCAAACCGGATTTCTCTCTCAAAATTTTCATATTACTGCACTCTCAGCCCTATCTTGACAATTTTACAACAATGGGGCCTTGGAGATAAAACGTGCGTACCTGTCTGTCTGTGACCATGGTAACCGACACACACCCCCGCTATAGCAACAAAAAACACAAACAACAACAACTCCACGAGGGATACAACAAGCCAGACAGGTCTGTTTGCGTTGAACTACGGTCCCCGCCGAAAAAGAACAAAAAACAAAAGAAACGAAAAGTTAAAAGAGTGGGCGCCGCCTTGCCACTAGGACCCTCTTAACATCTCCCCCCCCCCAAACACACACACACACACACACACACACAGAGTTTTTTTTTCTTGAGTTCTAATCGCTAATTGCCTTTTTAGACTGCGGAAAATGGGATCGTGGACATAGCAGCAGCAGCAGCAGCAGCAAGAAAAACAACAACAAAAGCAGGTGAAAAAAAACGGTGAGTGACGCCTGACACAGTTTATCAAAATCGGTTGACCCTATCTTCTTTTTCTGACTTTTGCCTTTTGTTGGGGACAAACAACGAAGAGTAAATACTGTAAATAATATATATGAGCACCCTCGTATCTGACAATGCGTGTTTTTTGTTGATGTTGTTGTTGTTGATGTTGTTGTTGTTGCGCGTGTGTGAGAGTATGAATGTGAATGTTGGACGGGTAGGTTCTAGTCCCACCCTACTGTTGTTGTTGTTGCTGCTTTTTTGCTGTGTATTATGTGATGTGGGGTTTCCAGGTAAAGAGAATCCGAGCTAGAGGTTGAGTTAGCAGTTGGAAGGAGAACAACACACGCTTTTTATGAGGTTGCTGTTGTTGTTGTTGTTGTTGTTGTTGTTGTTTAGGGCTCAGGCACCAGCGTGTGAAATCTGTCACAAGAAAATGGGACGGATGCGATGCCGATAAAGAACTTGTCATGGGAACTATTAGCAAAGGCCTGGTGATGGAATTACCAAATATGTGAATTCCGCTTCTTTCACAAAAAGTGTAACTTACTTAAAGATCAAACGGCAGAGGGGACAAAGTGACCAACAGGGTAACCCGATTTTACCTTTGAAACGACCGGATCCGATCCTATTGTACAGTCCCTCTCTCTCTCTCTCTCTCTCGCTATCCCTTTGTTTGTAGCAGTAGCAGTAGTCGTAGTCGTACTTGATAGTGCGCGCGCTTATTTTTGCCTATTCAAACAAACAGCACTTTATATAATGGTGCCTCTAGCGTAGTCTCAAGTTGATTCTTTCTTCTTTTCTCGTTTCCTCCATTTACGATATCTCTTTATATAAATATACCCTCTAACAAACGCGCTCGCTCTCTTTTCTTTTTTTCTCCTTTTTTTCTTCTTTACATTTCTTTTCTTTCTAGCAAACCTCGTCTTCTTCTTCTTCTTCTTATTCTTCTTCTTGATAACAAGTTCTCTCCTTTTACCTCTAACTCTCTCTCTCTCTCTCTCTCTCTCTTCTCTTCTTTATCTCTTGCTTAAACCACAAACCCCGTCGCATTCTTTCTTCTTTATCAAGTAGTCCTCCAAAATCTTTCGTTGATCATGACATCCGCGTTCGTACCTTTCCACTCCGAATCGCTTCCATCACCTCCTTTGACGACGTACATCCATCCCATCTCGACCAAACTCCCGTCTCTTTTCGACCATCGAACGCGTACTAACAACAACAACAGCAGCAGCAGCTTCATCAGCACCAGCAAAGATGATCTGCTCAAGTCTGCACTTCCATCGTACGGCTACAGCCTCCCGCCTTTGCAAGACATCATGTCGGTGTCTTCACCGTCTTTGCCGCCACAGCTCTCGCCACCTTCGGAAGACGAAGACTTTCCGAGCCGCAAAGGCTCTATTGCCTCCATTCTGAACTCCGCACCGGAACTGCGCCAGCTAGACGAAGAGGAATTCCGCAGCGGCTATCAGTCGCACTTTAACGACACGTCGTTGAAACGCGGTCGTCCTCGTGTCGTGGATCAGCAGCAGCAGCCGCTTCAGACAGCAGCCAAGAGACGCAGGTGCCATGACCATCCCCAGCAGCAGCCGTCACCCCCTTCTGAGCCAGTCCCTCGGGCGAATAAGGGTCTGCGCCATTTTAGCAAGCAGGTGTGTGACAAGGTGGCGGAAAAGGGCGTTACGACCTACAATGAGGTAAATAATAAACAATCAATAATATATACACACAAAATTGCGGAAACAATCTTTTTTTCTTTTTTCTGTTGATTGTTATCCGGCAAAAAAAAGCTTATAGTATCAATAATAATCGTAATTCCCTTTATATCTCTTTATTGCCAATTCCCAATATAATAATAATAAAAAAATTGAAATAAATTTGAAAAGGTCGCCGATGAGCTAGCCTTGGACATCAGGGCTACCATGGAAGCCGAAGGCAACGATGTAAGTTATCTGCCAAGATTCGATTATTTATGTTTGTGATTATCAGCAGCAGAAAAAAAGATAAAGATGTGACTCACATTACACGTATACAACGCTTGTAGAAACGCTCGTTTGACCAAAAGAACATTCGGCGACGCGTGTACGACGCACTCAATGTCTTGATGGCGATGGACATCATTGCCAAGGACAAGAAGCAAATCAAATGGCTTGGTATTCCAACGTGCTTCCAAGAAGAAAAGGAAGATCGAAACCTGGAGCTGCAAAAGCAGGTCGATCAGGAGGAGCGCCGTCAAGCCGAATTGATGTCTTCCATCAACCGCACCCGAGGATTAATCCGAGACAAGTTAGCACAACACTTGCAATTGTGCAACCTGGTCTGGCGTAACTATCACAACAACAAAGAGAGCGAACAGCAACAACAACAGCAAGCCGTCGTCGTCAATGATGATCATCTTGACAATGACAGCAGCAAGGTGTCACTCCCGTTTTTCATCGTCGCGTGTCCGACCCAGCAAGATCTGACTGTGAACGTTGCTAGCGATCGGTAAGTCATTTACAAGCATTTAAGTAGTAGCTAGTGAGCACTAACTCATGTTTCTGACGACGAAACAAATTGTAGTCGCAGTGCAGAGATTTCGCATGCTTCAATGGACAGTGACGATGACAGCAAGAACAACAACAACAACAACAACCGTCGCGTGGTGTACGAAGACGCGGATGTGCTTCGGCATTTGCACTTGAATCGGATCTCTTCCGATCAACTGGCTGCCTGGCTTCCGGATCCAGCATTGCAGTCATTCCTGTCCGTGCGTCACACCACCGATTCATCAACATCTTCTATTTATATTCAATCCAGTGCCGACTTGTGCACAACCTCTGCATCATAACCTGGAGCTCCAACCCCAAATAACAAAACCACCTCACAAAACAGAACGAAAAAACAACACACCACACACACATTTGACACAAACCCGCCTTTCCCTTTTTCTATATTTCCAACATTCCCCACTACTTTTTTCTCTTTCTATCTATCTACATGTTGTTTTCACTATACTACTACATATGTCTCAATACTTTTCACTCTTTTGCACTCTCTTATACATCACACACTCACACACTTATCTTACATAGCACACACACAAAAGCAGCAGACTTTTCTTCTTTGTTTTTATTTTATTTTTTTTACACTCACTTTATTTTTCTTCTTTGCACATATTTTCGTAATTTTACTTATGCAACATTTCATCTCCGCAAACACCCCCCCCAAATCACACATTCATGTTTCTTACCTTTTTTTTATGTATGTTATCTCATTTCTAAGTGGACATATTGTATCCAAACTTTTTTCTACTTCTTTTATCTATCTTTTATATAAACATTAACAGAGCAAAGCGTGTTTATTATATTACCATCAACAATTTTCAAAATTACATTAACTTATGTTTTGACGTGTCCACATGATTTTTTTTTATGTTTTTCACATGTTAAGAAGAAAGAAACAGCTTGTTGGTATATGATGTAGCAGTTAAGTACTCATAATGCATATCCCGTGCTGCTGCTACATACTAGAGGCATGCATGAAATATGTATAGTTGCTGCTAATACAGCTTATTATCATTTATAGTTATCGTTTTAAATGTAACTGTGATTATGCGCATGCGTTTCCTTAACGTTGCCTTGAGCGCCGCCTTAAATTCGGCATTATGTGTATTCTTGCTATTGCTAGCAGCATATGCATATTATTACTGCTTTTGCTGAAAGATGATGCTCTTGTTGTTGAGGGTTGTTGCTGAAAAGAAAAGGCCGATGATGCTATTAATACCTCCAGCAGCAGCAGCAGTGGTAGGATCAAGTTGGCTGAGAAACATGGCGGGATCAGAACCTCCTTGTTGAGGATGCTGATGACGATGATTATGATATGCGGTTATCGTCGAAAGTATCACTTGTTAGAAGTACATTATATTGTTGATGGATAGCGTTCATCGTATCAATATCAGCGTGGGCAATAATAGTATGTAGCTGCTATTGCTGCTTTCGCCCTCGTCGTGCCGTTATTTATCAGATTCGGGGATCCGGCATGTTGTTGTTGTTGCTGATGATGATGATGCGCGGCAAATAAGGGTGCATCGGTCTTTGCGGTCGCGAACATCCCACCGCCGCTTGTTGCTGTTAATGTTATTGTTATTATTGTCCGTACCCGTAAACAGGTTCAGAGCCATGGCAACTGGCAAACAACTTGTTTTGTGTAAATGTTTCAAATGTCGCGTCGAATTCCATCCCATCAAAAGCAAAATCCATGTTGTTGTGATTCTCGGCGGTGGCACTCGTAATCATGATACCGAACCGGGGTGCAAGGATTTACTGCTAACAATGGTGCTAGCAGGCGCTGATCGATATTATCAATAAATGTTGTTATAATGTTGTACCACAGGAAAGAGAGAACCTGAAACACATTAAAAAGTACTTTTTAGAATTTTTGAGAGGGATGTTTTATCAGAGAATACCTATATAAGCTCGAATGCAGTAAATTTTCCAGTACTTTTATGGTAATGGTAAATAAAAAAAAGGAATGAAAATAGTGACTTAAAAAAAGAGGGGGGCAGAGTCGTTTCTAGTTGTCCTTTTGATACCAAATTCTTGCATAGTAGTGGACAATAAAGCATGCTCAGTTATAATGGAGTACAGAGAAACTGCTGCCATCAACATTCCCATAGGTTCCAGTGTGCTTTGATTTCCGCATTAACATCCTACTCAGTAGTACATGCAGCCACCTATATAACGTCCCAGATCACATAGAACTTTAGATTAACTCATAAATGTGGTGCCCACCAGTTTGTACATCCTCGACTCCGGCGGGAACTTCGTCTTCTGATATGTAATAGTTACGGCGTGTATGATTTGAGCACAAGTACAGCCTTTCGGATCCTGAAGAACATATATTGACGTACGATCCCAGAGCATTGGAAATATTCGATGATGAGATGAAGGAAAGAACTGAAATATCCAGACGTATTGTTACTGTGAAAACCATTGGAACGGTGCTCACGAAGAGAACGTGTAATTAGCTAAATTTCACTGTATCTTTTTCTTTTGTACAGTATAAAATGTATGTTATTAGCGGTGGTTCAGGTTCACTTAAAGGGGCACAATTGAATTTACTGCCCACTTGACAGTGTATTTACCATAAGACACTGTTTTTATGACCCTGAACTTACTCAATAGCCTGGGACTACAGTAAATGAAGTCCTGATTTACAAACTCGACTTGAGCATTAGTAGACGGCATGTTGACGCAGGTAATGCTTTGTTTGGTAAAGACGATTCTGATTACGCCATCGTACACTTTACGACGATGCCTTACAGGAAGTCCTGGGACCGTTAGCAGCCAGGTTCTACTTGAAACGAGCTTAGAATTCAAGCAAGATCATCAAGGATCTCTGAATAACGTACTCTCTGCACTTCAGCATCAAGACGATCTCGCAACAGGCTACCTTATCTTGGCAGATTAGTATGCTTTCAAAAAAGCTATCAGATGCCGTGCGCTTAAATAGGCAACCTGTATCTTTTGCAGCACAACATCCGCGAAGCGATGATTGTTCTGTCGACAATAGCTTATCAAAGTATCAACAGCTATAGAAGCTACTGTATGTTGTTTGCTATGGAAAACGAGGCTCGCCAAGCAAAATTGGTTGCTAACAACACTGCCATGCGAAATGGTTGCAGAGATCGTCCACAATTTTCCTGTCGGCCATGTATCACACGTGCCATGACTCGGCAAGCACAACACGTTGCACCCTTCTTGAAAGAATGTATGGCACACACTATCTGTATGTCATCCATTGGTGCCAACAATTAGCCAAAGTGCTTGAATGCACCCTCTGCTATGCCTGGGCAACACGTGAAACATTTTGTGATTGATCCTCAGGAGGAAACCGAAAAACGCGATAGAAGCCTTCATCAAGTACATGATTGACAACCTATGGAAGTAACTTCTCGAGCCTATAAGTAGATACCTATACTGTAAACGCTGTACTTTTGTATGGCTGATCTACTAAACGGCATTTGCACAGCATTCAAAATCATGTAAAAGCGCTATAGTGTAATTTACATAGTAAAAAGGCTTTACTACAGCTCTGCCACTCTTTCATCAAAGACAATGCTCAAGAACATCAAACTTGGTTCGCGTAGTTTGTATTATCATTTGGACCCATATATTCTTCATGTCGAATTGACCCATAAACGATCCTTCATCGTAAATACCAAAATGTTGCTAGCATCTACACTGCGGACGCCTATAGTCAACATCTGAAGTATACATTCAAAAAAAATGGAGCAGAAGTGAACTTTAATAGGTTTCATAATATCACTTTATCAAAACTGCCAGCCTATCGCACATCGGCAGACGAACAGTGGTGATATCGCGTAACCTTTGGTGCATGATGTGTTACCGACATGGTTAGCATAATCTTATATATGTCGTACACTCACGCATACTTTAAGCTTACAATAACACACACACAGGCACAAGCAGCAATTTTACTTTTTTCTGTTTTAACCATCTTTTACACTCACTCCTTTCTTTTTCGCGCAATACTCCCTTTCTCCAAAAATTCCTCCAAAAAATCCTATATTTTCATGCTTCGTACCTCTTTTATGTTCTTAGTAGTGAGGGCAACTGTAGTAGGTTCCTTCTCTCGATTGACAGTAGCTACTGATCAAAAAGAAAGCATCAAAGACGCGGACATAAAGGAATACCTTTTGCAACGATTATTCTTGACTTGATCGAAGACACTGCTTGAGTTATCAAAGCAATACTGAATGAGCACTCTCATTATTCAGGTACACAGATTTGAAACTTGCAAACTCCGTCTTAAAAGTTAGTTACGTATTACTGTAAGTACCCTCAAGGGATGTATACTAATACAATTGATTCTTTTATGTTGTATTGTAAGACAACACTTGATGAAGTATAGATATTGATTTACTGCCGCTTTAGGTACGATTTACGTGTAGAGAATGATAAGTATAACTCATAATGATGGTGTATAAATATTTTCTTGTTCTATTTTGATGAAGATGTAAAAGCTTGTACAACCGAATGAATGTAAATATCCACTCGTGCCATAAAAAGCATTGCTGTGTAGCATGAAAGTGCCATATAAAGTAGTCCTGCGCCTCATACTTATTCCCAAATTATGTAGCTACGCAAAAACCTTTTTTTTTCACTTACCCACTATCTTCTCTTCTTTCCAAAAACTACCAACGGATGGTGTTGCATATTGCACGCATGGACAAGCTTTTGTGGATTGCTTCATTTGCTTTTGTGCTGTTCAACAGTCAAAGCACGGCTTTGCAGCCTCCTCCTCGAATGTTGGCAGGTATTATGAACTACTGTATCTGAGTATTATTATTGGTTCGATCGAATTCGTTCAAATATCAGGGAAACCGTGTGACAATCCACACTTATAATCAATGCAACTTCGTGTCGGTGGGGGGTGGTCTACTTATAGGATGTGTATCGCTTGATTTTTGGATATACTGCTATGGTGGTAGCCACGTAACATTTTCAGCAACCAACACCTTTGACAGTTCGGGCGACTTTTATGCTTTGGATGTTGCAGAAAGCTTTACGGTTAGCAGCTCCAACTCGGCATGGGTGGAAGTGCAGGTGAATGGAACGGTGAGACCGGAAAACAACACAATGTTTGGCATGGTCGCACTACCACAGCAAGACGCAATTGTCCTTACAGGTGGTGCCGGAAGCGTGTACTCGAATCAATCCATCAGTAATCCTACCATTGCGTATAACATAGAATCAAACGAATGGCAGACTTTGAGCTCAAACGCTGGACTCCAGTCGTAAGTCTTGCCTTATTAGCCAGTAGTTTTTTGAAATTGCTGCATAAATTTGTTGACAAACTAATAACTGACATATGTGTTACTTTGGGATGTACGAAAGTTACGCTGCTGGAACAGCTGCTGATGCCAGTGGCAGAATTTATGTGTTTGGCGGTATCAGGTACAGCAAAGACTTGAGCGGACACTAGCAGTACTAAGTACAATTACATCGTGAATTACAACGAATGAATGACTGAATGACCCCTTTCCATAATTTTATTTCAGTGACGAAGCGACAGGCGAGCTTGAAATGACCGATACGCGAAACATGCGAATTTTCAATTATGAGGTAAAAAGCCATATGGAAGAAATATTACTTTGTTATCATGGTCATAACAAGAGATGACTACCGTTTCGCTATTCTAGTCAAATCAATGGTCTATTGTCGGACTTCCAGATCAGTTCCATTCTTATGCTTGGCATGAGGGCGTCATGGGCAATGATGGGCGCACGATCTACTACATGGGTGGTGAAATTCAAGGCTACTTTACTTTGAACAACGGATCACAAGTATACGGTGCTTCGGATAACACGTTCGATGAAATTATGACCTACAATACAGAAACGTCCTCGTGGGCGACACTGAATGCCACAGGAGAAAGAATTCCAACTACCCGAATGTGGCATACAGCAGCACTCAGTATGTGTTTCTTTAATGTTGTTTTGCTTATCTCTAATCACACAGCAAAACAAACCCCCACAAATAGAGCCAAACTCGGATGACATCGTTTTGTACGGTGGTCGCACAAGTATGTAGATTTTCTTTTGTTTTTTGACACATTATTATTACACGGGAGTGATAATTCGGGTCAAGAGAAAGACAATCAATTGCTAGCGCTTAATCTTGTATCTCAATTATCGTGCAACAACAACAACAATTTGAATTAGCTGGAGATTTAAACGTTACTGCCGATTTTTGCTATGTTTTGAACACGGTTTCCATGGCTTGGAGACAAATTGATCTGAGCTCAAGTGCTGGAGCTGGTCCTCGCTTTGGGCATTCAGGTAAGCCCTTGATGGAGGTTGAAATAAAAGTGACCAAAAAAAATAAGTAACAGATAAAATATAATGATTTACCTTTTAGTTGCTTTTCCTGGAAACAGTACCATGATGTTTGTCATGTTTGGCGTCGATGCTAATCTTCACCAACGCACGGATTTCCAAATTCTTGATACTGACAGTTGGCAATGGATAGATAACTACACTGGTCCTGGACGCAGCAACTCAACTGAGGATCAGTCCGATACTTCTGGAGATAATGGAGCCGATGGTGGAGCTTCAGCGGGCACTATTGCGGGAGCAGTTGTTGGCGCCCTTGCGGTATGTAGCTCAACGCTGCTATATAAATTAAGCGTAGTAGTATGCGCTATTGTTGGCTTTCCATCTTTATCTAAGAACTGGCTTATCCTTTAGGGAGTTGCTATCATTACCGGTGCGCTTTTCTTCTTCATCCGACGACGGCGGCGGCAGCAGAGACAGGGCGCAAATGCGACCAGACAAGTGGATGAAAAGAATATGGGAGGAAGCGCTAAGCCTCCTGCTTCATACAACTATAGTAACCCCAATAGTAGCTATACTATACAACAACAACAACAAGCATCGGTATCACCACCGCAGCATTATTCACAATATGCGCCAGCTGTACCAGTGACAGCAACTATGAGCTCAACGAGCAGTGGGACATTCCCTCCGACAACAAATCAAGGAGCAACGACGACAACGTCGTCTCAAGGCCAGATTGCTTCTTCTAATAATCCTCAAGATGCATATTATACTCCACATCTAAGATTGCAGCCCGTGAAGCCCGATGGTGCAGAATAATGGCATTATAAAAGCAGCCTTTTTTCTTGGACAACAACAACAGCAGCGACACGTTTATGATATGTCCTTTATCTGTAACTCTTTGTATATTATAGTTTACGAAGTCATATTTATATATTTTACCCGCTAATAGTAGGGTTAACAAAAACTTGAGAATGACGAATATACAACATGTATTTATTTAACCATGAATTATGGTTTGATATGTTTACGTCAAAAGAATGTGAAAGGATTATAATTTGACATATATAACTTGATTTACAGATTGACAATAAGGTGTATAATACAAACGACAGCACAAGCTTATCCTCGATTCATTCCGGTGATGTGTAATCTTTTGGTGAGCCATCCGGCTTTACCGGCTGGAGTACTAGCTTAGATGCAATGTTATCATCATCTTCTTCTTCGACACCACTGCTGTCGGTACCACTATTATTACTACTACTGCTATTGTGTCTTCCGTGGTGAAAATGCCCATCTGGTTTCTCCACACCGTACATGTATGCAACAGTGGGTCGTCGCTCGTCATAGTCTCCAGGGGTATATGTATGGGGAGGCTGCATGAGGATTCGTGCTTGAGAAGAAGTGCGTCGTTCATCGCGGTCCTTGTTGGTATTAAAAAATAAATGTTTACGCTCGGCGGTGTAGCCATCCATATCATCATCGTTTACAGCGTGTGGTATATTATTTCGTTGAGCTGCTCCTTGACGCTTCTTTTTCCTCCATTGGAAGATGATTAATGTCAATATGCCAGAAAGAATAGCAATCTGATAAATAGAAAAGAAGAAAAGCGTTCATGTTAAAAAGTCTTCGACACTGACAAAACCTAGGGAGCTCCATAACTGCTCACGTTCTCCCCCTAACATGCTGTATATGACTCTTACCCCAGCTATGCAGCCCACAATAATAATTGCCGTAACCCCATTTGAATCGTCCTTTGCTCCAACATTATCGCTATTCTCGCTATATTGTCGCGGCTGCATTTGTTGCCCTATTCGTGGTTTATACTCTGCGTGGTAATTTCTTGGCACGTTCTCTTGATTAGGCTGTCGTTGTACGGTGGCTACATAATTCTCGACCGATGACCAAGTATCAACATTCACTATTTCTACAATATTTAGCGGCACCGTGACATTCGTTTTGGCATCGCTATTTGCGGATAGTATAAAAAGATGTCTGTCGGCAAGCACGGCTGTTTTACATATAAATGTTTGAGTAATATGAAATGTCAGTATAAAAGGCTCACAATGATTACCACTACTGCCAATTTTTTGACTAGAACTCATGTGTACCTGTGTGGTATATGCATCTTGAGCTACTGGTAATTGCTCTCTTGTTATTTTCTATACGTCTGGGTTGCCACTCCATCGTTTTAATGTTCAATGTAAATAGATCATCAGATGCGGCTGACTCCCTGGTATCTACATATACTTTACTAGATTAGCCCAAACTCCATTATAAAAACTTTCCAGACGTGTACATATTGGAAATATGGACACTATTGTGCTACGTACCAAATGTATGCCCGCCATATAGAATAATATTCTCAGATTCAGGATCTATGATATCATTCAAACGCAACACAGCATGATAAATTGTTATCAACAAAAGTGCCCTAAATAATGTGCTTTTGGTAGCATCAACGTCCTTGTAAAATGCTTCAAGTTATTACCAGCTATCAGGATATGCTGCCACCTGGGTGATGGCACCGAATCACCGATGGTTCTTATGTTCTTGCACGTGGCGCTTGATGTGTCACACACTTGAAAATTCGTCAAATCCGCTGGATGAATTTCATTTTTTTGAATTGCAAAGCCGCCGGTAATATATATAGTTCCGTGGCTGAATGCACTTGCGCCCAAGAGATTCCATGGGGTTGATAAGTATGCTGTTGCCGTTACATTACTGTTTATACCGCTGATGTGAGATGACTGTATAATTTGAAATGGAAGGATATGTTACGAAGAGGATTTCGATTTCATGCATTGGATGTTTCATAAAGTGTACCTTAGTATCCAATTTAAGCATTGTTGTCATGTATTTAAAAACACTGTTTTCCTTGCTACTATTCATATCACGCACCACAACAATAAATTATAGTTAGTAGGTGGGTCCGGCGTTGCAAAATACAGCTTAACTATATCGTCAATGAGCTGCTTACCTAGTGCCGAATCGATCCCATATGCAAATACGGCCCTCCATCATCACTGCATCTCCATCATTTTTGTCCTGATTTTCTCTTGCATTTCTGTTTTCTTTCATGTCATAAATAGTGCCTGATTGCCTGTAATTATATAAGCTTTATATCCCATTATCTTCGTTTCCTTTCTAACCGCATCTCTAACCACATACACTGGCAGAGCGCTGGCGAGCGTATTCCATTGATTTGTGATTATATCGTATTCCACCAGCACACTGGTGGCATTGGCGGAGGTGCTTTTTTCAGGTAGATCCCTCCTCTTGTTTCTGATTATAAGTAACTTGTGCTGAAGGGGAGAGGCAATCATTGAATCTGCAAATAAAGGAATGCTCATGTTGCTGGATTTCTGTGGCTCGATTCGTGTCCACGATGACGACGCGTCACCCGCAAACATTGAGAAGCCTCGCGAGATATCCAGCACGTCAAGTCCCGAGCGATTGTAACAGTATATTTTGCGTTGCAGGTAAGTGCACTGCTTGCTGACGTGTTCTTGAATTGCTGCTGTCAAACATATTGCTAATGAGTCCACGCAACATGCTACATGGCGTGCATAAAACAAGTTTTGCAAAAAGAAAGTACGATCTTGACTTCTTACATGTGTCGTTGTGGTGGGAGAGAAGATAGTTATTAAAAATTTGCTCGGTGGGTGTCATTTCCATGGCCAAGATAACCGATCGTCCAACTGTTGATGATATAGTCAAAAGCCAAAGAATACTCTGGATCATAAGTGGGATGGTGGTGGTAGTGGTGGAATTTCGTGTCAAAAGTATGTGGAATTGATGAGATATTAAATAAAGGAAAGAAAAAGAACAAGAGAAGATTGAAGGAAGCCACGTCCCAAAAAGGTGGGATTGAGACAAAAATAAACTTGAGCACCTTTTTTTGTGTTCAATCACCCATTGTGGCACACTGAAAGAAGAAGTAGAAGATGCCAGCCCGGTATCTTGTTCTTGAAGCGTTTGTGTATCCGATAATTTGCAGGAAGCTTCCTTCCGAGTATGGACACTGTTCATACTCGGTTATACCCAAAAGTGGGGTCGAACAATGCGAATTGGCGCGCCATTTGATTTGTATACAATATTAATATCAGTCAACGCGCCTCTGCCTAACTGTTGTTATACATCACAATCAACGCAAAAGACGACAATCAAAAGGATTGAACGACATTCGTCATCAAGATGGCCATCTCGTAATGACGAACGGGTACATCGAGCGGTAGACTGTAATACACCTTTTTTCTTCAGTTAAGAATAGAGTAACCTTAAAATTATAAAATGTCATTATATTGCCGCACCTTCCAAAAATGTTGAACTCGCACGGATCCTTTCGTCCAATACGGGTTGCATAACAAATATTTTTGGGGATGCTGATCAATGTAATATACGATATATGAAGATGATTCATTTTCTAAAGAACACCAATGAATTGTGTACAATCATAGCTATTAGTTATTGCAGTAAAGAATAAATGGAACGTTTAGTTGATGTTATAAATTGGCAAGCTGTTGTGTGGGGCATACCCGGGCCACTTGTATACAGTAGATAGCATGGTTCCAACCCTATTATATGATTTTTTCCCCGGAACTGTTTCCGATATTTAATGCAAGCTCTATTCTGATACTTTGGGTACACTACTGCAGCTATTTACATAGTGTCGCTTTACTTATCACTAGCTCGTACACCATCCACACAAGTTGAAGAGCACGGCATGGATCAAGCTATTTGCATTAGAGACGATAAATATGACCTTTTTCAAAAACACGGAAGCAAAAGAACGATACTTAGTGCGTCGTGTAAAAAGATGTTGTTATCATGCTACTTTTAATCTATTAAACAATCCGAGCACTCTACATCATTTCAGCTCTGTTTGACGTTTCTTTTGTGGTGGTGGCAAGCGTTGTGTTAGAGATCGTCGCTTGCTTAATCAGCAAACAACTACTGACCACATAGTAGGGTGCTCCATAAAGAATGACATATATAAAAACGCGCCACTGTGTAAATTTCTTTCTTTCTTTTACCTTACTCCTATCCTACTTTTTTTTATACATTGAGTACTCTACAATGGCTGAATCAGCTCCTATGGTAGAAGAGGCAGAAAAGCCTCTCACCGAAGCAGAGATCGAGGTATAAATCTGGAAACCTTTCTACGATTTTTATTTATTCCTACTTTTCTGGGCACTGTCAACCATTACTTTCAAGCAATTCATTCCATTGAATAAATATAGGTCCTGCGGAAACAATACGAACGCGAGGGCGAATATGTCACGATCCAAACCAAATTTAATTATGCCTGGGGACTAATCAGATCAAAAAAGGTCGAGGAGATCGCGTTAGGAATTACAATGCTTACAGGTAACTGGTTTCTGTCGGTGTCTGCAAAAAGTACCCTTTGGATCCTTGCATAATATTAATAAAGCTATCCATGGTTGCTCGGGGTGGGACGATACATAAAGAAATCTATAGAGATTCGCCTGAAAGACGGCGAGAGTGCCTTTACTTTCTTGCGTTGGGACACTACAAGTTGGCCAACTATGGCGATGCGCGTCAATTCAACCAACAGCTTTTGAAATTTGAACCAAATAATGTGCAAGCGAAAGCTCTAGACAAGCTTATCGAGGAGAAAGTATCCCGAGGTTCGTCACTGAATATGTTTAATAGACCATTATAGTCGCTTATCGTATGTTGCTTTATTATAGAGGGCGTCATTGGGTTGGCGATTGTAAGTGGTGTCCTGGCCGTTGGCGTTGCTCTCGTTGTGGCTATTATCCGACAGAGATCATCAAAACGCGGCTAATGCCTCTTGGATATAATGACGACTGGATAATAAAAGCTTGTATACCATTCCTTGTCGTCTTTTTGTATTAACCAGCGCCACTTTGTCCACCATTGCATATAATCTTATTCTTTTTGCCATAATATTATTAGGTAGCAGGAAGCGTATGTTGGCTATGAATGCTATACAATTGTATATCAGCTTATCAACTGCTTGGATAAGCTACATACAAGATTGTTCAGTTTCAATCAACTGCTCAACTAAGATGAGAGATATTACAAACGCATGAAAGTACTGTAAAGTCATATGAACCAACACAGAACGAAGAGGACTCACTGATAGATTGCCTGAAGCTATTGTCATTAGCAGTAAGTTTCGCGTCATAAAGAAGAAGGTTAGTTGTTGTGATGCAAAAGTCACGGGAATCAAACCATTAAATACCGTGTTGGTGTTCGCGTACGTGTTTTACACAATTTTTTTTTGTTCCCCTTCCCTCTCTCTCTCTCTATTTTTTTTTGACAGGGAAGAACAATGGCCAACGATCCAGCTCCTCAATCCGTCATGATGGCCCTACAAGAAAGTGACACAGCAGCAACACCTTCTGCTGAAGCAAAATCAGTACAAGTGCCCATAAAAATAGATCAAGGAACCAAACGAAATTGCGATTCAATCACGGATATGGACCTTGAAAACGAAGAAAATCATCCTCAACAAAAGCGACGTACTGGATCACCAGCTGGTACTTTGCCCACAATGAATGAAGCAACACGACGTACAAAACGATCTGGCAATCGGTCTGCTACACAACCGCGTTGGCACAATCAAGCCTACATGCTTTTCCTGGCTTTACGGCAGCATCCAGATCGTTGCCTTTCGCGGCCTGAACTCATTAAAGCGGCACTCGCGCTCGACGAAAAGATTAGCAAAGAACGTAAATTACCACGCGTTTTTAAAGGCAAGGTACACTTCTTTGAAGATAAAAAGCAAATAAGGAGGGTTATTGAAGGAACACGTGTCTCTTTCTTTGGAATAACATGGTAGAGCTTTTTCAAACTAAAGAGCAAAATTGCGTTCTATTCACATAGACACCAATGAATTCTGCATCAGCCAGTCTGACTACCAACACGGACCGCTACTTTATACCCTTCCGACCCGATGGCAGTCGCTCCATGCACTTTAAGCTCGCGTATGAGCCAGGAAACTTTCAACGCGCGGTACAAGAGTACAGGAAATGGGAACGAAAACTCGCAGACCACGATTGGCCTTTTTGTTTTGGCATACCGAAAAACCCACCACCGGTGGCCATTGACAGCGGTGATGGCACTATCCAAGCTCATCAAGGAGAAGATAGCAAGAAAGATGAAGCACCAGCAAGGCCACCCGCAATGACCGAATTTGACGAGTTTATGATGAGTCGCAATGGCAACGGCCGAAAATATCACCAGGACGACATGAACGGCTATAGTAAAATCAACAACAATGTCACAAACGACGACAACGACGATGACGAAGGCAAGGACAAAATGGACATGGATGAAACAACAGCTGGGGAAGACGGCAGCAACACGGCAGTGATGAAGGCCGTGAATGAACTGGAACAACAGCAACAGGAGATCAAGCTTGAAGACCTGGATCTGACCCATGTTCCCAAAAGCTGGATGGATGTATTGCGAGTAGGCGATTCAACGATTTCAGGTGCTGGACAGGGCCTCTTTGCTACACGGAAACTGCCGTACAACACGCCGCTTGGGTTTTATTTCGGTGTGCCAATGACAGAAGATGAATACGATTCTTTGAAGGACGGTGTCGGCCGTGCCTCCGAGTACTCGATCATGTATCGAAGGACAGTGCTCGATGCAACGGATGAAGAAGGCCAGCCATTCACGGATCCAAAAGGAGAAATGTTCTGCCCCTTCCACTTTATGAATGAGACCAACGAAAACAAAGCAAACATACTTTTTATTGAGGGTGCAGTAGTGAATCAAGTCATCTGTTGGACGAAGCGAGATATTGAGCCGGGCGAAGAACTCTTTGTCTGGTATGGCCGTGATGTGGATCGACACTGGACCCCACAAGCAGGCGAAAGCAATGGCAGAAAGATATCGTCCACCTCACCATCATGATATTCAAAGAATGTTGTGTAGCATGGAATGTGTAAATAATAAGTATTTATATTTGCGAAAACTACTCTGTATGATTGTGTATATATATAGGTGTGTGTTCGTGTATATATCCAGGGGGTTGGTGTATTTTTTGTTGTTGTTGCTAGGGATGTATTAAAGGTGCGGGGTGTTGCATGCGAACTGTAATGATGAAAGATGAGGTGTGATGTATCTAAAAATCAAAGTAGTAGGGCATAGTAGTAGTGGTAAAAGTGATGGTGATGGTAGTAATAGTGGATTGTATGATTTAACAAATGAATGGTTGGAATGTGCCTGGCGGTTGTTCTTCTTGTTGTTGCTGCTGCTGCTGCTGACGTGGTTGCTGTGGCAGGTGTTGTTGTTGATGATGGTCATGGTTGTGGTTTTGTTGCTGTGAAGAATGATTGGCTCGGGTATCGATAGATGATGAAGCAGAAGAAGATGGCTGGGGACATTTTGTGGAAGTAGGAGGATTCATGGTTGGGGTGGTAATGCTGCCACGGCTGCTCACTGTGGATGTGCTTGTAATGCTGCTGTTACTCAACCCACGTTCCATGACCGGTACTGAGGATGATGTAGTCGGCGGTGCGTTGTTCTGTTGAATGTGGTTGGCCAAAAAGACGTGCGGATCGGGAATGTTAATCTGGCGCCAGCTTGTCTGCCGTGGTGGCGACTGTGAGCGTGCCCGGAAGCGGAAGGACGTTGTTAGCTTTTTGAGTATGGTGCTTGTACTGGATGTGCTCGTGCTCGTGGTACTGGAGATGGACATGGCATCGAAATCCAGCCATGTCTGTTGGTATTGGTATTGGTGGTGGTGTGGGGTGGGCGATAAAGTCGAGCTGCTGGACGCGGTGAAAGTGTTATCTCCACCAGAGGACAGTGAACGCGATGGCAGAGGTGATCCTGGCGAGAGCGGGAGAGCAGGTACAGGCGGGGGAGGGGTGGTGTCATTCGCGGCAAGCGACGGAGAGCTACGCAGCCTTCGTGGTGACAACGCGGACGAGTTCTTGTTGTTGCTACTACTACTACTACTACTACTATTACTACTACTGTTGGCGGATTTGCTGCTCAGGGTCGTTTTAGAAGGTGTCGGAACAATCATCCGGTTTGGATCGGTGACAAAAGGAATAAACGCACTGATCCGCAAAAGTTCGACCACGGCCACGCATGCGGGTTTGAGAAGTGCAGGGTGATAAGACTGGTGCTCGTGGTACGTTTGCAGCAAGTAATGGCGTAGCTCGTAGGGAATGTTGACTTCTTGCGCCGCGTTGGTCAGAATGAACCGTTCAATGATATCCTCAAACTTGGCCTTGAGCGTCTCGAACCGGATCCGCTCCTCGTGATTCAGCATGGGCCGCTCCGATTCAGTAAACCGAAAAGGTTGGCCACTAATGATGACGGGCGCGTCCAGGGTCTCAGGGGTGCTGCCAAAATACAGACGTGCCGATTGCTGGTAGTCAGACACTGCCATGTAGAACGCCAGGTTTTCCGCACAGTACGTTTGCTCTAAATAGTCTGCGAAATCGCGCAAGCTGAAGGGACTGGCTGTTTGGTTCTGTAGCACCTTCTCCAGAGTCATGCCATCGGTTGACGGTAGATCCAAGGGTTGCCGGATCGACGGTAACTTGCTGGCGACTTTATCAGAGAGTGGCATGTCGATGATGCAATGGACCTCATGTACTAATGTGTGAAGAAAAGGAACAGGAAGAAAGAAGGAAAGAGAAAGAAAAAGGAACGACAACAGAACGGGTGAGTGGTGGTGCGGCGAACTTTGAAGCAGTCCTTTACAAAAAGTGATGTTCTTTTTATTTTTTGGGAGCGGCAAATGAATATTGCGGGCCGAGAAGTTGCGCCTGGAAAAAGTCCTTCCAATTTGCACCCGAGCATGCACGTACTGCTAGCAACAACCTTCTCACCACTGTAACTTTCGACTTGGGACTAGGGTTAACAGTATACAAGAGATCATACGGCTCTGTGCCAACCAGCAATATCCAAACGTTTTAGAAAACAAAGAGTTTCTTATCACAGCGATGAACGAGTAACGCTATGTTACCCTGGGGCATATACACTGCTGGTAGGACACAATAAAGAGTAACCCCAGTTTTTCTGCCAATATTAGTAGTGTAGTCGAGGTGATTATAGCAGCTCGAATATTATTAGCAAACCGAAGATCCTTTTCGATCTGAATTTTTCTATTAGAGTACGTGACTTGTTGCTGTTGTTCCAGCCCTCTTCTTCCACGGGTGGGGCTACACATGGTTGTGTCCTATATGGTCAGAAACAGGTACATAAATGATCATATAACGTGGGAATGCGCACGTGTAACATCTCTCGCATAATTTATGCCTCTGCAACACTATCCACACACAGGACGTCAGATATACTGTATCCACTAGAACGCGTACTACTTGCTATACTAAAATAAACCCATCAGTTGCATATCAGGGTTCATTTCTTATCTACAAGGTTGCATTAACATGATGCAGCATGCTTCAGCCGACTACTGCCTTTAAGACATCGATCAACCCCCCCAAAATAATCAAGGTAAGCCCCATGCTTTTTGTTGCTGTAGTACTTGTGAATCAGCCAACCTCCAAGAAGAGCTGTCTTTCTTGCATACACTGCAGCCTGTCTTCTCTTGCGTTCATATGATGCAATCAGGACTACATAGGCTCACGACTCTAGACTTTCTACTTTTCTGACGGTCTGCAATAAGTAACATGATATATGCCCAAAAAAACCGATCCATTTCAGCAGGTACTACGTGTCACACGAGCCACAGATGCCGTGTGTACAATAAGTATGATAGTCGGAAAAGTTGACTGCCCGACTGACGGAAAACCTGTCAACAAGCTGGTTGCTGTGATTATAACCGATTGCTTTCTTTTCCCCCTCTTTCTTCTTCTTTCTGCTTTTACTTTTCCCTTTTCCCCTTTACACACACACACACTCATGCCTCGGATGCTCCGAAAAAAGATCGTCATAGTAGGAGACGGGTCCACCGGGAAAACGAGTCTTTTAATCGTATATCAGAAGGGCAAGTTCCCTGAGGTATGTAATAACCATACTTATGGATGACGATGACCAGCAAGGCTTCTTTTCCTTCTTTCAACTAACAGACAGTCTCATTGCTCTCACAGCACTATCTGCCCACTGTTTTCGAAAACTATATCACTCGACTCGACCTCCAGAACGGCAAATCGGTGGAACTGGCGCTGTGGGATACGGCGGGCCAAGAGGATTACGATCGATTGCGACCGTTGTCCTATTTTGAAACGAATGTTGTACTTGTATGCTTTGCGGTCGATAACCCCATCTCATTCCAAAATGTGCGGGATAAGGTAACGTATTTTTGCACACACGGCGACAACAACAACAACAACAGTGACGATACATACCAGTTACATAAAAGTTGCATGGCACTCCAAAAAAAGTAATGATGCTTATATTGCTGTTTTTGAAACAACGCTTGGGTGTTTTTTTTTAGTGGCTTCCGGAAGTGAAGCATTATTGTGGACGAGACGTAGCACTCGTCCTGACGGCGCTGAAGATCGATCTGAGGAAGGAAGGCTGCATAACTTATGATCAGGTATTTGAGAAAGCGTGTAGATAATACTGCGGATGGCAACAAGTGTGTTTATTCGGGAGCAAGGCGGGAGAAACGCAACGAAGATAACAGCTGCACGTAACGATGTTAATCATGGTGGTGGTCGTCGGGTGCTGCGGGTGTAACTCTGTAGGGAGCCGCGTTGGCAAAGGAAATCAAGGCAAAGTACTGCGAGTGCAGCGCCAAACAGAATGTGTACGTTGATAACGTCATCCGAACAGCAGCACAAGTAGCGACTCGGCCCAAAGCTTCCTTGATAAGAAAAAGGTGGTGCCATATTCTCTAGTATCAGCATCAGCATATATACACGCATTATTTCTACACAATCTACTACTACTCATTCTTATACGCTCACGATATCTCCTTTCTATGCCACCGACCAGCCATCCATCCATCTATCATCATCTGTTCTCTATTATCTGTACAAAGACAATCAATCCACATTTCTGCCATCTATTGTCCGTTATTCTACCCTTCCAATACCATTACACTCCACCACATGCCTGCATACTTAGCCCTCCAACATACGAATCAAAGCTTTATTTTTTAATATCTTTCGACGCTGTTTATTCGATCATGCTTGTTGTACGTGTCTCAAGAATGTTAACCACGTGCAAAGCCCGCTGCTGCTGCTGCTGCTGCTGCATTTCATGAGACAAATACTAAAATGCCCCAGGCCCCGTTCGGAATCAATTTACCATCTCAGCCTGCACACTTCGGAAGTGTCGGTTCAGTTCCGCAGATGGTATGTTTAGTACACCTTTTACTGTACTTTGGGCTTTTGTTTCTTTTTGATTCGCCAGCCGATCAAACTCGGGTTTTCCGCATTAAGCTCCTCTTGGCAAGTCGTCTAGAGAACGAAAGAAACGATTCAGATTATGGTAATTGGCTGACATCTTGTGTTATGCTGGACAACACGAAAGAACTCCGACCGTGACATGCTTCTGTCATCATCATCATCATCATCATCATCATCATGTTGCTTGCTTGCTGCTGCAGCACGTCACTTGGCTCCATCGTTGTTTCCAAACTGTGTTGCTTCAAAGGAACTCCACACGCGCATATAGTAACTCTAACATTGTATGCTCCGCAAAAGGGGTTGCTTCTGAGTAGTTCTTTTAGAATAGATTACACGTTGAGCTGCTGTTCCTCTTTGGAGCAAAGACGCTTTGCTATAAAGAGAGGAGCATTGTGTCTTGTGGCATACGAATGAGATGTAACATAGCCTGACCGGACTTATGTTTCTAAAAAAGCGATCGAAGCACAGGTCCGGCACCCTGGGGAACATTCTCTAAAAAGTAATTTGTTGTTGCGGGTCCCAACCTTGATGGACAGAGCCAACGCCTCAAAGCGAAGGTGGCGGAGTGCTTCCTCTTTTGTTTTGTGAAACAAGGATCCTGGCCGATCTGGTGCATCCCTACTCGAAGAGTTTTCAACCATCATCAGCATCAAGACGATTTCATAGAACCAGTTGTTAATGAATTACATTCTCGCTGTATTTATTCATCATGAATGTTTGTCTTGTGTATTGGTTAATATTACAAATGCTAAATACAGATATTACTGTATTCTTCACGGCTGAGATACTATATGATGATATTGATACGCATTTTGTGGTGATAAAGCACACAAACGAACAAATATGTAAAAAGCATCCAGAAAAAAAGTCACTGCTATTTAGATCCGTCTGGCTTTATTGAATGCAGCGTCCTATGCGGAACTTGCCCTTCCGATCCATCTGGCTTTGTGCTTTCTAGTTCAAAGTTTGGACGTTGCGCCGAAGGAAACGAAGGGGGTCCCATGATGGAATAAGAGGAGGAGGAGGAGGAGCCGCCAGTAGCCTTTTCGGTAGTACCGACAACAGGGAAGCCAGCATTACCTGACAGCTGTGATGTAATGTTCCTATCGTGATGGATTGTATATTGAATAGGAGGTGGTGTAAGACCTTGTCCTAATGACTCGTATGAAGGCTGGTTGCTGCATCACCATATAACGTTGGTGGTTGAACATCGTCTGTAGATTTGATGTCGTTTCTTGAGCTAGAGTAGTTTTTGAAATCTTGATGTGGTCGTCGCTTTCGTAACTTTAGGAAATAGAGAGCACCTGCAATGATTGCAGTCTATTATATGTAGCAGCGGAGGAGAGCAAAAGTTACTACTGTAACGCCACTCGCAAAATGGATGTTTCTTTTCGAAAAATATACTTACAGCTGCAATGATGCCAACGATGATACCAGCAATTGCACCACCGGAGAGCGGTTCAGAATCTGATCCATTGCCATTTCCTGCTCCCTGTTCATCTTTGTGTAAAGGGCCAGGTCCCTCATAGTTTTGTATCCATTGTCATGAATCCGTATCAAGTATTTAAACATCTGTGCGAGCACCTGCGTTTTCATCCGTGCCAAACATTAGAAACATAAGAGTGCTGTTACTCCAAAAACGCACAATCGTTCCATGTTGGGTGGTTTAATAGCTAGCGCCAATTGATGTAATCATGAGAATAGGTCTCTATTAACATGTCTTGGATCAGATACTTTATCTGAATGTCCTACTCTAGTTCCTACTCCTTCGATCCTACATATTGAGATTTATGATCGTCCAACCCATTGATGTTGTATCCAAAACACAGCAGAATTTTCAGCTGCCACTGTATCGATATCATTCATTTCCGTTGATCCTCCGTATACAACAATTTCATTCGTGCTTGGCTCCATGCAATTAGGGTGATATCCAACCGTTATTAAGCATAGAGGGCGGTACTGCCAAAGAGTTTGAGATGCATACTTGATACAGCCGTGTGCCAGTATCGAGTAGATGTCATATTTCCTTCTGTAGTGTTTCGAGTGACCCACATTCCTGTCGCAGTATCAAACAACGAGATGGTCGACATGGGTACAGGGAACTTGTCGTAGTATGAAGTCCCATTATCGGATGTCTGTAACATTTGCGATTGGCCACCGATGTACAGTAGTTCCCCGTTTAATTTTAGTTTTTATACTTTTTTTCTGCACCCCGTTCAAGCGTATAACACTGCTCGAATCACGCTCAATTGTGTCAACCCTCAGTAGTTTCAACACTTCATAAACCCCTTTGAGGATGAAATTAACTGGGAACCACTGTATAGCACATTCAAGAAAGCATGGTATGCTCAATAGATATATACGCATATATACTAACCTTTGTTTATAGATAGGTCCGGATGGAAGTGGACGACACGTTGCTACATACTATGGTAACGTTTATTGCTGCTGCTATAACGTGCTGCCACTGTTGCACCGTTTTACCATGATGGCATTAGCAATTTCTAAGGTCGTTTAACAACAGGATCATTGTGCCGCTAGAAAAATCTTATAATGCCTCAAAGCTAGAATACATTTATACAAATTAAAGTATAACAGATATGATATGTATTGCATAGATTATTAACCATCATCTGTGACATACAGTCTTAACGTAACATGGTAAATATACACTTTGCACCATGACAGTTGTAAATTTTCTTGGATGAAATTACTTATTTTTGGCTCTTGACTTGAATATACATATAACATAATTTGACTGATGAGCTAGTGCAACAATGAAACACAGCTCTCAAATGTAGAGGAGTAGATAATAGTATGCGGTCAGAAGAAGAAGGGATCAGCATTTATTGCTACGTTTAGGTCTGTGGTGGTTAAGAAGTATTACAAGATGTTTGAAAGTAAAAGCGAAAATAGTTAAGAGAAAAATTATTTATGGAGGGGTGATAGTCATCATTTGATTTACTTAAAAAGAAAGTCAATATGTTTTACTAACTACTGCCAGCACCATCAGGCTTTACTGGCTGCAAAGTCATACGAGGAGTAGCATCTGAGGCATCGGGTTTTCCAGCTTCGACACCAAATGATCGTCTACCTTCAGTTAGCATTGCCTCACTCGTTGAGCCACTGAGTCCCGTTTCTGAAGTGGGTTCAACCGTGCTAGAATAGGAAGAGGATCGTTGATGCTCTGCTCCTGTCTGTGATGGTGTAAGCGCGCTGTAGTGCTCCTGATGGAACATGGCAGGTGCTGTTTGATCGTCATAGCGAGGTGGTGGCGATCCCGGTCCATGATCGCTGACATCTACAAGGAATGCCGGACGCTGACTGTCGTCTCCCTTTTCCCTGGAGTTTTGTTCGCCTTGATTACGTCTTCTTCGTCGAAGGAAGAAGAAAAGCGCACCAGCAATTATACCAACTCCCTAAGAAACAAGTTCGCTATTAGCCTATCACCAATCTTTTTGTTCCATGTAGTATTAAATGCTGAACAGTTATTTGATGCTCACAGCTACCGCGCCAACGACTGCTCCCGCAATGGTGCCTCCTGAAACTCCACCCTCTCCTGAGCCACCAGCGTTGTCTGGGTGCTCTGGATCACCCGAGGATCCATCATCCTTGCGACCAGGTCCAACATAGCTATCAACCCACTGCCAATCATCTGTATCGAGCACCTGGAAATCAGTTCGCTCATACACATTGCTGTCAATACCAAACATGACAAATAATAACGAGCTATCCTCAGGAAATACGGCTAACCACAACAAAAAAAATAAATCTTGTCAGTATCTCCATACAGAGCTGGATACAATAATGCGCTATCTTGCAAATCGAGGCTTCTACTGGATCTCTTACCTGCGTGTCCAAAACGTGCTCCTGCACCGGCACTTTGGCTCAAATTCACATTTGTCCATTGCATCGACGTCGTATCCAACACAGCACAAAAGTCCGGAACGACGCCCAATGAAATATCTAAAACAGACGGTTAGGCTGATCGTATCATTATATTTATCCCTTTAAAAAAAAGAAGATAACGTAAGTTTATATTCTTACTTGTGTGAGCACCACCATAGATAACAATTTCATTGGTGTTCGGCTCTATCAGTTACACATAAATATTGTTGTCAGCAACAAATGATTCACTATTCAAAATTAGAGAAAAATTATGTCAAATTACTCAGAGCTGCCGCATGGAGAACTCTTGGTGTTGGAATGTAGTCGCCTGCTGTCTCTCTGGTAGCCCAAAGTGAAGTCTCTGTGTTGAATGTGAGGATATCAGAGAACAGTGCATCGGCTTCTTCAAAAGAAGTGGTGCCGTTTTCGTTCGTGTATTGCTGCTCTGTTATGCCTCCCAAGAAGTAAATGGTCCTTTGGTCGTTGCCCATGACAGAAATATGGTAGATACGCGCAGCAAAGCTATTGGGTAGCATGACTGTAGACCATTGATTGCTCTGTTGTTGTAACAGTGGTACATACAACCCAAAATTCTGAATTAGTACCGTGAACGAGTCCAGCCGTGCTGTTGCTGTTGTTGAGTTTGTAGAATACTTGCATTGTAGTCCAAGATTCGCATATTTCGTGGATAATCCACGCTGATGTAGCCGTTTCCTGAATCGCTGTAAAGATATGAAAGCAAATATCAAAATTAGCACAATGCGAGCTATGAATCTACTCGGGTCCGTCATGTTGTGGGTTTAGGCATGTATGTTATGGATCGGACATTTTGATTGTACCTTACACCACCCCAGACATAGACCTTGTTGTCCGAGCCCACGGACATCGAATGTATATAGCTTTTTATACATTGGTATATTAGTGCTGGAATGAAATGGAAGTAACGAGAGATACACTCATCGTCCATCCTTTTTTCTCTTTTGTACGATGACAGAAGTTGAAGCTTACGTTTGGAGACCGCTGTTTCCGCTTACGGCGGTCCAGGTCTCCGTCTTGGCGTTATAAGCGATAGATGGATTGACGAGCAAACTGTTATTCATTGATCCAACGCCTCCATTAATATACAACGTATTGTTTTCTGGTATCGATGTTATGGCAAACATGAAATTATGCTCTGCTTCCAAAGATCCGGTATTGTTGGCTCCGATCCATGCTGAACCAGAGCTGCTGATCGTAAAACTTTCGGCGACGTCGAGAAAAAACAGATCGTTCATTGTTCTGGATGCGTCGACACCTGCTTGAAAGGACCAAGTACTGCCACCAAAGCAATATATTCTTTGTAGAGCATAGGCGCAACCTTGAGCGTCAATCGAAAACCGTGGTTGAATGGTGGTGGTAGCATTAGTAGGTCACATAAAAATAGGGGATAAGAACCCATTAATGATGCTCGTTATTGCAAACGACTTTCTTTTAGTGGGGTAATTGTACCTGTACCCCACCGTGCTGGTGGTGAAATTGCCGATGCCAGGTGCGGGGCAAAAGACAAAGCAACGAGGGGCCAAGACGAGAACCTCATACAGCTAAAAACGAATCGTTGGAAGAAGATAAAAGAGAAATCCAAAAAAAAAGAAGAAAAAAAGAAAAAAAGGTAAAAGAAGAAGATGCTCTAAGCTCTTGTAGCTGTGGGACACGGAACAAAGTAAAAAAGGTGATACTGACTTTTGGTAACACCATTGCTTGCTAATACGATACGTTTTCTATGCCATGTGACATGAACTTTCCTTTTGTTTTGTCTGCCACTACTACCACTACTACTACTGCTACTACTGCTACTACTACCAGTGGCCAGAAAAATTGCTACATGGTTCTGCATCATTTAAAAACAACAGTCTAGCAAGAAGAGAATGTGAAATAAATGGCTCAAACAAAGGGAACCACAACGGTGTAGTACATTAATATACAGCTTGCAGCAACGTACACTTGTGCCTGCTATTATTGTTACTGATCAAATTCATCTTTATTGGTTCCAATAGGAGACGCGCGAATATGCTGTGAGGTTACACTTAATACTAGATTGGTTGTAAAGCTGTGTACAGGAAAAGGCAGTTTTATTACCAGGTCTTCTTCCTTTTTCAGTCTGCTGCGCCTCATCTTAATGATTAGGTGCGGTGGACCAGTGTAATAGTGGAGCTTGTACATGTAGGATACATAAAAGACGTATCAACTTTTTCAAAAGCTCAGAACTATGACTCACGGCAAAACTTCTTTCGAGCTATTGTTTTTTGACAGATGAAGTGACAAGGCTATCGAAAGATAGTTTTGTCTGCATGTCACAGTGGCACTAATTTATTGAGCGGAGAAAATATCTAACGGCGGGCAAATAGGCAGATTTTTTTTCTCTCGATGCACATACTAAGGTCACAAGTGAAAATAATTCATGAACGCTGTACTCTATTCAAGGCCCAAGGCACTCACAACTTTCTATCATCAACTAGCTGGGAGCCGATAATTATGGTGTTTTTTTTACGAGTCGAAAGAGAAAGGTAAGAAAAGACTGTTAGAATACAGGCTATGCTTTGTCAACGAGAACTACCGTTTGGTGTTGATGCTTTGCTCAGCAAATGAGCCTATCTGTAACTTTGTTTCAATTGTACATATGACTACGGCTTACCAGAGTATGTAGAAGAGAGGATGAAAGAACATTCTCGCTAATAAAGATCAATGCTCCGGTTTTTTAAGAACGAAACTGTGAATCTAGTGTAAGCAAAAGCAACAGAGACACTCGTACCAACATCAGTATTAGATGCAATGGCAGCAGGAGTGGTAATATGTACTACATAACAATAATTCACCCGGTTTTAAAGTTTCATTGTGGCTGACCCATTACTTCATTTTGGTGCACAAAGGCTCAGGTACAGCAAAAACGGTCCGTGACTCCTGCTTCTTCTTCTTCTTTGCCGGTTAAAGTGACCTGAACCAGATAGAGGGTCGTTTTTGTAAATTTTGTAAATAAAAATAAATTACAACTGCATGCGATATAATAAATAACTCAATTATAAGTATAGTCTAAACTCGGTTAAGCTATATACCATCTATTGGTCCTGTATGGCAGAATCAGACACAGAGCACCAATTGCAGCAGTAACAGTGTATAGAGTTTTATTAGGTCCTCAGCTGTTGAGGGTAAGAGCCATCTAATACACATAATTAAAAAGTAAATTTACCTCATTACACGCATCCACATTTTTACATATTCAACAAATTTCACATAGTTTATACGGTACTGATATAATGTATAGTAGCACTTCACGCTACTACACTCGATCTTGCGTCAAGGGAAAAAAGCAAATTATGAGTTCTTAATGGCTCGTATCCTACAAGATTATGGCTGTGATGAACGCACCACATCGAAGAATGACAGAAAACTTTTTTTTTCGATTATTTCGACTTATAAGTATCCTGCCATGATGTCCTTTTATTATTAGCCACAGCATGGGCATCCGACTACATCACACATTCTTATCCCAAAGAAAAATCTTGTGCTACCATCCAGCGCGGTTTGCTGTTGTCACCTCGATAATTGCATATAGTGTAGCTGTGAGACATTGCGCCACAATAGGAGGCAGGATGGCCGCTTCAATGAGTTTATTTATTATTTATAGGCACTCGGTTCTCTCTTGCTTCCTTATTCTTTTCCTTTCATTCCAATTGCCACAGAGCAGCCCATACTAAGATGCCTGACGAACAGCAATTGTATATCATTCTTCCAATTGTAATAATTGGATTTGTACTTGCAATGGTTATGTGTGTTACTCTTATTTACGCACGGACTCATCGTCAACGTAAGCAGAAACGAACAGAGGAATAAATCAGGATCAAAATTAGAGTGTACCTTACAAAGAGCTCTCATGTCGTAGGATACGTTGTATATACTGTTCCTGCCGAAGAATACGATTTTAATGCTCGGTCATCCTCATCAGTACCCTTGACAACCAGCAATGGTCGCCGAGGAAGAAGCTACAGTCATCATCATAACCATTACAGCCAAGTGTCAATCCAGAATAATACTGAGGGTGAACCACTCGCTTTCGAAGAGCCGCGATCATTGAATTTACCACCACCCGCTTACAACGAACATCGAGGTGATGTTAGGATACCGGTTCCCCGCAATTAGTCACATCCGTTTTTTAACGTTATCCTTGTTCGTGTACATAATTCCTTTTGTTTCATATTACATTTCTTCTCTTATATTCTACTACAACTCTATCATTTCATATTACGAAGAAAGGTCCTTTGACCTTGAATTATAGTCATCATGTGCTATCCGAGAAAAGAAATGTTGTATACGGAACCTCGCAAACTTTACAGTTACACAACCTCAAAATCGGAGTTGTGGTACTTGAGAAGTATTGTGGCTGCACCTTTCATTAAGAACAGTGAATACTATCCTCAACCTGCAAACATCAATGGATCCATACGGTAAGGAATCAGTTACATTTACAGAATTAATTTGGTTTCTGTTCTCTATGAATAAAATTCGATCGCTGTTCCTGATCTAGTTTTTTTTTCTGTTAATTCTAGGGCGACCGCCACCACCACCGTTTCAATCGCCACGTCCACCTCCTCCTGGACAACATTTTGTTCAACCACCAGCAGGAGCACCGCACCCACCACCCATGTCAGCAGATTACCACGCAGCATCTCCTGCTGCTCAAGGACACGATCAGTTTGCGCTTTCAACAGCATATGACAGTGTGAAACGCGTCATGTTGAATCCATATAACAACAATCGCATGGAAGAAAAAGATCTCGACGATTTTAAAATCATTTTGCAAATGATTATGCAAGATTGCTCTCGAACGAACATTGAAGTACTTACCATCCTCTCTACTTCCCTTATTGTGTTTGCCTGATATACATCGTGTTCAGCGTTTAAAGAACAAACCACACCTGAAAACTCGTTATACTCACTGACACCTTAAACACACACACACACAGTCTGGCAAAACCTGGGTATTCAAGTATTGTTACGAACCACAACAAATAGAAGTCATAGCAGATTTATGGCTGGCCTTGTCTCAGTCGCGAAATTCATTTTTGGAACGACTACATTTGATTTATCTCGTCAACGATATTCTGTTTCACAGGTATAAAAGTGATGGCCATTTTGTGATAGTTTATGCGGCATGATAGGAAGGTTGTCACTTTAACGTGAATGTATTTCATAGTGTTCGGCGGCAGCAAATGTGGATGAAGGAAGCCATTTTACCACGTCTAGTGCCACTCCTCAGACAAGCGTACCATTACAGTGGCATTTCTACCGACATGAAATCAAAAGTGACCAAGGTATAGAAGAAAAGAAGAAAACATGGGAGATAACAGGCTACATGTGATAAAATTGATAAACTGGGTATAACTTCCCTGGTGATGGTATGCTTACACTCATTCCTTTCTTTTTGATATCCAGGTTATTTCGATTTGGAGCGACAAACACTTTTTTGATCCCAATGTCCTCGATTCGATAAGGAAAAATGTTGTTATACCTCCGCCACCACCAGCTCCACTGACTCCATACGATGTGAAACCGACGCCCCCTCCACCAGGAGCAGTAGGGCCACCTCTACCACCACATCCTAATATGCATCCATCCATGGCTCCACCAATGCCCCCTATGCCTTCTCCACACTTCAATCCTGGATTTCGACCACCATTTCCTCCTCCTCCGGCAGGATATCCATATCCTCTTCGACCTCACATCAGACCTCCGCCAATGCCACCCGCTGGAGTCATGCCACCTCATCCACCACCAGGAATGAACCCACATTTACCACCCAGACCCATGATGAGCATGCCTCGCCCTCCGCCACCACCTCCCGTGATACCAGCTGCACCTCCTCATGCGTACCCTCCAACAACTGAATCACAAAATCCTACCCAAATTGAACAGACTGCTCCTGAAAAGCAGTATTATGAGCTCCCTGCTGGTCTCATGCTATCCGCTGTGCAGGTAACTAAATTGTGTCGAGTAGAATATATAACTACAACTGTCCGTAATGTAATTGGTAGTTGGGACTACATACTCACCAATTAGTATGAATAACCAGATAAACGATGACACGTACTCTGCGATTCGCCCATCTGAGATTCAACAAGTATATTCATATCCATCACCCACGGATGAAATGAATCGCGCTGTGGACGACTTCTATTGGGGGTTGGACCTACGGGATAGAGACAATGCTGAGGAGTTTGAAGAACAGGCAGATAGCAAACTCGATCGGAGCGGATGGGAGCCAGGTTACCTGGATACGCATTATGAAATGCTCAAGCAAAAACAAAATGAAAGACGGGAAAGAGAAGAACGAGAAGGACGACGGGGAAGACAACGGCGACGCAGTGATAGTCACGAAGAGGAACGAGGAAGGTATGGCCGTTCTTCCCGATCAAGCAGACGTGATCATTCCCGCAGCAGAAGTCGAAGTCGCAGTGATTACAGTAGTCGTAGCCGCAGTCGCAGCTACAGTCCTGAGCGTGGTCGTAGCCCCAGAAGAAGACATAGCCGTGGAAGTCGAGGACATCACCGGCACCATTATCACAGCAGGTCAGTCTCATAAGTATTAGTCTTATCATTTAAACGGTGCAAATGCTTAAGCTGTTTCTTATCCTACTTTGCGAGTCTTACTAATGCATTAGAAATCACACCATACATCTTAAAACATATAGAAGCCGCTCGCCTTATAGTCGATCTCGGAGTCGTGACAGCTACAAATCACCGCGGTCCCGCTCCATGTCCCCGTACCGCCGCAGATCCAAATCGCGTTCGGACTCTCGTTACAGATATCGATCTCGCTCGAGATCACGGTCGCCGCCACCTACACTTGGTTTAGGTGGAGGAGGAAGCGGCAGTATGAATAGATATCTTGCGCATGTCTCGCGCTCAGATCGAACCGGACCCTCACCTGGTATCATGCCTTCAGATGATTCGAGCAAATATGTCGGGCAAGGACATCCACGAGGTTACCATCAAGCAAATGAGCTTACATGTTATAATTGCTCAAAGGTATGTATTTTAGTTATTATTGAAAGCACATTGGGTAGTACGAGGAAAATAGTAACTAGTTTGTTCTAATAATGTTGTATATGTACATATGCATATGTATAGTCAGGTCACTTTGCAAGAGATTGCCCAGAAGCATCATCAACACCATACAATCGGCAGAGATGCTAGTATGTTTCTAACGTTTGCAAAAGTAATCCAATAAAACACAGATTGAATCACACACCACACGGAAACACATACACCTTGGCTAAAATAGGGGATGGGTTGACTTGTTGAGTTAAAAGAAGGAATTAAGGAAAGATATATAATAGTACATGCGATTCTTTTTGGCGGCTGCTCGCTATAGTTGAGGAGCTACATATTGTTTGATAAGGCTGCAGCGTCCGGGCGCCTTAAGCCAGTTGCTGCTTCTGATGCTGCATCATGGCTAAATCGCTGTTGTTGGTGTTGTTGTTGATCACTATATATATCATCCTCGTCCACTTCATGGTCTGCTGCTGCTGATCTCCGTTTTCGTCTTCGCTGGCGTAAAAAGCGTAAACATCGTGCTTCAGCTGTCGTCGCTTGTTGTAAGCCAAGTAGATGGATTTGTCTGACAAACAGGCACATTATCAGTATAGCGAAAATGGGCAGATACACCAAGCATGTTTCAAACATGATCCAGCCAAGAGTTGTAAAATTGTAAGTTTCGTGAGTCACTATCATGCTGAAAAAGAGCCAAGCTTCAGCCGCCATGCCGATCATGGATATAGTAAATGAGAGCATTGTTGCTTTCAAAAAACATCCATCACGATATAAGTTATTAGTTTTCGTCGATGCCGCTGTTGCTGTTGCTGTTGTTGACGATGATGATGATCGTGGTGTTGGGACAACAGCCAAGAAAACAAACAGTGCATTGGAGGCGGCTAAAACAGCCAGTGCTGTGATGCACAGAGCCATGATTAGCCTAGTGGAGCCAAGATTGTCGTTCAATGCCAGACGGACACAAACAAGCGCAACGACTAGACACGTGTACGTGATGAGCATGCAAACATTTGCCCAGTACGTTTTTGATCTTTTTAACCGAATCGAGTTCTGTTTGCGTTGCTGCTGCTGCTGCTGCTCTTGTTGGGATTGCTGCTGAGATTGTCGTTGACGCCGTTGCTGTTGCTTCTCAGGATCGTCTAGGTCTCTACTGTTCCAGTGGTCACGGTTCTGGTAAGAGGTATTTACATGCTGAATATACATAAGCTGGCACTCGATCAGTGCCGCGTACAGGAGGAGTGAAAAGATGGGTATATGGTTGATGATGGGGCTACGATCCGCTAAAAGTATGACAGAATCGCTCTGGTATCGTCGTGCAAGCATGACAAGATGTGAAATTGTTGATAAAATTGCAAAAACGATGAATGGAAGTAGTAGGAGGTTGTGTCGACACCGTACGGCGAGTACCGTAGTCAACAAAATCAATATGGTGCTATAAATGACCCATGCGATATCTTCTCCTGTCAGCATAGTGTGTGTTGGATGTTGACGTTGGTGTTGGTGTTTTAATATAGATATAAAAAGAAGAATAAAACGATTATGGAATGTCAAGTAAAAAGGAAGGAAGACGGGAAAAACAACAGAAAGCAAGAGTTAGCGACAGAGGAAAGGGAGGCAAGATTGTGAAAGGGGCATTTGTGTTCTAATGCATGAACTCTTTGCTTTGCCAAGCCAGTATAAACCATAAAAGGTCAAGTTCTTTCACAAATCTTCAAGTTGTTACAGCATTGTTTACAAGCGTTCGATAACCAAGGCGGAAGCACCACCACCACCGTTGCACACACCAGCAGCGCCATACTTGGCATCCTTCTGCTTCAAGACGGAGTAGAGCGTAGCAATGATTCTTGCACCAGAGCAGCCAAGAGGATGGCCCATCGCAACAGCACCACCAAAGACATTACTATTCGATGAAAAGGGGGGAAAGTGAATGGGCGAATGATGAGTCAATTTCAAGGTCATCTTAGCAGCTGAGTGGCGATGCTCACGCATGCAGCTTGCTTGCAGGGTCTGGATATATCCCAAATAACCCTTTTTTCCTCTCTTCCTCGACATCTGTCGTTTCCCCTTCCCTCTCTCCAGCCAACGAGCAGCCTTCTTCCGTGCGAAGCCCCTTATTCTTTTTCTAAAACCCTGACCCTATCACTGTCTAGCTTGATACCACGGTACTTACACCTTATCCGTAGAGATGTTCAACATTTTGACGTTAGCGCATGCGACAACAGAGAACGCTTCGTTGATTTCGTAGTAGGAAATATCCTCCTCCTTCAAACCGGCATGTTTGATGGCCTTGGGAATAGCAAGGGCAGGAGAATCAGTGAACTTGTTGGGAGCCTGAGCAGCATCGGCCCAACCAGAGACCTTGGCGATAAGAGTCAAGTTGTACTTTTCAGCAGCTTCGCGGGAGACCAAGACAATAGCAGCTGCGCCATCCGACAAGGGCGATGCGTTGGGAGCAGTAACAGTACCGTCCTTGGGCTTGAATGCGGGACGCACTGCGCGAAGTTTAGCCTCGTTGAACTTGTTGATTTCATCATCAGTGTCCACCACGCGATCAGGCTTGCCGCGGCCACCTGAGACAGTGACAGGGACAATTTCATCCTTGTAGTAGCCAGCAGCAAAAGCAGCCTGAGCACGCTTGTACGATTCGACAGCATAGTCGTCCTGCATCTCGCGAGTAATACCGTGACGCTCAGCACACTCTTCAGCAGCCACACCCATGGGGTAGTCATTGTACACATCCGTCAAACCATCCTTCAAAACACCGTCGACCACCTCTTGATGGCCATAGGTCGAGCCGAAGCGCTGCTTGGGCAAGTAGTAAGGAGTGTTGGTCATGGATTCCATACCACCGGCGACAATGACATCGGCATTGCCAAGTATGATGCTCTGAGCAGCCATCGCAACAGCTGATTAGTAGTAAATAAATAGCCATGTCAATAAATTATAACATGTCATCTTGCAATAACAATGGAACTGTGATATGCAACCAACGGCAAACATCCGTCGATCCCTCTTCCCCCTTTCCCTATCTCCCGTCCGTTTTTCCACTTTGCTTCCGTAATACAAACTTACCCTTCATGCCCGAAGCACAGACCTTGTTTACAGTGGTAGCAACGGTGGTGTCAGGGAGTCCGGCACCCAATGCAGCTTGTCGTGCAGGGTTCTGACCGAGGTTTCCTGTCAGGACACAGCCAAAGACAACTTCCTCAACAGCTTCAGCAGGAAGGTTGGCCTTCTTGATGGCAGCTATTAGATAGAAACACGCTCGCTTATCAATATACTTGCATACAAACACGTCCAATCGTCATATCGTCCTTTCTTCTCGGGCCTATTACCTTCAATAGCAAGCGAACCGAGCTTGGTTGCCGACAGGGAAGCCAACGAGCCGTTAAAACCACCAAGAGGAGTACGGATAGCAGCAGCAATGAAAACCTCTATAAAACGTTTTTTCGACAATTAGACTACAATGATTTCCATCAACTTCCCCTATTACGTGGTGTGTCAAATTGTCCCACGGGCGAGGCGTGCGAAAGTCCAATCCGACAACCCGCCAGATGCGCACGATCGCAATTGCGTGACTCCTTATCTAGAAACACTTGAGCTTTTATCAATTTACATACCGCGTTGAGTCATGATGAGAAAATCGGAGATGTGTGTTCGACGAAGAAAGGGACGAAAATAAAAACTAAAGCTGGGAGAAAGTTTATATAAAAGCGGCGCGGAGACAGGCACAGCTGAAACAACGACAGCCAACGAGGACGTCTGTCGGTGTTACGGTCCATTCCCGAAACTGGATTGGGACGAAGATAGGATTACAAGAAAACTGGTTATACACAACATTTGGTGTGTGATCTGCATGCATATCCGTGCCTTGCGACGTCTCAGACCTTAACAATATGTTATATAGACACTTTGATATTCTTTGTCTGCTATACGATTACTAAGCAGAAGCTTTACGGGTTTCGCTTATTTATTTCTTTCGTGCTTCAAGGTTGGCATCGTAATGACGGTCAATTTCGATTTAACTTGATGTATGCAGTTTTTTTTGAAGCATAGAAAATTAGGAGTAAATTATGCATAGCTCACTTTCATTGTTGTAGCAGTGCTCTTCTTGAAAATACTGCATGCTATTGGCGTCATCACACTCACTGCTTGTTTTATTGCTAAGTACCCCAAAAAACGGATGCATGCACAGTCAGATTGGAGAAGTTCAGCGCTCCCCCATTAAACTTTTCAGCGGTTGCACAGAGATTTTTTTCGTCCCACTTTCCCAAAAAAAATTACGCGCCATTGCCGAGAAGCTCTCGGCGCCTCTCACGAGAATTGTTTGACAGCAATGAAGATGATTTTGAGACGCTCCAGCTATCATAAACAATTAACAGGTTAGCGAAAATCGAAAGTGGGATCCATTTTGAAATTGGGACGCCAAGATTCCACTGGACCATGTTGCCAAATTGAGTCGCTAACGCGAAAGCTGGGTAATACGCGCGAAACTGCGCATTTCTTCTTCTTCTCTTCTTACTATATATTTTTTGGCTGGAGATCCCTATATTATGATGGTTGTCGTACATGACCGCCAACCAGAAAACATCCCTTTAAAAAACCCCAAAACAGTGGTCAAATGTTGGTCACATTTCACGTACCCATCCATCTCTTTCTACCCCCTGCATGGCATCTCATACATGCTCGCTTTCCAGCTTTCTGACAAGATATAAAAAGAAACAAAGTCTCAATGCGTGCGTTTTATTGATATTTCAATAGCCGGTGGTCTTCTTTCTCTTTCGAATTTTTTGCTTGTCAAGCAAAAAGGTAATGTCGGTGGCCAAGAGGGATTCATGGTACAGGAGAAAGTGTCAGCATCATTGCTTCTTTGTTGCAATGTTTTTCAGAGATGTGAATGACATTCTTTAGGCGCGCCAGATTCGTCAGGTATGCAGGCACCTCTGAGACAGACATAGGGACTTGCACGCGCAACAATTCTGTCATGGTGTAGATACCATCAGATTGCAGCTTGATCAAATAAAAACGATGGAAGGTGCTAGGAAATAGAACAAATTCAGCGTTTTTTTTTTGGGGGGGGGGCATATGCTCACAAACCTACCGACAATGTGGATGCTGATATTGCCACCAAGGTGATTGTCATCAATGGCATTTTTGCCAAAGAACGCGAGGCGAACCAGGTCCCAGTTCACCAAGTAATGGTTCCTTGCCATAGAGATTTTTTTCACTTCACTGTAGCCAATATTGATGCCGCCATCTGTTTGGTGGGTGAAGCGCGTGATGATGCAATCTGGGCATCCGTTGAAGTTGGGCGGTCGTTTGCACTTTTCAGCAAGCTCAGTAGCTGTGAAATCAAGTCGGATGTTTAGGTCGTCGTTGTCAAACAGAGGCTGCAGTAAAAGGACAATATATCTGGTGATCAGCATAGTCTCTGAGATGTCAGCGTTACTGGGATCTATGGGAAGAGACTGGAGAAGCTGTGAAGCCAACACGATCAGGCGTTTGTTGATTTTGTCATCTATGGTGCTTGCCAGGTTGAGGATTGATACGCTCACGCCGATCTGATCGATTGTCTTTTTATACACACTTTGAGCAATCTCAATGGTTTTGAGCAATACATCACCGGGAAATTTGCTTGTCGAGTTCTAAGAATCAAGGTTGTGTTCACGGATTTGGGTATAGAGCTTGTTTCTGAAAAAAGGCACCATTGCTTTGGGGAGGCAGTTGTTGTTTTGAAGGAGGAGATTTGAACTCAATGAGAGGATCAGGTGTACGCCAGATTCCAGTGTCAAGTTGTTGGAAAGAACAAAACCAAAGACATATTGCTGCATTTGATAAAATTTCCTTGAGATGTCGATGTTGTTAACTTGGAATCGATCATGACCAGGCACTTATAACTGTAAGGACAATTGTGATGGTGACGAACTGTCGCCTGTAGGTGAGGGGGTCTAACTGGTAACCTTCTAAACTCTTTTTGTTTTATAACATTTATAAATTTAATATAAATCATTACAAGTGAAATAATCTATTTCTGCCAAAATAATAAAAAAATGAAAAAGTTCAAGATTTAATAAAATTAAAGTATTTTAATTTTAACTAATTTAACATAAATTTATTTTAAAATTGAAAAATCTTTATTTAAAAAAATTAGCAATTATAAGAACAAAACAATGATGGGTTGTTTTAATACAGTTCTTCCTTTTTCTAAAAATAATTTAAAAATAGATTTAAAATTAGAGTTAACAGAAATGATAAAAATAGAATGCAATCATATTATAAATTAAAGATTAATACATTTCATTAATAGAAAAATAGATGAAAAATAAATAATTTATTAAATTCGGATTTTTTTATTTATAAAAATTTGGATAATAGTTTATGTATGCATAAATATAAAAGAGGGAAAAATGAAGAAAGGTAACCTTTGTTGTAAAAGGATAACTAAAAATGGGGATAAAGAAAAATTTATTTGTACTAAGCATAATAAAAACCATATACCTGAAAAAAATAATAAAAGAAAGATTGAGAAATTAAATAAAACATTAAGTGAAAAAAAATGAAAAAAAAAATTCTTTAAATAATGAAGGATATATTACAAAATTATATCCAGACATCTATTAAATTAATCTTTTATTATTCATTTATATATTATATTTTCTATTAGGTACATTATGCTATTTGTTTCCTTCTTTCTTATTTCAATATAACATGTTCCTTTATGTTATATTTTTACTTAATTATTATAAAAGATGAAGTTTAAATTTATTGCCATAATGATTATTTTATTAATAATGAATACTTACTATTAATATATCTCATTAATTGATAAAGATAATAAATCTAAAAAAATCGAAAGGATCAAAATTAGTCACTGAGAGTTCTTCAGATGATGAGTCCTAATGCAGATCAGCATCATCCTCAGTGTCATATTGGCTATCAATTGTATCTTGAGTGGATTCTTTATTGAGTGCAACTGGGTCGATCAACTGGTGCACTTCATGTGCTGCAGGGTGTGCTGCTGTCGTGAGTGTAATGATTGCTTCTTCATGAACGTGTCGAATGCATTTTCTATGTTCAAAGTTTAATAAGATGAATAGGAAACATACAGTGCCCGCGCGCTATAACGATACACCCTATAGACCGAAAAACCTATCGTTATATCGAATTATTGGTATATCGAATTGGCTCTCAGGGCAGATGAGTTCGGAATAAAGCTTATCCATAGTCTACTGAGATATCCTCCGCAAAAAAAGAAGCAAAAAGAATGTACCGGAAACATAATTAAACTAGCGTCCATCATTAGCTTAGTAATAATCAATGAAGAGAGAGGAAAACATCACTTCTTTATCCACAAAATAGCTTATCGTCTTATCACAGAATCGCAGCTGGCTCCTCTCGCATTATCAATGCAGGTGCCCTAACGAACCAAAAAATCAACACCAAATGCTTACTAAGCGCCAAAAGCTTGCAATCGTGTACAAGCATAAACAGAGTGGCTGGACCCAAGGCAGGCTTCTTGCAGAATGGGCAAAGGAAGAATATAAGCCTATTTATGTAGGCTATTTGTTTTTAAATTTATAAAGGTAGGTGACGACACTGAAGAAGTGGAGCAGAGAAAATGGTATGATGAATAGGAACAACAGCCTTTGTCCTCGAGAAAAGTCTGTAAGCAGATATAGGCGTTGAAGACAAAGATGATGCTAGAATCATTTTTTCCATATAAGAGGAAAGTTGAGAACGCTGGCTGCTGCAGAGCTAAAAACCGCCAAACAAACAGATATCTTATCTTAATTTGGAAAATAAAGTGCATTATTTACCGCTCGATAAACCGATATTTTGGGAAATTATATCGTTCATCGTTATATAGAATTACCGATATTTTACCAAGTAATCGGCCTTGCACCTGAGAATCCTATCGTTATATCGAATTATCGTTATATTGAATATCGTTATAGTGCACAGGCACTGTATTAGGCACATACTCGTGAACTCGTCGTTTAGAGCTCTTGAAGATGTCATTCCAAAGAGTAGTGTTGCAGACTTTCGTGCATGAAGATTCATCATTATTAATAATATTATCTTTTAAATGATAGATAATAGATAAACTATTATCCTATTATAAATCTGCCAATTCCAAAAATTAAAATTTTTTATGGAGATTTATAACTAGTTACTTTTCTGGAGAAAGTAACACAAAGAGACCTAATTTATTTGTATGAAAATGAACAATTTGTTTGTTTTCTACTAGTTTTGTATACAAAAAAGATTATATATCTACTAGATGTATTTCAATCATCAAAATATCTATTTATATATCTTCTCTTTTTTAACTTTTTTAAAAATATTAATGATAATTAAATTTATTACTTCTAGAAATTGTTCAAGGTGGGTAACTTCTGTCCAAGAGGTTGTCGATTCGAATCCGGCTATTTGTTGTCCCTTGCTGCTGTCCTAATGTGGGTCGTCACTTCGTGGAAATCGCTATGACAAGATATGCATGGTCCTCCCTAGTGCTCTTGATTGGTTCGTACTTAAACACATCGGTGTGTCTTAGTCACTTCATCCTGTGCACTATGTATCTTTAACGTTATTGGCAGTTACTGATAATTGCACATTTTGATAAACTAGACCCCAACTGGGGGCTTCCCCTACAAAAAAAAAACTCCAGAGGATTCTATGTTGAAAAGATAAGGAGATTTGTAAAAAGAACATCTCACTCCTTTTTTGTTCGAGGTGCTCTAGCTGAGTGGCTGTCAGAATTGCCGCGCTTGCTGGAGAAATAACATTTGTTGAAAATATCCGGCCATGAACTGTTTTTTTTTCTTTTCCCTTCTCAACGATCCAACAGCCAAGGAATCTACTTGCCATGCACTTGTAGTAGCCACGCGAGGTTCAGTCCCCTGGCGCCCTAAGTGAAAGTGATTGGGCCTTAGAGTTGCTATGCATATTGGTTTCCGTGTGTATAGACCATCATGAGTAGCACAATATGTCTTATCTGCACTGGTTCTGGATACCCACAATCAAGGCAAACAGAAGAGATCTATGGTGGTCCAAAGACTATTCAACATCTTTCGCTAAGTCCAGCATTCAAGTGCTCGATGACTCTTGATAAACAACCTTACAATCTCTTTTAAAATAAAAGTTGAAATTGCTCATAGAGCCTGCCCTTGCGATATGACTCCCACTCTCTCTTTTTTAATCACATCAAATAAATCGCCAAAATGGTCCAGTGGAATCTTGGCGTCCCAATTTCAAAAAGGATCCCACTTTCGATTTTCGCTAAACTGTTAATTGTTTATGATAGCTGGAGCGTCTCAAAATCATCTTCATTGCTGTCAAACAATTCTCGTGAGAGGCGCCGAGAACTTCTCGGCAGTGGCGCATAATTTTTTTGTGAAAGTGGGACGAAAAAAATCTCTGTGCAACCGCTGAAAAATTTAATGGGGGAGCGCTGAACTTCTCCAATCTGACTGTATGTAGCCGCATTCTCTCGTTCAATTAGCTCCAAAGCGATGAGTCAGTCGGCAAAACAACATTGTAGTACAACGAAATACTCATAGAGTAGATCAACATATACAACACTTTGAAAATGTAGTGCTCAACATTATATTAATCGGGCCATCATCACTACTGTTTCTACGCGCTCGAAAATGGGTCATCTTTCATAACATGTGAGTGATCCCCTTAGTATGCCAGATTTTACGTCTGAATTCCCTAAATATTCACTGCACCATAGTCGAAATGCAAGGAAAGGTAGTACCTGGTGCATGGTGTACAATGTTTTCGTCAGGGTGTCGGATTCGATCATACCATATCACGACCATGATATCCCGCATGAGATGTAGTAGTTCTCTTCTAAGTAACCATGGATCCGTCACCATCAGCAAAGAACGGACTGGTCCAAACGTATGAGCAAGGATTTGTATGGTATGTGCTCCTCAGAGCTGTTCGGATCCATAACGCATGCTCCTCCTGCTTGAATTTTAAGACCTGTCATCGCTAATTCGAGTTGATGGTATAAATCAGTATTATGTAAATATCACTGTCATATCTTGGCAAAGACCTTATGAGCCCGCGGAGGTTTAGAATGCAACACCAAACTATACTTACTTGATTTAAATCGCTTACTTTTGACGTTGATTAAAATTTTTATATAAAACCTGCTCAAACTTCCAAGCTAAATCCAAATCAAAGCATAGTAAGCTAGTCCCTACGAAAAAGCTTAAAAAGTTGCATTATACATATTGAAAATCCTTCAAAACGGCAAGCACGCGTCTATAGAAAGTCGTGCAAGTTACTCTATGGCAATAAGTCTCTTATATGTTTGCGGTACAGCTTTAGTAAGCTAGTAATCAAATACTACGTAAATATTAGTCTTAATTGAAACCTTAAAAATCGTCGTGGGGCTTGGAAGATCACTTAGTGTTACGATACTCGTGCTGTCATGTCATTGTCATTTGCTGTGCTTGTACATTCTTGATTGCATTATTCATTCAGCACTATGGTCTCTCATAGAGAGAGAATAAGAGAAATGGAACAGCAAAAAGATATTTTCTCGCCATTGTTGACCTTTCACATATACCGGCAAAGTGTATATTGCGATTACTTGTTACTTACGTATTGTTGGGAAAAAACTGCTTTATGAAAGATTATTAAAGTTGCATGGGCTTTCGTGTTCCAGCGCATACCATCACTAGCTAAATAGCATTAACTTGTAAGTACTCATCATCTTCCCGTTACGTTGCGTATCATAACTATCTAGCAAATGTCAAATTTAATTAGTTAAGGAGCAACATACGGCAGCGTTTGCAATTTTATTGTTCTTCTAAGGTCTCCTAAGAAATGCATTAACAGTGGTGTATATCCGGCGAATTGATCGTGTGAGCTCCAATGTTAGCAGCATCTGTCAGAGGTTCGCCATCAAACTGTACTTATGTAGATGCGGTATATCATACTACATAGGGATACAATGGAAAAAGAAAATGAATTCTCATTATAACTATACAAAGAATTACACCTAGCTGCTTTTTACAGTGTATAATCAATAAAGCGACTCAAAAAATGGGGCTTAATTCGTTGAATAGTGGGGCGGCTAAGAAAGAAACACGCTGTACGTAGTAGCCATAACATGGCCTGGGGAATTTGAGTATGGGAATGATGGACCGCCATATAGCTGTTGTTGAGAAGGCTGATCTTATCTTTTATGACAAAAGAGAAGTATATTTGAGATATAGTTATATTAAGTGACTAAACTCAACATAAGGAGCAGGAAACATAGTGCTCCAAGCCACACCCTCTCCCACTAAACTGCGGATTGTAGCACGCGTGTGAAAAAGGAAATTTTGGTCGCACGGTTTTGATAACATGACATAGCTCCATCATCTCAAAAAAACTGAATGCTCCGCGAGCGCGCAATAATCTAATAGCAACAAGCGGCATGAAATCTGTTGTTATTTGATGTATGGTGATATCCGACAAAACTTTAATTAGCACATTGATGGTGACATGGCAGAGGAAAAGTGCATGTGAGAATGCTGTTTGGGTTTCAAGGTGTACTTTCACAGAAATCATATCGAAAAAAAGAAGGATAATACATATGATAATAATTGTCAAAGGAAATAAAAACAATCAACCAAAAATAAAAGCCATACATAGTAGTAGTAGTTAGAAGGCATACAAGAAAATACAAAGAGAATAATAATCTCATTACACAGAAAATAATAAAAGATAAAAGGGTTGTATACTACATCGTGAAGATATTAAAATATTTGAAAAGAATAAGAGCAAAACTGCACGTGTGCAAAGAAGAATGTGGGCGAAGGGGATATTTACCAAGGAAACAAACTGATGGATCGTAATTGCGAAGAGTACATGGTATCGTTACATATGAGCTACTTTTTTTGGGGTTGCTGTTGCTGTGGCCAGTAGGCCCCACTGTTTGTTTGAGGCAGGTAATTTGAGGCGTTTGTAGAGGAGCCATAATAGTTGTTTGGATTGTTGACAGGCGGCTGTTGGTACGTTGCACCATATGTTGGCTGAGAAGGATGCTGCTGGCTCATGCTATAGCTTGGCGTCGTCGCACCTGGCTCATGACCGTATCCATGCGTATAACTTGTCATTGGAACGCTTCCGTAAGCAGGAGCCGGGTGCTGTTGCCGAGATTGTGATTGCTGGGAAACCTGAAAATGGGCGGGATAACGGTGAATATCATCTATCATCAGTGACTCTTTTTTCCGGTGCACACGTACACACACACGGTTGTGATCTCATTCTTGTGTACAGAACATATACGCAGAATCATCTATCATGTATAGCGCCTAAAATGCCCTTTTCCATTCCCCTCTCCTTCCCGCCCACCCAACGCAGACCCGCAACAGCGCATTTTTTCGTACCTTTCGGTCTGGTTGACCGTAGATATCTGACGACCCCGCAGCGGTATCTTGAGGGAAGGTACTCCCGTGCACTGATTTACCCACGGCGGCGTTTGTTGTGGTTGTGTTACTTGGAGTCGTGTGGTTTGAGTGAGCTGATCGTGGCTGTGGGCGAGAGAGAATATATAGATCAGATCAACAAGAGGTAGATGCAAATGAAAATTAAGCAGGCGGTTAGTCAAACAGGCAAACAACTACAGACAACAATGAAACAGTATAATACGGTACCGACGATGATGATGCTTCGCCAGGAGCAGCTGCTGGATCTGGTGCATTGAGACACGCTTGAATCAGATTCTTTCCCTCGGGTTTTGTTACGAGTGGCTGAAGCTTGGGAGTGGTGAACGTGTACACCAGTCCGGTTTCTGATACCACCAGCAGGAGGACCTGGGTGCCCGTGAGGGTGCTCAGCTCGTAAGCCTTTTGTTTATATGATTAACGAATGGACAAGAAAAAGGGCAGGAAGAAGAAGGAAGGGAGAAGCATATGAGTTACGGAAAATGCGCAAACGTCAAAAAGAGTATAGACAGAGAAGACTCCCAAAAAGATAAAAATCCCCCTTTTGGAGAGTGAAGTTTGTTACCTTTTTCATGATGCCTGCTTTTCGCTTCGAAAAGGTAATATGGCGTCTCGATTTATCTTCGATAAACTCAATCTTAATTTTGCGCCGTCCGGACCTTTTTTCGGGCTTGTCTTCGCTGTCCGAGTCGTCGTCGTTGACGCAGTTGTTTGAGTGTATCATTCGATCGTTGTTTATAATTTGTGTCGAAGCAGCCGCTTGAAACGGTGCCTGTTGCTGCCCTGCCCCAGCCCTAGCAGCCGCAGCAGCCGGTCCGAGCCCTGGTGGTATATGTCCAAGGTTGTTCATTTTAGATATTAGAGAGTGTGTAATAAAGCAGTAAAGGTGGTTGAAGGAAGAAGAAAGTAGATAAGAAGATCAAGAGAGAGAAAAATAAAGCAAGCTGTAAAGAAATGGAAAAAGAAGAAAAATGGAAGTGAAAGCCGCTTTTCAAATAAACTTTTTTTCACTCCTCTGCTGCACTCGTTCTCTCAGAGTGCGTGCGAGTTCTCAAGCGCGCGCACGGCAAACATACAGGCGTGCTCACGCCATGAGAGATACAGCTTTTCTTGAGGCTGATTAAAAAAATTCATCACGTTCCCTAATTTCTACATAGATTGCAGCTGCTGCTGCTGCTGGAGACGACGATACGTAGCTTTTACTTTACAAGCATGCTGCAAGATCAGATAAAGCAGCTGCATACATATTACCTTTTTCTTCCTGGCTCTGAGTGTTTAAAAGGAACAATGACCCAGAACAACGGTGCTTTTTCTAAGCCAAGCACCACTGCAAACGAGCACAAACGTTGAAGGGCATGCGATAATAGAAAAAGGGTTTTGCTTACAGTTTCCAAACTCGGGCTAATGTCGTCAAATTGTGACACAAAGTCCAGCTGCCTCACAGCATCCTTTCCGTAAACTCTTGATCAATTTTTTTTTCTCATGTCTTGAAAATACTTTTCCCCCAGACCATGGACTCGATGACAAGCCGTCAGTCATTTCACCGATCAAGTGGTTGCTTCGAAACATCAACAATCACATAACCAAAAAAACCGTTGTCATAGAGATATGCTGTCATAGAGACGATGGGCTGTTATGGAGACGATGTGTTGCCATGGAGATAGATAATATCGATCTCATTATCAGTCGTTTCCTTGGAAAGATTTCCTACGTCCGCCAATTCTAATCTCTCGCCCCCTAGGCTCCGCTCTTCCTTTCATCTTTTTACTTTCAAAGTTTGACTTTGGGTAACCCAGTGTCAGATGTTTGGCATTCATGACATGTGAAGGGATGATTGGCCCGAGGATACCTAATTTCTGAATGAACTGTCATTTTAGCGTTTGATAAAGTGTGTGTGAACTGAATATGACGGTCGTCATCCCAGGCCAGTACGTATAGTATAAACATACTCCTGTCATAATTATAAACACCAACGTCCGTGCTGAAATCAAAAGACCGATTGTGCAATTTACTAAATACCATGACTAGAAAGAGGAAGCGAACAAAGAGACTCGATATACCCACTAAAATGATCCGTAATCCCCCGACCTTGACAAGAAAAGGACGATCCGTTGAACTGAAACACAATTTCTTCCTCTTGAAACGCGATGCGAATCCCAACATAAAGTCTTAGACCCCGTGGGAGCATCAATAAAGTCTATTGTCGGATCATAGATAATCAAAAATCATATAGGGAAGAACTCATCATACTCCTCACAGAATCCGATAATGTTTGTCAAAATATATAAGCTTAGCATATGTGCATATTTTTCCCTCTCCACACTTGTTCTTCGGGGCCGTCTTGGAACGATAAGTAGTACCCACTCTCGCTTATTTTTTTACAGCATGGTGATGATAAAAGTGGCAATTCAGAAATTCCCATTAATTCAGTTGACTGAGTCTACAGAGAGCCACCTGCTCTTCCTATAGTTCGATGGAAACCGACATGCCCGAAGGTTTTGCGCGTCCCGGTTAGCCGGACGACGAGCAATTGATAGCCTTCAATCCATTTCAATACAAAACAGTCTCAAATAGAACAAAAAGTTATATATTGTAGAGTTTTTTTCTCTATGTGAGCGTGCCGAAAATTTGATTCGAAGTTTCAGATGATTGCCCAGACCCTGCTTTGCGAACACCTGCAAAGCCTCGTCTATCTCCTTTTGTCATCATGATCTTCCAATTGGCTTTGAGACTGGAAAGAACCCGTTCGATCTCTTCGTTATGATCGGGTGCAGAGGCCAAGAGCGAAGTCATTTGCAGCATTTTTGCTGCTGTCGCCGCGGGGTTTTGTGAAGACCCAAAATCCGTAAATAGTTTTGCAAATACATCTAATAAGCATAAATGTGAGTAATGCGTATAACTGCGTGTGTAGTATGAACGGGATTTTTATACTCCTGTACCTTCTAGGCGTTTTGTTTGTAATAAGATGACATTATCTCTGAAACTTCGCAGTGCCATGTTACGGACATTCCACATTTCAGCTTCGTCCAGTGTTCGGTAACGCATGTCCGTGCGAAGGGGCAAAAAGACGGCTTCAAAGTAAGGTAATGCGTAGGTGAAAAAGAACGACCATTGTTCAACGAGTCGGTCCAATAATTTTTCATCGGTAACACCCAACATTTTTGCATTCAATGTAAACATGCCGTCCCGCAGCAGTCCTTCGATATCGCTGTACAGCTGTGGAGATATTGGATCCGATAAGCAACGCCTATTTGACAAAGCAAAAATTTTGAGCTAAGCTGGCCAGCTTCTTTTACTCTTTCCTAGTCCTATATTTCGCATACCGTAAAAGCTCGTTTAGATCTTCAATGTTTCCCTTAACTCCCTCGCCGTTAAATAAAGGAAGAACACGGACGCATAGTGTTTGCCATACGTCGCCTTGCGGATTAGATATTGGTAGAGGTGGTATTGTAGGGGCACCGCCAGTTCCTGCGGCGGTAGAAGCTGCTCCACCAACGACAGACGGCGCATTGCTGGTCACAGTTATACTACTGACGCTCCCTTGCCGGATATAAGGGTGGCCAGGAGGTCCACCTGCTACTGACGTTGTGGAAGGATGATGTCGATGATGACTATATGGGCCTGGACCACCACTACTGCTACTTGCTGCATTCGTGTTGTTTGATGCTGAAAAATAGAAACTGGAAGGGTTCATACTGCTCGCTGTTGGCGATGACGGTGAGCTGATCATGGTATCGTCGCCTCGCATATATTGAGTTGACTTTTCCATATCACGAGTAATCGATTTGGCGTCGAGCGCATTAAGAGATTTATGTATGCTAGGTGAAGTCACGGGTGAAGTGGGTCGCTGTTGATAGGTGGTTGTGATAGTAGTAGTAGTCGTGTTGTTGCTTTGCAACGATATTGTGCGATCGAGTGGTATAGAGCTAATACCACTACTGCTATTGATGCCATTGTTGTTGTTATTGCCAGTGAAAGATCCATGACGCGGTAGATGTTGAAGTGGAGGTGGCGGCGATCGTAAACTGTGTCGTTTCGTCTGACTGCCTCCACCGCTAGGAGGAGACCGTATAGTTGGTGTGGTAGCAGATAATGAGCGAGTTGGGACAGGTGGTAAAGGTTGTTGTGCAATTGCTCCACCTACTGGCGTTGCAGACGTCGGACTGATGCTGCTTGGAAAATTCGCAGAGGTTGGCGTTGCACGATCCAAGTAGTTTGACAATGATGAGGAGGAGTTTGACGATGGGGAGAGTGGAGAGTCCATTTTTCTTTTTGTGGACGTTTTAATTAGTAGCTGGACGAGGGGTGGGTGGGTGAGAGGGACGATGACAACAGAAGAAAGGGAGCGGCTTTATTCTCCCTTGTTTTCAAGGAGGAGTGGGTACTTTGAGGTCGGCATGAGAATTTATTACGATGTTGTCAACTTAAATTCTTTTATCTGAAGTTTATTTTTTATAGCTTTCTTTTCTTCTCATTTACTGTGTACTGCTTTCCAGAAAAGACCCATTCGTCACCATCGATCCGACGTGCTTCCAACGTTGCATGGTCAGATGAAGAGTCTGGTGTCGTCGGCTCAAGAGAAAAGGAAGATCCCTCGACTTGAATACGGTCTCTTTTGAGCGCGTCTTCTTGTGCCTTTTTGTTTGCTGCTTGCAGTTCATCCCCCAGTGATCCCGGCGTGTGCGTTTGTGAAAGTCTGCGTTTCCATTCTCGCTCCTCCGCTTCTTCTTGTGCCATCCGTTGCAACTTGTCAGTTAACGAGCTGGTTGCTCCTCCTGATGATCTTGTCCAGAAGTCACCTTCTTCCCATTGACTCGGCAATTTGGCAGGACTCTTGCCTTTTCTTGCTGTACTACTAATCGAGCTTCGTAGTGGCGTGCTTTGCAAGGGAGTGCTTCTCGATTCCTGACCTATAACAGTCGATTGCTTTTTTGCAGCTTGTATTTCTTCCCAGAACTTGTTGTTTATCTTGCTACCGTTTGGGCTTCTGCGTGTCATCAACCATCAGCACGTCCCAACGCAAATGTGTGTGATAATGGAGTTAGCGTTGATGAAAAGAATGATTACATAATTCTATAATCTGTAGCTTACCGATATGTAGCAGTCGAGCGCAGTCTGGCTGTGGGTATGTCATCTAGTACATCTCGCATCACTCTAGTGGGTGTACTGGATTCGGCTTGGTGCGTAGTAGCTGGAGGCGAGCGAGAAATTGGAGTCTATGTGGCCAAAAGAAGTATGCATCTGTCTAAGTAAAACGGATGTACGCATCTAAGCAGTATTATATAGTAACCTTATTAGACCGCATTGATTGGCGCCGTCTAAAGCTTTGTGCAGATGTGGATGGTGCTAGTGCCGGTGGGGGTGGAGGTGGTGGTGGCGGTGGTGGCGCAGATGGTGGTGCAATGATTGGCTCACCAAATGATTTTGCTATAGAAACCATTGATCGAGGTTGTATAGCTGGGGATGATTGAGATCGCATTGGAGAAGGTTGTGGAGACTGTTGTGGTGAGGGGTGTTCAATTAGAGAGTGTGGGCCCGAGTCTCGTCGAGTGCTGCGCAACGGAGAAGTTTTGAGTGACTCGAGCGTACGGTGTTGTCGTGCTGTTGTAGTTTTGGTTGCGAATGTTGAAGCATCGAGAGGCTGTGCAAGAGTCTTGGTCTAAAAGACAATGCCTGAGTATTAGAGAAAACCATCCTATTTTTTTTCACCCACCCGATCAAAGACACTCATTTTGATCATACTAACTTACAATGTTCCTGATTTCCTCAAGCCGTTCCTGGAGTCTATCGAGGCGCTCAAGCTCTCTGCTGCCTTTTAGTCCGGTGTGTAATGCGTCTGATTGTGTCATTGTTACTGCAACTGGTCTCGGCCTGAGCGAATGCCGTACAGGCGAACGATAGGCAGGTAGTATTTCTTCTCGTGGGTCACCCGATAAGACGTCATTTTCACGATCTTCCAACATACAGATCGACGAACGGTTTGAGGGAGCTACAGATCCTTCCAGCGACGGCGTCGGTGCTCTGGAGTCAATGCTCTGCGATGCTGATCCAAATATAGATTCACGGTATCGAAGTGGAGAACGCGGTACTGATGACGAGGGCATTATTTGAGGACGGTCTTCATCAAAGCTAGCGTCACGATACAGTGAATGCCGTTCAAGAACCGGTGTTAAGGAAGTGCTGTTTTCGCTGAGATCGTCTCCGATCCTGCTTCCGCTAGATTGCCGTCGTCGTACTGAAGGAATCAACTCAGGACGTCGTTTAGTGATTTTGTTGCCCTAATCATCGCGTGTAAGAGATGTGTAAATATATATCGTATATGGAATAGATCGTTGCAATCTACGATCAATAATATGGTTGCTGTTGCCGTTTTTCCTCGCTGAGAGCTTAATTTTACCTCTACTCTTTTTGGTGTTGAACCAGAAGTCCATTTCGAAAAAGATCCAAACAAACGTTGCCAGTCGCGTGTTCCTTCTCGTTTTGCATATCGAACGGCATCGACAAGGGGAGATAATGCACTTAGGACAGACGCATTGTCGGCCGGTGTCTCTGGCTGATCGTAAACAAAGTCGTCATATATATTCTTGCGGTGACTGGTGCTAGTCATGTTGATTCAGGATGTCGTTACGGAAGAGTGAATTAGATAAATTTTAAAAAAAGAAGAAAGAGAGAAGAAGAAGTATGGGCGCAATATGCTGCTGTAATATCGAGGCAGGCGTCAACCTTTAAAAAACAAAGAAATAAAGAGACGCGTCGTTTTTTACCATCGGCAAACACAATGAAAAGACTCCGGCTCACGACATTGCCGCGTGACACGAAAATGTAATAAAGCAGCAGCACATACTACATAGCATCAAACGGGCTGGTCTTACAGTAGTATGTTACTTATTGAGAGAGAGAGCAAGATAAGCTGTCATCACGCAGGTCTTATAAAGGTGTTTTGAAAGTTTATCGACGCATGGAAGAAAATCGTTCCTCTTCGTAAACACCCGAAGTACCATGGACAGATGTATACAACATAGTAGCTACAACAAGCGAATAGGGGGGTTAAGAAATATGCTTCCTTTAGAGTTACTTGGCTTCCTTTCCGGCGGCGCTCTCATTTTTTTCAGCAGTAGGCTGTCCCTTCTTCTTGACATCTTGTTTTTTGGTAGTCTGAGTGTCGCTTTGCGCGGCCTTCTTCTTCGATGACTTTGGAGACGACGTTGTCTTGTTAGCGCTACTTGATTGCTATGTGTAATCATTATTATATGTCAATTAATACAGATATCCTTTTAACATTGGCACTATACGCTACGGACTCAAAAAGACTATCGAATCTTTTGCTACTATCTTTGGCTGACATACTTTCTTGGTCATGTCTTATGATGGGAACGACGGTTTGTATGAAGCCTATAGTATGAGACGGCAAAAAATGCGGAAATAACTGAAGTTGTTGTAGTATGATCAGGAAGGATTTAGGCTTAGCTACAGTGGCATGCTTGCTTGAAGTGCTCTTTTTATATGTTTCTTTAGCGCGTGAGAATTGAGCTCACTCCCTTATTATTACATACCAATCATATCCAGTATTTGCCAAGCTGTAAAGCGGCTATGAGAGCTTGGTAGTCTGCTAGCAAAAGGACCCTGCCCCTTGTTGATATTTTATGTTGTTGATACTTTCCTTGTTGTATCATGATCAAATTAAGCAAAAATCCAGATGATTGGTTCCTTTTCTTCCTTAAATGACGGAACGGGCCATTTACGGCCGAGTCAGGATAATGTATTGAGCCAAAATCCACAAAACTATAAAGAACATGCTATCCTCCTATCATCATCCTTGATAGCGACTCACAGCAGTATTCATCGGAAGGTAACTTCAATATTAGTTTGTCAGTTTTGCCTTACTGCTACTGGATAATGCTATGTGCGTTAAACATGAATTTTAGTAAGGATGTTTTTGCATGAATACATATAAGAAGCAATATCATTATAACAGTCATCGACGAGCATCTATCATCCATATCAGCAATCTCCTATAGCTATTAGTAATTCATTATACAGACTAGCTATATTCTGCTACATAATAAGTAATACAGCTGTTCATTTATTGAATAACCAATGCAAGTAATGACTTATGCGTCACCCCATAACACGCGTGGTAATGTCCCCAATTACTGGTCTGTATTGCTTTATAAATTAGGCTCATGGATTTGCCCAGAAACAGGATCTTTCTCTGCAATGGAGTCAATAAGGCATTGCTGAAAATTCAAATTTTGATAGTTTCAAAACAGAATCTATCCATACAGTATGTAGATACGCTTTCAGATATATATCTTTATGGACTAGTAAGAAGTACGCCGTGGTTTTTTTTGGTAGCAACATGATTTGCTATGGCTGAGGTAGGCTTCATCGAATCGAAAGCTATACATGCAAAAAAAAAGGTTGAAGAAAACCCGAGATGCATCAACAATAACGATTGGCGAAGGTTGATCTACTGCCTTCTGTACGTGCTCGAAAAGCAGCTGTGAGTGCTTGTCAGAGCTGTTGTGTAGGCCATTAATTTTTTACAATGCGACTAATAACAGCGTCGCCTTTAACGAGATACACAGCATAATATTATGCAGTAACTTTTACATATACAATGGCTTTAGTGCGTGTGTAAGTGTGTGGGAAAACGTCCGTACTCTGATACTTTTAAAGAAATAAGGACTGTTTATATGTCTACTATAGCACATACACCACCAGGTGCGGCACAGGAAAGAGGAAGAAGGGACAAGTAAAGCATTTCCCTTCACACGGATATCAATCTTCTACTGGTTCTGTACCTACGTTTATGTAACAAAGAAATAACGCCGTCGTTTAACTTAGGACTACAGTATTACAATCGTTTCGTTATCACAAATTCATGTATCATCTGTCGATTGATTTTGATACAATTATTCCCTTCTTTTACTTGTTTGTGTACTGTATGTACAGTGTAACGTCTTAGTTTGTGTAAGAGTTACGAATCCCGTTTAATAGGATGGATAGTATAAGAAAAGCTGATAAATGTGGATGAAATGCTAAGTATTAAGCAAAAGAGATGAAATAGAAGTGTGGGAGTTCAACAACCAGGAATTATTACGTCTGGAGCCACAAAAGACAATCCTTTTGATAGGAAAGGGAAAAGCTAAAGTTAAGAGAAAGAGAAGCTAAAGAACTGAACTGTTTATTATTCAATACAAAATATTGGTCTATTTATACTAATTCTAATACACTATCTATATCTAATCTAATTGGTGCCTGATCCAATGGATACCGCAGTAGTGCGAAATGGTTTTGCACCTGGTGTGAGTTGGTTTTGCACTCGCAGTAAGAGTGGTGTTGCGCAGTAAGCGTATTGTTGCGGGTGTGAGATAAATTTGCACTCATAGTTACACCAAGTCTGTGATGAAAATGATAGAGAGTAAACTGACAGATAGTGATACAAGTAGATTACAAAGCCAATACTAAGGGGAAGAGCCCGTTTATTGATACGAATGTATTGGGGACAACAAGGTAGGTTACAACAGTACATGCGGGTTTCATATGCTAGTATGCCACTTTTATGCAGAAATCTTGATTGCGGTTATATCTCCTTGTTACAATTGGTTAACAGCTCACATGGTACACGTTCTTTGAAACGCTCTACAGCGCTGCACACTTAATGGAGCGTAACTTGGGAAACAAATCAGTGTGTAGGCTTCCACGCTTAGTATTAGGTATATGCTTTCTCGTCGTCTTCAACTTGCCAACTCCATAGCTATGTAATTTACTACAGGAAAATCACTATCACAAACTGATACGGTGAATACACTGTGCAATGTAGAATGAATTTCTCCTTTTTTTAAGTTGATACGTTGATTATATACTTATAAGAAAGTAACGAGTGTTTCTAGTCATCAACTTGAGAAGTAATATTTAGAATCTAATGTATGTACTACACCATATGGTTGATCCTTTTTATAAACTCTATCCAGTCTGTGGGAACTTTGTGTATCCCCAAAGAAACTATCTGGATTTGGTATCGATCAACGAGTTCCCAGTGACCCTAGGTCTTGTTTGCACGTATGTCATATTATATAACATTATCTTGTGTACCGCCTTTTCTTTTTCGAGAAGTACCTTATATTCAGGTGCTGAGTTGGTATTAGGTGAGATCACCTCATCGCGCGTGCAACATAAAAAACTATCTGGTTGATACCAATTTATGAAGTATTTCCTCTCTTCCCTAAAATGCTTGTACGATGACGATATTCAAACAAAAGAGAATCAGGGGCGGGGGTACACGTAAGGGGGTCGTGTGCGGTACTTGATGCTGCTGTGTACCGTCACCATTCGGTGAGATGCGATTAGCTGATGCATATTTAACTATAGTTCCGATCCAAACGGTGGTCACAATCGGCTAAAGGGGAGTGCAGAACCGTTTCCCTCCGCTGTCTCTCAATACACGAACGACACTAGTGCTTTCCAGAGACATGAAGTGTGACGTAGGTACGAAAGAGATGACACGGCAGCCGCAGTTCATACAAGTCCTCCTCCCCTATAAAAGGAGGGATTAGCCTTTGACCTTCGCAATACATACTCCAACAAACCTTAAACAGCACCAATGAAATCCTCTTTTAATTGAAGTGTTTCATTTTTAATTTCAAGACAACCTCCTGAAAAAATGCTGTGTCCCAATTCCCGCAGCAGTGTAGTAACTGAGCCAACGACTAGACGTTCGCATTGGCTGAAGACTAGGGTTTGGCTGCGCTTAAACTTGCTTGGCAGAGCAATTATAGTATCATTCTCGATTCTTCCGCGAACTGACCAGATTTCCCCCTGTAATGTGTAGCTGGGGCTCTGTTGATTTCCTACATACCCTTTTTGGGGGACATTGCGTGTAACCCCCTGAGATAACATGTAAAAGAAGCCCTAAGGAAAAGCTGCCCCGGATACAGAGAGGAGACTGGTAGGTTTCTCTTGCAGCAGCCGTGATGATCCATGACATATATATGCTCTTGATGCCCTTTTAAGGCAATTTCGATCGAGATTGAGATTTAAAAGGGGCGCGGTGGTAACTGTGGGTAAGGGTCGGTATAGCCTTATTTATTTTTAAGCAACGACCGCTGAGAGGCGGTGTTTATCGTGACAATCGAGAAAATTCTAATTGTTACACGGTGTAACCATATACGGAAATGCTCCCCATAAGTTCGTCTTTTCGTGTTGCACTCAAAACATCCAATTGGTCGGCAAAATGCAAAGAGACACATTTACAGCGCCCTTCATCTGCCAAAAGTCTAGGTTTTCCAGCAACCAGAAGTTCATACAGCCCAGCGGAAAAAAAATTACTAGAGATGTGCTGAATTACCAGCTATTATTAGGTGTTGAATGCGTTAGCCTCATATTATCTTGCCTTTTTTTTCCCTCCCAATCGGGTTACAAACAACACTAGCGATTTTATTCGTCGCTTGCACCCTTTTTCCCCTTCTTCCTTGCTTTTGCTTACTTCTGGTTTTTTGTCCCTCTCTAGCAAAACAAGCAAGTGAGAAAAAATAACCAGAAATCTCCCCCGAGTCTGGCCCTTGTATGAGCCATTTGGACTGGTCGCAACCGCTTAATTTGGCAGGCCAGACCTGTTCACGTCTACCCGCGTAAGCTTTTTTCGAAATCTACCTTCTAATCTCGGAATCGCTAATGACAAGAAATAGCTCATTCGAACTGATCATTCGACAACAGCCGGTGCGATCTCGTATGTGTGGCGTTGGAGAACGAGGTAATAGAAATGTCATGTTTTATATGCAGTGCTTGATCTTTTAATATGTGTTGCCGATATAAGGGAACTAACATGTTTGCTCGTACTATTTCTCTCGTGTACATCGTTTGGGCTTACAAAGTTGATCGGAGACCCATTGATCCCCCTCCAATCGTACAGTTGAAGCTGATTGGGCAAACGAACGATGAAACGTGAGTTGTTCATACTGGAGTGCGACGTTTGGCACCATTATCCGGTTCAATCGTGTTTTGTTTTTACTTACCTTTCCTTTAGTTTGCAGAATCTCTCTCCTTACATATTTATGACGGCTGTACTCGTACCTGCTGGAGACGAAACGGACGAACCGCCGCGAATTGACTTTCACAGCAAACTGACGATAGGAAGAACAGTCTCATCGCTATACTTGCTACGTGACCTTGATGACACGGAAGGAGCCTTTTTCGCGTTTTCCGATATCTCAGTTCGCGTTGATGGTTACTATCGCTTGCGAATGTGCCTTTTTGAGATAGTGGAGTAATGAATCTTGTTATGACCCGAAGCTACTATACGCTACAAAGTATAAAGATATTCGCTAACAGCAAAGCCTTTCTCTTTCTTGCTCCCTGTCTCTTTCTTTCTATGCTCTCACTACTCGTCACGCGTCTACAGATCCGGCGTTCATTACCGACGAGGGGTGCTTACAGATCCATTCACAGTGTACTCTGCTAAGAAGGTAAAAGAACTATCGTACAATTTATTTAGTATTCTTATTCTTTTAGCAAAAGCTTATTATTCTTTTCGATAACACGTAGTTTTCTCACTATGTCACACTTCTTTTTCTATCGCTGTCAACTCTAGTTTCCTGGAATGCACTTGTCATGTCCTCTTGCACGGCACTTCGCACAGCAGGGTTTGAAAATTCGTATACGCAAAGAATCACGTAAGAGAGGCACAGGGAGCCGACGACAGTCGCGAGATAACGATGACGACGACGACGGCGGTAAGGAAAGCTTTTCTGATTTTCACTTCCAAAAGAGAGCATTACTGACTTTAGTAGAAGATAGCAGCAGCGATGATCGGGCTGGGTCAGCAACGCATGACGCAGAAGAATCATCTTCGCCGCTTAATACAACACCACCATTCGATGACAGACGTTTCCCACCAGAACTTGGATTATATTCACAATCATCGGCGAACAGCAGTAAAACCAATTCAGCATATCGACGGGTTAGCAATGGTAACGAAATTTCCATTATTGATATTGAGATGTCGTAGTAACAGCTGTTGACGGCCCATTACATCCTTACGATGATCATATAGTTGAATCATCATCCAGTGGAAAGATGCTACGGCTAATAGCAAGCGATACAACAACTTCAAGATCGAATATAACGTCATATTCCTCCTCGAGTACTCAAGAAACACTGGAACGAGCGCCTATTCACCAAGGTAAAGGCCTTTTAACTTGCATTTGGATAACAATTCCCAGTTAAACGACTTTACATTATATCACTTGTTTAGATGTCGGAGCTTTCAAGATCAATGTGGCTAGCTTACTACATCCAAGTTCACCAGACGATCCAACGTCGATTATTAGCAATAACATGATCCACCCATCAACTACTACACCGTCATCTTTGTCCCCTTTTATATTGACCAACAATGATGCGCTACGATATCCCTTGACCCATGCTTCGCGTAGAATCGAAACTCAACAACCACATTCACAACAATTACCTGCGACACCACCTTATTGGCGACTACCACCTCTTACGTACGACAGCAATTTTACCCCCACCGCTACCAGCGGTTCCAGCACTACCGACAACATTCCATCAGTATGTCAAGCATCGTATGAGCAATCTCATAGGCCTGAAGCTCGCAATACCCAACAACAGCACCATCATCATAATCATTCACAACATTACGAGGCTTCAAACTTACTTGCTTCTTCCTCGTCACGAAGAGAATCGTCGTCCTCGTCGTCAAACCCATCTTTAGCATCATTGCATAATATCGATCAAAACCATCAACATCAGCAACAAATGCAACATTCGCTACAACGACCTTCCGCAACAGTAACAGCAGCTGGATCAGTAGTATCTAGCAACAAACAGAGTGCAGCATCATCCTCATTAGAAGCTCCTCCAGATCGACCCGAGCTAATTTTGCGTACGCGACCAATTCTGAACGCCGGTCGTCACTCGCAAGAGGATGTGGTTCTTCCCTCTTTACGAGAACAGTTAGGTGGATTGGCTCCTCCGCCTGACGAAGACGAAAACAACAGTGGTTGAAAGCGACACCACTTTCGAAGCGTCCAAATTGCAAACTAATCAGATGTAATCATGCCATATTCAGAACATCATCAGCATCCAACTTACTGCTACTTACCACCATTCAACCGACTTGCTACGATTCAAACGTTTCCTTCACAATCACGCCTATGATACTATCAACAACGACAACACCAGTCGTATTAAAGATCAAGAACAAGAAACGAAAAATTACTATTATTACGGAACACATAACAACACTCTTCACTAGATACAAACTTCACAACGCTAGTGCTGCACACACAACAACAACAACAACATCATCATCATCAAAGGTTATATACGGTGACACATAAACTTACGTGGGGAATTTTACTGCTCGGCCACTTTTCAACTATACGAAAATTTCTTTATCTTCCTGCATGAATTTTTGCTAATAATACATTCGTGTTTGTACATCTGCATGGGACACACATTTTTTAAGAAATAAGGATACATTGTAAGCTTTATTTACGCTTAAGAATACAAAACAAAGAGGATTAAATATTAGCTTGGTTGGATTTAAATCCAATTACTATGTTAAAAAATATAGCAAAATATATATACATAGAAATTGCACCCTTCTTTGCCTGTCAAAGGAAGCGAAGAAATAGTATTATTCTCATCCTTGCTGCTGCGGTGATGACGATGGTGATGATGAGGATGTTCTATTTTCCATAGAAGCTTGCTCTGCTGCTAACCGCGAGCGCGCATGTTGTTCTTTCTGTTGTTGTTCTTGTTTCAATTTTTCTGTTTCTGCACGGAATCGCTGTTCACGATCACTGTACTGATCGCTGTAAAACCCTTCTTCATTACCGTCAGTATGTGAAGCAGCTGGGGTGGGTCGATGTGTTCGTTTACCATATGCTAATAAAAGTAATTTGACGTTTTGGAATGAGTGATTATGTACTTGAAGGCATAAAAGGGTCTTTAATATTGACGTCTGTTATTTCATTACCCCAAGCGCCTGCATAAATCGTTCCTGCTGCTGCCATGGCAATCCCACCACGACGAGCAAAGATCTTAATTTTGTTCAATTTCTCGGCATGTTCCGAAGATCCAGGCGGACCAATTGCCATAGGCTCTAAGCGGTCTAAAATGACCTTAATGCCGTACACCGAAGCTCCTCCGATGAGTGCCAATAGTAATGGAGGTAAACGAGGAATCATGGACATGGTGTAGAGTTGCTGTTTCTTTCTCTTCAAGTCGCTTCTGAGTTTATATATAACTTTAGCGTGTAATTAGCGTCATTGCCACGTCTCATTCGACCAGTATCGATTATTGCATAGCAATAATCTATGTCTTCTTAGTTTGCGCTGGTCGCCTGCTTCTTGTGCATAAATCGGTCATGGTTATTTTCATGTGCATGCCCCACAGGTCGTCTGATGAATTACCCCACTAACCCATTATGTCGTAATTTGCCAACAAACATAGACCGACCATCATCCATGGGTTGCCACATAATAAAGCGTGTGTATAAATGCTCGAATATAAATAACTTATTATGGGATGATCCTCATTACGTTTGACTACGACAACAATTAATAGGTTGCAAAGGCGACATAGGCTCTTGGAAATTAATAATGGTAAAATAATAAAAGAAGTAGAAGAACATAGTGGTGGTATAATTATTATGCTACAGATTTTTGTTGATGTTGGTTATAATCTTGCGCTTTCTTTTGCCTCTGTTCTGTTCTTGGGCGCCTAGTTCTGATTTGCGTCTTTGTCTGCTCTAGTATGTACAACTTCTGCTGGCAATGTTCTTGTGGTCAATTCACCGGCTTCTACATCAACGTCTGAGGATATTTTCTCGTCTTGTGCTACCACAACTGCCTTCTTCTGTTGGTCCTCATCGTCTTCGCTCCGATGACGTCCAAGGAATCTTATCTTTTTGATGAAAAGTGTTGCAACAAATCCCAAACCAGCTGCTACCAAGGGGAGAATGAAGACGTTATTCAGGGCTTGCATATAACATCTGATAACGCTTTCTCGAACACCGTCAGGGAGGTCATGGATGTATATATAGTTACTGAGAGCGTCGTACTCTTCAGCAATGGCCTATTAATAAAATGGCAACAAAATAAATATTCTGAAAATAATGGCTCTGAGGCTTCCTACACAACTTACAAGTTCTTCTGACGTGAGGTTTGTAAATTGGTATGTTAAGAACAGCTGGAACAGCGCTTGAAAGATCGCGATTCCCTAATTCGGTAGTCATCATAGTGCGTGTGAAAAAAAAGCCCGGTTAAGCAGTTTTTCCAGAAGGTGCAAAGAAAAAAAAATCCCACAGTGTGGCTGCAAATCACAAAGCAAGTTCATCTTACCACTGAAGATGCAAGCATCATAAAAAAGTTGAGCTGATTATGCAATGAAAAACAAATTAGAATTGTTGCTGACAACGTGGGAGGCAGTATATGCAAGTGTGTGGGAGATGACACGCTTACCAGTGCTGTGGCTACTGCCATATATTCTTTGGGTGCTATTTTCTGTACCGACAAAATAGCGTTTTGTTGTGATAATCCAAACGCCAAACCTATGCCAATAATACTCTGTTATTCAAGGATGATACCACTATAAGCAGATGTGATGACACAAACTCTCTGCTTGATCTTTACCACAGAAAACCAGGTAACCAGCTTGCTGACCCCTAAGAATCGACGAATTAAATATTATGCTTTTCATACTTTGATAATTGTAATTAAAAAGCTTACCAGTTACTGTTCTCATTCACAGTGTAAAACAGGCCATAGCCCAGCAGATTGGAAGCTGATGCAACAACAAGAAAATATTTCATATTGAACATATTGACCCAGTAAAAAGCTGCTTCCAACAGATCCTACGATTAATAGCGCCATATAGGGAATTAGGCGAACTCCAGATGCTGTGCTACTTGCGCCGAATACCGACTGATATAGGACCGGGCCAAAGTATAAAGTTCCGATGAAGCTATATGATCCGCCAGTTATTCTAGCGTTAGTGGATACACCAAAAGGTGGCACTTTCTTCTTTGTGTCCTACCTCAAACCGAGACACATAGCATAGATGTAAACCGTCAAAATAGCAGGATTGAGAACAACTTGTGCAGGCATAAGCTGTTTCCAAAAACCAGAAAGATTATATAAAGTTATTACGCTCGTCTGTATAGAATTCCCGGAACAGCTATTTTACTTACCGGTTCATGGGCAACCCAACCTTCAACGACAATAAGTCCAATGAGAGAAACTGCAGCAGCGATAAATGATGCATATGCATGTGGCGAGCTCCACCCGTATGAACTTCCCCAATTAAGTCCAAGCAAAAGACAGCAGACGAATGCCATTGAGAAGAGTACACCAAGCCAGTCAACTCGCTTAACCTTGGACCAGAGGCTACTTTTTGGGATATCTTTTGGTTCCTTGAACAGCAAGAAGGTGACGGAAAAGGAAAAGCCTCCCAAAATGACATTGAGCCAGAAATCCCAACGCCATGTCAGCTTGTCCACAAATGCTCCTCCTTTTTTTGATTGTTCAAAATGATAAAGTGTAAACACATGTGTCTATAATGTCTCTTTCGGTGCTAATCACCATCATGTACTTACCAATGAGAGGACCAATCACGCTCGAAAGGCCATAAACAACTGCAAGTGAGCTTTGAAGTTTTGGGCGTAAACGTAAGGGCGCAACCTATTACTTTGATTAACGATGATTGTCCCTTCTTTCTGCATTGTTATGACCTTTTTTGTTTTAAAAAAAATAACGTACATCTGCAATTATGACAAATAGCATGCTAAGAATGGCTCCGGCACCAAAACCCTGAACCGTGCGTCCAGCAATCAATCCGTTCATGGTAGGTGTAAGAGCATTAATGAGAGAGCCAACTGTAAAGAAAACCATGCCAAATAGTACAATTGGTTTTCTGAAAACATACAAATATGTGGACGAGAAATCAGTAAATATAAGCGTATACATATCATGCTTCAAGCTTTTTCTCACCTTCCAAACACATCTGAAAATTTGCCGGCGATTGCTTGTTGGGAATTCTATACGTTTATTTCTTTCAGTTTTAAAGTTCTTTTTTCTTTGCCTGTTATGATCTGTCAGGTAGGGCTTTACCATGGCAACGAGGTATGCGGTGGCTATCCACGTTTGATTTGCGATATCGTCTAGCTCTGTTGCTATAATGTTCATCGCTGGTGCGACTACGGTTGTGTTTAACGAAACCATGAACATGCCCATCAACAGACCAAACAGCAGGATGCCAAATTTTATTGATCGTATGATTCGCTGTTTCCGAGTAGCCGGAGATGCCTCTTGGTTGTATATCTTGCTAAATTTTTGTTCACCATCAACATCATCGTCATTATTCTTTCCGTATTTGGCGGTGGAGGCTTCTTTTTCTATGTCTATTATTGATGTTGTAGGGTGTGCTACTGGTTGATGCTGTGTAAAGCTCTTCTTTTGTGACAGTGTTGAAGTCGATTCGCTGACATCATTCTTGTTTTCATCGTACGAAGCGATGGTATTTGTGTCATTACTGCTGCTACTCTTGGTGATGTTCGCCATAGTTTTGTGATTTGTTTCTGGAAAGAAAGGGAAAAAGAAGATCCACTGTTTCAAAATTACATTATCCCCACCTTTTATACGGCCTTGGTCTTTGGAGCCAGTGATCTATTGTGTGTGCTACGACACACAAGTACAATGATAACTCTGGATAAAAGTTGCGCCGTCATCGCCAAAGCTCTTTTTCGCTCACACTCATCTCTTTTTCTTTAAAAACACACACTTCTTTACTGAGCGCTAGGTCCGTTTCTTGACCAGCTTTGTATAGGTAACTTTCATCGACAGATATTACAACAATGGTACTTATGAACTTACTTCCCTGAAGAGACAGGCAAAATATCTTTCTTTAAGAAAAAGTGTATATGTGCATTTTTATTTCAGACTATACTGTGTGATTTTTTAATGACTAATCATATCTTGTAGTAACAACGTAACAGTAATAACAGCAGCAGCGGCATCAGCCGGTAGGGCGCATACTGTTTAAGATGGAGGCATTTATAAGGAGCGGGGAAGTTCCTCCCGATATTAAGGTTGGTTGCTCTAGGTACCGACCGTCTCACACTATAGACAACAGTGGAACCCGTCGACACCATGACAATTCCTAAACGTCTTTACTCGTTATCATGGGGGTGGTACAGAGTGAAATCCAGGAAATCCATAAAGGGGTTTCATTTTCCCTGCCTGATGCTGGCTATTTTTTCGGCAAAACACACGCATCGCGATATACAAAAGAGAGAGGGCGTGTGGGGGGAGCTGCTACCACCTTTGGACAGTGGCGATGATCGAAGATTGCCTTCATAGGATACTAAGTTGACTTTTTTGATCTGCTTTGCTACTTTCTGTTCAACAGACAGTATTAGTTTTCCCAAGAGTAGCATCTTTCTCACTCTATACTAATGTACGAGGCTATCTTTTATGGAAAATATACCTTTAAATGCATATTTGCACTCTGTTCCTCATATTGTAAGCATGAGCAGTAATACATTGGCGCAGAACACGTCTACTTGTTATTTACCAAACCAAAGAATGGGATTACGGAGGAGCTTAAATTAACCCTGCTAACCCAAGTCATGGCTACCGAGCAAAACGGACCACTTAACTTAATCTTGAAGCATGCCAATCATCTACAATGATACCCGTATATATTTAACGTACGTCCTCTTACTCCCCTTTATTCATTATACATAACGTACGGTTGGCTGTACGTTATCCTATCGTTCAAACTACCATACGGATCAGCATTGTCGATTGTTAATCATGCACACAGTTTGCATATGTGGTCGTCGTGGTATGATAAAGGGAAGAAGGTGTTTGATATGTGAGATATATAGCGGAAGGATACGTCTGGTGAAGAAGGTTCGTTTATGATTGGAATGCAATTGTCTGGGCCGAGAGCTCCTCTCTTCTTAAGTTATACGAAACAATAATTGCACTCCGTTACCGAATTGCTACACGGAGACCTTTATGCTGTCACTTAAATGAGCAATGTCTATTATACAGCATATGACATATCTCGCTTATTAGATACAATAACAAAATGATTTCTACGATATCCGCTATTAATGAGTTTTCGCAATGATTCTGTTAGAAAGCCGCATGAGCAGAGTCAATTTTTGAAATAGCCTAGAACCATGACGATTCAAGGATAGGCACACATATCGTCTTTTCTGTGAAAACGGAAAAAGTAAATTCCTAAAAGGCGATGTACGTTGCAGTACAGGCGGATCGGGGTAAACAACAAAAAAGGGCAAATGACTTTATCATATATTGTTATCACAACATTGGTTAATCCCATGTAGTGCTGTCTGCTGATATTATAAAACTAACAGTAAGGATATCATGTTCACTTATGTTTTCGAAAAAAAAACATTTACTCAAAACAAACCATTAAAGTACTGACAAGGATTGGGGAGGTACGCGATTGCGACGTCCTTGACAACCAAGTTATTAGTTCGCTTTCACAGCTTTTCTCTTGCCGGCAGCCGTGTTCTCCATTTGGCCGTTTACAAAGAACATATTACGCACTTGTGTTTCGCTATAGTAGCAGTCTGTTCAGTAGCTACCATAGTCATAAGCTTAATTAGCGTGCCTGTGCTAGAAATTGATACAATAATCATCTATTATTAGTTCCATAGCTTCACATTGCCGTTTCGGTGTGCAGCCAGAAATTGGTAACTTGATATTAATCCTGCTGAAGATCTCCATGGAAATAATTCGCTGATGATAACAGCAATTACGGTGCCCGTTTATTAGTTTGCTACTACGATTATTGATATACATACATGGCAATCACCAAGTTCCCGTGTGTTTCCACTATCTTTTCATTACACACTTTGTAGTACAAATAATCTTGTTCCCACGTTTCAGCATCATAAGAAAACATCACAACATATAGCAAACTGCTGCTGCGTTTTTTCTAATCCTATCTTTTGATACTATCATCAGCCGGTTTATTAGCCACTTTTATAGTAATTATTTCAGTGTTATATGGTTATGACACCGTTTACCTCACGTTTGCAACTCGAACCCTGCTTCGAAGAGGCCCTGAAAGCGGAACAGACTCCTAGATCGGAATGGACTCCGGAATCTCGAAGAGCTAACTGGACCAACGCCTCCCTTGATCCGCAATGGTTGAAACGACTGCCGACAGTCATTGAGCAGGAATTGACCATTCCAAACAGAGCTGGTGATGCCTCAATTCAGTTGACCATTAATCGACCTTTAGGTACAGAAGACGTCATCTTGCCTGTAATTGTGTACCTGTATGTTGCTTGTGTGCGTTATTGGTCTGCATAAATGAATGATATTGACCCGAATACCTTTTTTTTTGCTCATTTTTTAGACACGGTGGTGGATGGGTCATAGGTAACTCTTCAACGCATCATCGTCCGCGAACCGAGGTAGGGACCGACACTTGTTTTTTCCCCCATTCCCACTTGTTTCTAAAACAAATCATTATTGTCAAGAGGCTGTCCATCATCAAGACTAAAGTACAGATACTCTATCTATTGTGGTGGTGGTGGTGGTTGGGTTGATGTTCATATAGCTGGCTGTTGCTGCGCGAGCTGCTGTGATCTTTGTTCATTATAGGTTGGCTCCCGAGTACAAGTATCCGACCGGTTTAGAGGATTGCTACGATGCAGTGACGTGGGTAGGAACCGAAGCGAATGCGCGATCCATCAATGTGGATGCCAACACGCTGGTCGTTGTAGGAGATTCAGCAGGCGGGAATCTAACTGCGGCAGTGACGCGTGAGTTGGGATGGACCCAAGAACAAATATTTGCAAATTTAATAACCTTTTATTTTGTTTCTGGATCATGCTGCACACACACACATACACGGTTTAAAGTCCTTGCCAAACAACGAGGATTCAAAGGCATACGTGCACAAGTGCTTTTTTATCCTGTGACGGACTGCGACTTTGACACCGAGTCATATCACAGGTTTGCCAACTATGATCCAGGCCGGGAGCTTATGCAATGGTTCTTTGATCACTATGTACCCGACAACAAGGAGCGAGAGAAGACTACCGTGTCACCTTTGAAAGCGACGACAAAAGATTTACAGGGCTTACCGCCTGCTCTGGTAGTGACGTGCGAGGCGGATCCACTTTTGGATGAAGGTGAGGCATACGCACGGAAATTGTTGGCTGCTGGGGTGGATACTACGGCACTCCGAATCTTGGGATTCGGCCATGGATTCTTGGATATGTGCTTTTATGACAGTAGTGCGGCACAAGCAGGGATTGATCAGGCAGTGGCCATGCTCCGTAGAATCTGGAAGGAGTAGCCTTGTTATGCTGTATACTAGATGTTGAATTGTCTAGCAAACAAATAGTAGCGTGTCAGCTTGATTAAAAGATAGCCAATTCTTTCTACGAGGCTATAAGCGACAGTTAGGATGGTGAATGTACATACATCAACTTGAGTGAAGACTGGAAGGAATCAGCTTTTACTAGCTTGTACTTTTTATGCCCTCCTTATATTCCCACTCTCTCGGATCAGCCCACCACCACTACGGTATAACCGCATGAAGATCCTCAAGTTGTTACAAGTACTTGTTGTAACCAGTCATGTAACTTTTCCTTTGGTGATCTCTTATATACTCGGAAAGTTCGCTTTTGAGTTCCGAGATCAACCGCTGCATACAAGTCCATTCGTCAATGGAGAATATAAAAAAGGAGTATCTAATGAAACATACTAGGCTACTGTCTGTTTCACGGGACAAGACGGTCCCAAATTTGTTGAAGATCGCCAGACAGTGGCAAACAATATTGCAGCAATATGGATGAGAGAGACACACAAACACATACGTAATTAAATGACAGGAAATATTATTGCCCAATGTTGGTTGGCTATTATTGATAAAAAAAGAGAATTGTTGGGCAGTGCTATGCATTTGCTCACCGGACCTGGGGTTTGAGAAGGAGGGGGCAGCTGCATAACAAAGCAGTGGATGGTGTTGATGCTGAGTGAAGGTAGCAGGCGCACACAGCACGCACAGAGTGAAAGGAAAGAGTTTGAGCCATAAAAAACAGCACAGCGCCCACTTGCTCCACCCGATCATCTTCAATTATAAGATTACCCCACAGAATGATGGGTGATTCAACCTGTAGTTGAAAAAGAAGGATGGGCGATGCAAGTGTGGGATGCTGCTGCTGCTGCAGTCAAGGAAGGGCTCTCTCCGCTATTCCAATTGGGCCCCTTTCCTTTCTGCTGCGTTCTCTCCCCTTTTTACTGGCCCCCTTATTTTGTGTTTCTTTTGCCGTCCCTGCCTCTCGTTTTCTCTCTTCTTGTTCCTCTTTTTTCTAATTCTTTTTCTTCTTGACAGTCAAGTCCCCAAAAGGCCCTTTCTTTTGAGCAAACGGAGGCCCGAGTCCACCTTGAAATACCACACAGCAAGAAGGGAACAGCCCAGGATCCACTATACTCATTGAGGCTCTGCACAAACACAAGCACAACACGCACGCACAAACCAAGAAGCTCCGCAAGGACAACCTTTCCACCATCTCACAAAAAAGTGCACGGGTCACAGGCTTTTGTCAAAGAGAAGAAGACGCGTTTTTTTTTCTCCCTTCTATTTGCCCTTTATACACACACACACACACCCTCTTGTAGCCGAGCGTACCACAGCTAACCGTATGTGATAAGCCCTTCTTCTGAAATCAACCCCACCAGCAACACACAAAAACTAAAGCAAACCCCTCTTCTTCCCCTCTTTTTCAACCTTCTTCTACCTACGAAGTACTTCAGTCGCTTCGCGGTGGTAGCGAGTTAACCTGCCAGATTTAATTCAAAAATCCCTAATTCAAATAATTCAAATCAGTCAAGCCATTTGCTTTTCTCTTTCTCTTTCAATCAGTATCCTCAGTCTTCTTACCTTATTCTCTCACACAAACTCTCTCTCTAAATCAACTCATTCACTTACTTTTCCCTTTTCTATCAACGATGGGAACTCGACGACAACGACAACAACAACAACAACAACAACAACAGCTCGTTGGTAATTTCAATACAACGGTGACGCCCTTGGTTGGCATGACAAATCAGACAACGACAGCACCAGCAGCAGGGACCATGACAACAGCAACACAGCCACCACTACCACTACCAGCCACAGTAGACGGCAGCGGCGGGGGAGCAGCAGCAGCAGCAGCAGCAGCAACATCAACATCGTCATCAATGCCCCCACGTCAGTTGTCAGGAAGTCGTGAAGCGGTAAGAGAAGTTTCGTTTCCGACATGAATCGGAGGAAACGGGACATCGGCGTTGGGACTTCCGTTTTCCGTTTTTGAGGTGGTACTAATGCCATGTTCTAGATGAAACCTCTTTACGATCGACTGTTGGAACGCTCATTCGCAGACAGTGCCTCGGCTGTAGAATTCTGCCGGACTACATGTGCTGAGCATGGCTTTACTGTAAAGCAAGAAGCGAGTGCAAACAAGGTATGCGATATACAGCCACCCACAAACACACACACACAGTGTGTCTCTCTACGTGTATCTTTGTATTTCTTTATGCAAAAACAAGGTTTGCGCCATGTACGATATGCTGAGTATCAAAAAAAATATAGAATAAATAAATAATGAATTCTTTTACAGCATATTTACGTTTACTGTTCACGCGAAGGCCTGCCTGATTCTGTTCGAAAGCCCCGCTCCTCACCACAACGTAAGCGACCCTCCAAACGCTGCGACTGTCGATGGCGCGTCGTACTGTCCGAGACCGAGCCAGGCCGTTGGGAATTTCGACGTTCACTCAACCCAAACGCAGCAGAGCATAACCACGAAATGATGTCACCTGATGAAATGGTTCAGAACTGGCCTAACGAGGTCAATGAATTGATAATAGGACTAGCCCGCCAACGTATGCAGACGCATGAGATCCGTGATAGGGTCAAGCAGCGGTATCCTTCAATCGCATGGAACGAGAGGCGATTTTACAACCGGTTGACGGAGGAACGGAAGCGGATACGGCAACGTGATGTCATGGATCGAAGCCAGCGGCTGTTAACGGTTTCGGCACGCGTGTGTTCCCTTGTGGCTGCCAACGAGGACTGGTCGACATGCGTCGAGTCTGAATTCACGCGTCTGTTGAAACATTATTGTCAGCTAGCACGGACGGATGCAGAAGGGTTGGTCAATTTTGATACGGATGCCATGCAAGTGGTGGATGATCAGCAAAGTGGTAGCGTCTGCGACAGTGCGTCGTCATCGTCCAACAGCGATTTTGATAATAGCCAGTCGGATGAGATTGAGGATGACAAACCTTTGCCAAAACGGCGCAAGTCGGTCGCGTCCATGGCATCCCAGAGTCAACAGCAAAAGCAACACCATCACCAACAACAGTCTAATTCAGCAGCAGCAGCAGCAGCAGCATTGGCAAAAGGAACACAGACGGTGCATATCCCCGGTTACACATTGTTTGTGCGACTGCAGTCGCAGCGTGGGTCGTCTGAAGGAACCTCTTCCTCGACGCAAAGTGTTGGACGACGCAACACGGCGTCAACCACAGATCAGTTGGATGTCAACCCGCTCTCGTTCCCACTTGCATCTCCGGGAGCATCCTCCTCGTCCTCACAATCATCAGCATTGCTGCATCAGTATGCTTTGCAACAACAGCAGCAGCAGCAGCAGCAGCAGCAGCAGCGATCACCCAGCTCACCACAACCACAACAACAGTCCATGACAGATGCCGCTCTAATGACGACTGCGCCATATCGCCAGCAGATACCAGGTCATCATCACCATGCCCACGGGACAAAATTTGCAGCAATGCAACAACAACAACAACAGAATCATCCGACGAGTAGCAATGGAGCTGCGTTGACGCCAGCATATGCAGTTTCAGGCAATGCATTCTCGTCGCCACCGTCAGAATTGTCCTTTGCATTTGAAAGCCTCGTCCAGCCGCCTTGGGATCAACAACAACAACAACAGTCGCAGCAACAGCAGCAGCAGCAGCAGCAGCCACAAAGAATGTCTGAAAATGGTGCTATAGCAATGCATCCGAATCAATTTGGTTCCATGGTGATGGATGCTAAGCAACAAGCGCTGCTATTTGGCTACATGCCGGACAACCAGCAACTACAGCAGCACCAGCAGAGATCCATGCGTATGAATGATCATCCGTTGCGCCACTCACTGCCTCTTCAGATAGATGGTAGCAGTCCTGACCACACTACTACTGTGAATGGCTCTCTGCACACAGACCCAGCCCATTGGGGCTAATATAGCAGTATCTCCCCTTTCCAATTTTTTCTTCTTCTTCACACTCACATCATGGTCTTCTTTTCCTCATATGTTATATTCTTTCAAAGTTAGCAGTATTAGTAAATAGCAGCAGCAGCAGTACTCACATTCCCTATATTCTTCCTTTATCTCGGTCTAAAAAGCAACCGCCTTATCTCTCCCAAACCCCCTCAATTCTTATATCAAGTTATACTTAGTTATTTTGTAAAGTTTAGTTCTGGTACAACCTTTTATTTTCTTTCTTTTGTGCAATCTTCTTGAAAGCCATTATGCACACACACAGAGATTATTTTAAAAAAAACAAGACGTATTGAATTTGTATACGTTGTTTTATTGGATGTGTTTTTTTTATTCATGCTGGTATAGAGCATTGTTGTATAGGAAGAAGAAGAAGAAGAAGAAAAAGAGGAGATGGTAGAGAAAGACGAGCAGCCCATATATGAGAAAAGCAGCAAAGTGGGAAATATATAAAGAGAGATTAGTATGGAAGGGGAGGGGCAGGAGAGGGAGAGAAAGGGAAACGATGTTTAATAGGTTGTTTAGTAGGGTTGGAAAAAGAAAAATCAAAAGGGACGAATAATAAAATGCAGGGTATCACTTTTTTTTTGTGGGTGTTGGGTCAGTAGGGGCTTTATGTTATTTTTGCGGTTTGTGTCTTTCAACTTTCTTCCCTCTATGACATTGGTAAATGGGCTAATGACACTAGATCAGATAAAGGTGGATGGAATGAAGAGGTTGCTCGCATAGCTGTTGTTGTTGTTGTTGCTGCTGTTGCTGAAGAAGAAGTGGAAGAAAAAGAAGAAAATGACGACGACGACGACGACGATGATGATGATGCTTGCTGATCACAGCGCTCAATCTCCGTTCGAACCCAACGACATAATTCGCTTGCAACCAACCCTCGCTTTATTGTTAGCCAACCTTCCAATAGATCCACCAGCAGAGCGCGTTTAACCGGTCGTAGATAGCTGTCTGATAAGAGCTCGCATGCTCGTTGCACTGCACACTCGACGTGATTTTCGCTCAAGATCTTGCCAATGAATGCTGCGCCCATTAGATCAAAGCAGGCCGATATACTGTGCAACGTATCGAGCAGTCGACTCGGTACGGGTGGTAATGACGATGACGACGAGTGTGATGATGATGATGTTGATCTTGGTAATGATAAATGATGGTGTTGTTGTTGTTGATGTCGTGACCGACTATCATTACCGGTACCATCAATCGCTGTAGCCGTCGTCGTAGTCGTTGACGAGTTGCATAGAGCGGCAGATTGGCATGCAGGACCAAAAACCATAGAGTACAGCACGTCTCCTTGTTGTTGAGTCATTGATTTGTTGGACTTGGAAAGGAACATGAGCTTATACCCCGTGTATTCTAAAAACGCCTTGATGTTGTCTGCCAACGTAAATGTGATTTCGCGGCAGCAGGCAGGAAAGGCAACGTCCAAACGGGTCAGCAGGCGGACCATCATGGCGGCCAGGGCACGGTTGTTGGAACTTGCATGCGTGCAGGCGAGGCGCACAGGCGAACGAGAGACCGAGGTGACAAAGACGGCGTGGTGGAAGATGACATCGACGGCGGACCGGATCCGGTTGCGGATGTCAATGTCTTCAATCAAGACATATTTGTGCTTGTAGGACGATATGCCTGATACGATGCGCTGGTGCAACCGTTCCTCCCGTCGCATCAGGTGGTGAAATAGTTTGCTGTTGCTGCTGCTGTTGTTGCTGTCTCCTTGTTGTGGATGATGATAATGATAATGGTGATGAAGATGAGGTGACGAGTGGTGTGGTGGTGGTTGCTCTTGGTGTCCCTCTTCTTCTTCTTCTTCTCCATCTTCTTCGTCCTCGTCCTCGTCTTCGTCCTCGTCGTCTTCTTCTTCATGGTGAGGGTGGTTACTGCTGCTGCTACTGCTGCTGCCGTTTGCACCATCACCACTGCCACTATCCAAAAGGAGTAAACGTTGAGGGTGAAGCTCGTCTTCTTCACTCAGTTCATCTTCTTCATCGTCATAATAAGGAGACATGGAGCGCGCAGACGAAGGCCGTCGTTGGTCCAATAAACCAGCAGCGGCAGAAGCAGCAGAGGCAGCAGGATCGGGCATTCCCGAAGATGCGGAGACAGAAGATGCTGCTGCTGCTGCTGCTGCTGCTGCGGGGTTGTTGTTGTTGTTGTTGTTGTTCGTAGTAGTAGTAGTAGTAGAAGCGGAGAGGTAACTTGTCTGATATGCAAAAGGCGTCACTCTGGTCTGGGTGGAAAGCTGACAGGACAAAGTTTCCAGGGCAACCAATGCTGCTCGACATTGCACTTTCATGAACGATTCTGGTTTTGACAGGTCCATGCGCCAACGCATGTCGATTGTGTATGTTGCGAGATAGCGAAAGGACCTGGACACTTGTAACAGTTGCCACAAGTCACCAATTTCCAAAAACTGTTTGAGAATGTAGAGTAGAAGCTCATTGGGTAAACCCATGAGCGCACTCGTGGGTTGTTGTTGTTGTTGATCTATGGGTGGTTGCATTGCTGCTTCTGAGAGAGAGAGAGAGAGAGAGAGAGAGAGAGACGAATAATAAGGCAAGCACTGGCCAAGTGAAGTAGGTGTGTTCTGGTACGGAACAAACGGATAGCAAAAGGGGCAGACGACGACGACTCTTGCTTAAAAATATGGAGTTTTTGGTTCGCTTGGTTGTGGTGTGCACTGATGCTGCTGTCGATGCCTGCTTTGCTGTAGAATTGGTTCCTGGGTGATGGCAAGCGTTGGCACTTGTTGACGAAGGATAGAATGAATGACAAGAAGACAGAGATTGATGGCCTTTGCTTCTTATCAAAGGTGGTAAGTGTGGGCGGTGTATGTCCTCTGTGTATGTGTGTGAAAGAGAAATAGAAAGAAGAGGAAGGAAAAGAGGAAAAAGGCAAGACCGGGGGTGTGGAGGTGTGTGGTGTGGTGTGGTGTGTGGTGTGAGTGGATGGGGGGCAGACCGACCCCCTTTATTGCACTCTCTTTCGTTCTCTCTCTCTCTCTCTGTCTCTCTCTCTCTTTTGTGCGCTGTTGGTTGAGAACACGGGGTCGCCCATCTCACATGCATACATAATAATAATAATAAAAACACACACACATTGCACGCACAATCAAACGAATGCTTGTTTCCAACTACGCAGTACGGTCTTTTATTGTCGCATACGCTCGTCGCAGTGTGCCTGACTGGATTGCAAATCCACTTGCCTCTAACTCTCGCACTACCACTGCTCCCGAAGCCCAGTCGCGCCTGCGGATACATTCGTCCAGCATAATCCCCCACGTGTCCTTGGTCGGCGTGCACTTTTCCTTGCGCATCCGCAACAGGCACGTTATCGCGTCATCCAGCCGGTCGTGGTTGAGAAACGCACAGATAATAAAGTGGTACGACGCCCGATCCGGCCGCATGTCACTGTTCTTGAGTATATTCTGGAACGTCCACATGGCCTTGGTGAGATCGTTGGTGGCAACGTATCCTTGGATCAAGTTGGTATACGTGTGGATCGTCGGCTTGAGGTTATAGGGCGCCTTGCGCATGAGCTCAATGGTGCGCTCCGCCTCGCTCAGCTGTTGGTTTTGGATAAATTTGCTAATCACTGCATTGAACGTGTAAATGTTGGGCTGCATTCCCGTTCGGTGGAGATAGTCCAGCATCTCTTCCGCCGACCGCGGCTGCTTGTTGGCGAATATGCCGTCGAGGAGCGTCGTAAACGTCACTGTGTCCGGTTCGCATTTGTATTTGTACATGTCGGAAATCACCTCCAGCGCAGCGGGATAATCGGATACGAGAATGAATCCCTTCAGCAACGTATTGAACGTCACCATGTCGGGTTGGATGCGCGATTCGAGCATCTGCTGATACAGTGCCTTGGCTGCTGCCAGCTCCTTGTTGATCACCAACCCGTCGATCATCGTATTGAGAATCACATCGTTCACCTTGAGCTTCGGGTCTCGTTGGATAAAATCAAATACATGGAACGCTCTGTTCGCCATCCGCGACTTGAGGTACACCCGGATCAGCTGGTTGTAAATCAGTTCGTCCAATGGATATCCGCTTTCCACAGTGTCATTCACAATTTGTTCTGCTCCCGCAACATCACGTTTTGCAGCATAGATGGTGAGCATGCTGACGCAAATACCCCCATTCGGCTTGTATCCGGCCTGGCGCATATCGTCATAGATACTCGAGGCGTCACGCGGCGACTTGCCATCCAAAAACCCTTTGATGAGCAGCTGATAAACCAACACGTTCTTGTCGACGACGACTGCCGCCGCCGCCGACGCATCTGAGGTAGTGGAAGAAGAAGAAAAAGAGTGGCTGGATAATTTAGGCTTGATGGCATTCGCATAAAGCCACCGTATATCGCCCAGCATGCGTTTTCGGAACAAGTGAGCCAAATTGCTTTTCATGGTTTCCACATTATCGAATCCGTGCAGACTGATTAATTCGCGCGCCTTCTTGCCGATCGTCGAGTTGCGCGGCATGCATCGATGCATCGTGCGCTGGAAATCACGAATATCCGGATGCAGACCCCACAAACGGTGTGCTTCGCGAATAAGCTGGATCGCCTCTTTTTCCATGTTGAGTTGTAGATACGCGGCCAACAACACATTGAACGATCCAACACTCAACCGCAGCTTGCTCGCCTGGAACTCGCCATTGAATGTATCGAGAATATCTTGATGTCGCGCTTGGTATAGCTTGACCATGAAATATTCATTGTATTCCAAAATGCTCCATTCATAACCCAGTCGCTTCATGTCGTTCAATACTTGCAGAACCCGGTCTTCCGCGCCCCATTTGTGTTTGCTGTTCCATAAATTCGTTCGTAGTTGGACAAAATCTTGGCGATTAAGTTGACTGGCAATGCCGAGTTTTGCAATTTGCTGATAGCGATTCCACACATCGTCACCGCCTTTATTGAGCCGTTCTCGGTATGCATTGATTGTGGGTTCTCTAGAGGTCGTCGCGGTGGTGGTGGTCGTTGTTGGTAGCGGAGAAGGTGCATTTACAGTATAACGACGAAGGTGAGTTTGGCACGGAATATTAGATCTGGAATGATGTTGTACAGTTGAAAACGGGCATTTGTTGGGTCGTATTATTCGTGTTATTAATGATCTATGCATCGTATGTAGGGTGGGTTTTTTGTGTCTAAATACGTGTGTGTGTGGTGGAGTAGGAATATAGTGCCTGCAACATCCCGTGCCCCCTCCCCCCTGGGACTTGGTGGCTTATGCATACATCTTGTGCCTGCCCGGTCAACTTTTTTCGCGCTTGGATGACCAGAAAGTATGATATTGATGTTCTATCCATTGCACCGACCGACCCCAAGCTGCCGCAACTCATTCTCGTTGCTATCCTTCTTAAGCCGCTATGAATGTGACGTTAGTCAGCGTCAAAACGAGTCGGTTCATATGATACAGTACTGAAAATTTGACAAATGCTGCCAGAGGGGGGAATAGTTTTATGATTATAGCGTCTTTTGCACACCATGTTTTGACTCATGTAACTTAGAAACACTCTATATCAGTAGCAAAACTATAATTTTGCCTACAGAGTAGTTATTCCGTCCAAGCAAAAGGTACGATTAACGAGCACATGCTCAAGAGGTTCTGTGAGGTGCGTGACAAGAGAGTGATATCACTACCGATAGCCGGTTATCGATCCAACAGATAACACAGAAACTAACATATATATATATATCAATTTGGGCTATGAAAGCCTTTCTTTGAAGATAAGAAATGGACTACTTTCGCATAGTGCGTAGATACAAAGCGCTCAACTATCTACGATGAAGATTTCCTTTGACGAACTCTCTACAAACAAAGGCGCTCACATTGTAGTACTTTGAAACTGGTCTCGATTTCTTTCAGCTAGAGTTGATAAGGTGCGTCTTGTGGAGAGCTATCATACATGATGTCGCCAGCTTGCTGTGATAAGAAGCTATTGGTCAATTCATGTCGTGATCATCACTGGATATCCAACAATACACATCAAGACCATCCAGAATGATGTAGTGGCGAAAGCTGAGCAAAAAACGCATGTTCTATAGGTGTACATCAAGAAGTTGCAGATTCACCAAAGGCAAAGGAAACACTTGGGCTAAGTATCTCCGATCAGCAAGAGTCCAAGGCACTTTTCTCTTTAAACAGTAAGCATTTCTTTGTTGGGTGTAATCATATTGTGTCGGTGACATTATTTCTAGGCTGATAGAGATATGTAATCAAACACCATGTACACTAGACAAATGCCGGTGTATTGCTAGGTTTTAGTGAAGGATTTTCTGTCCAGACGTCAGCTGCACGTTGATACAATACATAGCATGAAGAGATGAGCAGCATCTTCTCAATATGAGATGTAGTTCATTAAATAATGTATTACCAAATGTGTTACAGTCTTTTTGGACAGTTACAACGGTCCAGTCATCATGCGTAAAGAGAGTTCAAGCAGTTTCGGGTAATGTGCCACTTTAGGCTTTGTAATTTTGAGTAAAAGAGCATGATGTCATCCTAGAAAGGTACAAATTGCCGTGTTCGTAAGTCCTTTTTGAGCATCTACAACATAAAACAACCTTTCCAAGACCACTGCAAGGTCTCAAAAGGCCCCAAACGCTAATCTGAGATTTTGGATGCTTTTTTCCTTCTATATAGTTTTTTTTTCGCGATGCTAAAAAAGGAGAAATCTTTACGATACAGCTCTATGTACAAGTTCTTTTGCGACCACCGAAAGCTCTTTCCTTTTGGTGTCATCATCTTTCGAGGGATTAAAAGAAGTGGATCCTTAGTAGCGAGGTGATGCTGCACGGACTCATATGCAGCAGTGGCAGCAGTTAAAAGAGCTCCATGTCTAATCGACAAAGTTTTTTTTCTGTAAAGCCTTTGACTCCGGTAGGGGGAGGCTGCTATCTGGGTTAATACTGTATGCTCTATATACAGCGGCTTATTCTGGTTCCTGCAGGTTCCCTCTAATACTTCACACCCACCCCTGGATTTTCCACACCTTGTCACTTTTTACTTTCTTTCTTGCTTTGAAGCTTTATATGTGCATACAGTGCTCGTGATGTGTGGTTTGAAGGTTGTCCTACCTCAAAGTTCCGCAGGCTCGCAGTGCGTGTGTTACACAAAAATGTGTCACGACCCCCCTTCCATCCTGTATATGAAAGAGCGATTCCATGAGTGGGATATAGAATAATGACTACTGGAGATGGCAACTAAACTCGGCTCGGGTTTGGTTCACAGCGCTTGGGAAATAAGGAGTGGGTGCAAGTAGGCAGAAGGGGAGAAGAAACTGGAACTTCATTTTCTTTGTGCTGGCTATGCTATACTGGATATCAAAAATACTGCATGAGCCCGTTCATGCGCTGGTCTTGAACAGTTGCCAATCATTAAAAAAAAAATCTCCCGCGACTTTCCACGCACACACACGCACTCACTCATAGTAAAACACACACACACACACACACACTGGTTTATTTCACCTTCCTTTTCTCTTTTTTTTTTTTGTTTCGTAATTCCTCCCTCTCTCTCCTCCTCGACCCCCTTCATTCTTTACGAACTACTGCTTTTTTTTTGGCTTTTCCCTTAAAACATGCCTCCTATGGATTTCATGTCGGCTGGTTCCTTTACGAATTCAAACCTTATGAGACCGAGAAGCCATGGTATGTAACAAGTTGTTTGGCTTTCTTTTTTTCTTTCTTTCTTTCTCTTTCTCTCCCATTATTCCATTGAATGGCATTGAACTCACCCATATGGGTCGCAACAGCCAATAGCTTCCAAGGAATCAGCGAATTGCAAGAGTACGACCAAAAGTTATCTGATATCACAACAGCCACCTTGGAGCAGGTAATGCTACAGACTTTCTATTGAAATCGATGGGCAAGTGGCGAAACTATCACTGCTTTCTTTTCCACACATGTGCTCCATATTTTTCATCCACAACTAACAACAATTATGCTGATCTGGTACATAAATGTCATAGGGCTTCCAAGGTGACCTGAATCATGTGGATCATTGGTTCAAGCTGTTGACGGATACAGAACAAATGGCCGTGCTCTACACACTCTTGCAGCATTGCTCGCAGAATAATGCCCGATTCTTCATTACGGTTCTCCAGCAGATGGTGGATAGACGTCATCCTCGCTCCAGGACGTCTGATCTCATCGGTAATACTACAGAGAGCTTAGCATACATATCCATTCTCTATTGGAGTAGGAGGAGATTGGCAGAGCGTGAAAAACGACTCGCTCTTGGGGTGCTATGAGAAGGGGTGGATGAGGAGAGGAAAGGACGTATATCTTTTTGAGGAGTTGATTGAAACCACAAAAAAAAAAAAGAGGGAAGAGTTTTTTGTTCTCTTTTACTAAAACTGTTTCGGGATGGGTTGTGTTTTGCGTTCTAGACGATTACCAGCAGCAGCACCGCCCCTATCCCATTACGCGGTCATCCGCCGCATTAAATAATCGTCACTCTATCGCTTTTGGAGATAGCCCGCCTAACTTATTTTCACCCCTGTTTGGAACATCATCCTCGTCGACCGCCTCACAGCCCCAGCAACAACAGCCGCATCATCATCATCATCATCATCATCAACATCTTGATCAACAGCAACAGCAAAAGCAGCAACAGCAGCAGCGACCTCGATCTGTGATCGATCATTCTTCTTCTACTCCTTCATTCTTGACCCCGGCCTGGAATCAAATCATATCGAACAACAAGTCAGTGATAGGCGATCGCAGGACGATAGCACGCCCCAAATCAGCTGACGTGTCCACTTGGTGGGATCCATCCAAGTCATTGCAACATCCCGCTACTACCAGTAACAGCATCCCTGGTACGGTCCCAGAAGCAGATGAGCAGCAGCAGCAACAGCAACAGCAACAGCAACAGCAACAGCCGGAGAAAAGATCATCGTCGTCCGTTGTGTCAGATCGAGATTCGTTAGGTAGCAGTAAGCAAAGTGAAACATCGAGTGCAACCACAACAACAATGGCAGCAGCACCACCAGGTACTACGTCAGTTTCGACGCAGATACCCTCAGCATCTGTGTCGTCGTCACGTAGTAAAACACCAAAGACACCCAAAGAGAAAAGATCCAGTGAAACTATTGATATGGACTTGGTCAAAGGTATGATAGCATAGCTGAGCAATCATCCAAAAGAAGTCGAAATCAAGCTTCAAGTCTGCTAACCGCCCTTTTTGATACTGTCATTAGATATTCCTTCGTTTTTCAGATCGTTACGTTTGCATAAATACACGAGTCATTTTGAGTCCATGAAATGGCAGGATATTCTCAAAATGTCGGACGAAGAGCTCGAAGCCAAGGGTGTGGCTGCACTCGGTGCTAGACGAAAGATGCTAAAGGTGTTTGAAAACATCCGTGCTCATTGTGATGCTAACGTAAGTCCTGTCTCTCTCAATGGCACCTGTCCATACATAAACGACTCATCCTCTTTGTTGCCTTGGTGATAGGATATTCCGTACTGATAAACGATGCTCTTACTGCTTCTTATCGTTTCTATACTTTACATGCATACTGTCACAACGTATAATTGTTTCCTCTCCCCCTCTCTCCTTCTTCCGAACACCCTTCCCTTAATCCAAATCTGTTTTGTAATGTTTTGTTGATGTTGTTTTGTGCGTCATGTTCTGTGCGTGTTGATGGAGGTGTGGGTCTTTTTATGCCAGGACAAGAAGTAACGTCGTTTTTTATTATTATTGTTAATCCCCCTAAAGTGATGGAGAAATCATAATAGAAACGGACTTTTTTTGTTTAGGCCTTGCCAGCCTTAGCGACCAAAGCCTTCTGGGTACCCTTCTTGGCGAAGCGCTGGTTGCGGAGGAACTTGGCATCCACCTATAAACATATACACAACGGGACCCATTAGTCTCTTTTAATCTTTGGTTGTTTTCCCACGTATCTCCACGTCAATTTATAAAAGATTACGTACACCCTTGAGCGAGGGGTAACGGTGCTGCTTGGGCTTCTTGATGCCGTTACGGTGAGCCTTGCTGTCTATTGAATGAAAAAACGTGCGCAATTGTGTGAGTAATTAAATTTCGTCGTAATTTTCCGTGCATGTTGCTGTTTCTTTTTTTCTGGCGAGAGAGAGTGTGTGAATGAGGTCTTTGATGAAAAGCAAATTCGTTCATTTACTTTGGTTGTGGTTGGTGTGGTTCTTGGACTTGGCCATTTTCTAAAGGGAAAAAAACAAAAAGTAATGGTTTTTATGCAAATGAGTCACTTTTTTTCTTTGCGCTTTCATCCATTCGTTGAATCCATCTATCCATCTGTCAAAGTCATCCATCAGTTTTCCGTAGGATGGATTGTTGGCGGTATGGATGATGGTCGTCTTTGGTATTTTATATAAGCAGTCTACATACTCTTGATCAATGGATGAAGGAACGGAAGGAACTTTTGGTAGCTTTGCTGAAAATGGATATGGTGGGGCCCTCCGCCGGAATTCCAAATTAGGCAGGTAGTACCATATGCGTTCTTGCTCGTTTTAACTCTCTTTATTATGTCATGGATAATAATGTACTGTCTGTTGTATTGTCGATACCTGAATCTTATGGTTTATATTTACTGCTTACATTCAGTAATTGATTCTTTTGCAATCATTGTAATATATAGTCGTCGTGAGTTTGCAAAAATATTTGGCTCCTTTGTCAATGTGTGTCCTGATGGTGATATTGTGACAAATAATGCTCCAATGCTCCTAGACACGCTAATGCTCCTTGACATGTTTTATGCAGGCTGCTTGAAGTAATTATAGATACTTGTTGAGAATAATGGCGTTTAATTCCACTCATTCCTCCTTCAACGCAGGAAGCTGACACTCAGATCCGTTTCGTCAGCTCTTAAGATCAAGCCTAAGAAATACAATCATCGTCATGAAAGCTGCTTTTGCATGCATGAAGCACCATACATGGTGTACTAGATGAAGACCATTGGTCTGTTTCTCCAGAAGCTCTTCTGCCTTTTGCTTTACGGTGTTGGCAATCGATGTTGGCGAGATGATGACATGATGCGGTTGCCCCGGGGGGGGGGAGGGGAAGGCGTAGACGAGGGTGTTGATGCTTACGAGAACTCGAGCACGCTGCTCCTTAACGCCGAAAAACCGGCGGATCTGGCCTCAGAAAGAATGAAGGTAGTTTGGTATGATGACACATCGTATACAGCAATAAAAGTAGGTCGTAATGTGAAAATTTATGCGAGGCACGTTTTGCAATGTGCGGATACGCTTGGAGTGCAACTCCTGGGTATCGATCCAGGTACATACATTCGTGAAAATTTGATTACGTTACGTAGAATGATAAGGGCATACGCTATTTGAACTCTTTCTGATATGTTTTCCTATAACGAAATGTAGCTGCTCAAATTACTTTCACATTTTGGCTGGCTATTTTCAAGTGGTAATTCCTCAGCGTAATAAAGCTAGAATAGATTTTGCCATATTAAACTGTAAGTACATGAAGATATTTATTCAGCATGAGCTGCAGCAACTTCGTACAAGTAAGTACCAAGCAACTTGGTACCACACACATAGTTGGAACGATCCAGCTTCTCGTTAGTTGAGTGTGCGCCCTATTAGTAATAAGAGACAGTAAGTTTCAGTTCCTCGTAGCTTTTCTCACCTCTCCTCCAATAATTGATATATATAAGGAAAGGAGAAGTATACTCACATCGTCACCACGGCCCATGGGCAACAGCAAGACGTTGGTCTTCAAAGCATCTTGGAAAGTCAAGGTAATAGGGATTGAGCCACCTTCACGAGTCAGATCAGGCTGGACATTGTACACACGTTCCACAGCCTTAGCAGCGGCAACTATGAAAAGTAATGTGTAAGCACATACGCATGAGATTATAATATAACAATCATCCAGCAGTAACTTGGGCTTACCATAGCTCCAATGTTCAGGGCTGGCCAACCAGTGGTTGCCAGCGTGGGAACATTGAATCTTCATTGTGTTCTTGCTACCCAACTTGTTGAATTCGTCATTGACGTACTTGACCACCAACTCGGTCACCTTGTCAAGCGTCATATCGGGAACGGTACGGATAGAGAACTTTCCAACGACGCGGGCTGGAACAACAGTCTTGTCACCAGCGTTGTAAAAGGCGCCCTCAACACCGTGCAAGGAGAGCGAGGGGAAGCGCCAGCGATGTTGGAGGACACCACGTACGTCATCGTGGATATTGATTTTGTTACCCACAGCATCATGCAGTTCATGCATCTCGAATGCCAGGTTGTCATAGGTCTTTTCCTCGACATCTACAAGAAAAAGGCCCCTTGAATATTTAGCAGCAGCACAACACAAAGAAGCACACTTTACGATAAACATCCACTCTATTGGTTTTTTTCCTCTTCTCAAGATCGACAACAGTAGAACTTACCAGTCAAGGGACGGACTTGATCGTAAATACCAGGAACAAGGATCTTGCCACCAGGAGTGACCAACTTGCTCATCAAAGCAAACAGATCCGTCATGGGCTCGTGCACAGTGCCACCAAAGACACCCGAGTGCAAATCACGAGCAGGACCTTGGACGGTCAGATGGAAGTATGAGACGCCACGAAGACCGTATGTCAAGCAAGGCTTAGTGGTACCCAACCAGTAGTTGTCTGAGATGCACACGGTATCGACGTCCTTGAAATACTTGTCGGCTTCCTGGAAAATGATGGGCTCCAGTCCCTCAGAACCAGATTCCTCCATTCCTTCCAAACAGAATTTCAAGTTAACAGGCAGTTCGAGACCCAACTTCTTGTGTGCTTCAACGACGTTGATCCAGCCCAATACGGGTCCCTTGTCATCAGAACTTCCACGGCCGATAAGTCGCTGCTTGTCGTCCTCTACCAGTGTGAATGGATCGGTGTTCCACCCATCCTCCAACAATGCCTGTACGATAGTTAATGCATAGTGTAGACAGAGAGTTAGCTTGATACTCTTTTTTTTCTCTCTCTCTCGCTTGTCCACACATCTAAACGCACAACCCATCCTTTATTTTCTAAATATCACGTACGGGTTGGACATCATAGTGACCATACACCAAGATAGTCTTCTTGGCAGGGTCGTTGCCAACAGTTGCCAAGACAATGGGTGGCAATGGCAACGGAGTACCGTGGAAATCTTGCTGGCCAGGATCACGCGTCTCAACATTAATAGCACCAAGCGACTTCAGTTCTTCAATAAGAAACTCGGACATTTTGAACACGTCCTGACGACGCGAAGGATCGCTACTCACGCTACATGAAGAGAGAGGTGTATATGTAAGCATATATGCTGGTTTTTCATTGCTAAAAATACGACTGTCTTGCTCTCTTTTTCTTATCGTTTATAGTACATACCTAGGAATAGCGACTGCCTTGCGCAGACGTTCAACGAAATCGTTTTGGTGTTCTTCGACGTATTGGAGGAATTGGTCAGCCATGGTTCAACCGGGGGAAACGGGTAAAAAAAGGTGGAAAAGAGGTACCCGTGCGAAACTTTTGACCGCTTTAAAAGGCCGCGTGTCGTCCCCCGACGATTGCCCCCAGCAAGCTCAGCTTTTTTTCACAGTGGTCCCGTGTGCTCGGCTTGCCAATACAGAAGGACGACCGGTGCATGAAAATTCTAAATTTTCTATTCATGACAAGTTTGTTAACTTGTTCCATAAACAGAATAAGCGTATCGGAGGTGGTCCGGGCAGGCGCCGCCGCCGCCCCTCGCTTAAAAAAATTCTTTTAACTAGAGGGGGAGCGCTATGTTGAGCAGCAAATACTTTTTGTGGTGACCTTGATATAACGTAGTAAAAAGGTGAAGGTACCAGTGCTCGCCTAGCAAAAAGCTGATCATTGGACATACGTTTACAGCTAACTAAAGCATTTATTTTAGCAAAGAGCCAGGTTCTTTCATTTGAGTCGGTGTGTGCAATGATAGAACATTCTCTCTTCCGCACAAACCACTCTGTGCTCTCAACTGTCGCAAAATAGTCGTGAGTAACCACAAAAGACAGCAATCAAAGTCTAAGCTGCACCCTTGGGTAGAAGTGGGGGCCTGTGGTTGTAATGGGCTGGTAGATCCAAGTCGCTCGTCAAAAGGCACAGCCTATTACTGGTCCGTGAGTTATCGAAGAACGTCTACATATCAAACGTTCATCCAAAGGTAAGAACGGACGCACTGGGGCTTGAGCCTTCTCGAGAGTCGGAGGAGTAACATCAAAGAGAGGTGCTTATATAGCTTGATTGATTTGCGCGCGTCAAGGCGCGCTTCGATATCTGCTGTTAGTGCCGAGAACAGGATTTTCCCTTAACAATGATGACACTGATTGAATTTCCATGAGCTAGAGTAGGAGAAGCGATAACGAAGTGACATGTACGAATGAATGTCTTTGGCTAAAAAAGATGCCCGAGAAAGGCGGTGTCAAAGCTTCTTCAAATGTGCTATAGCCCAAAATACCAACAGAAAGTGCGTGACTGTATCAAGTCAAAGAAGAGAAAGGAGCGTTCGATGCCCGCGACCGGACTGCCTTGAAACAAAAATACGGGAAGCAGATCAGACCAGTTGACATGTTTTACGATATAAAAAAGATATTCAAGCTAATAAATAGGTATAAGTAAGAAAACTAGAGAAGTATGACTACAAAAAGCAAACGTTTTCCAGCGATCAATTATTAACAATGTTATGGTCGATGGCTCTCTTGGTCTTTTCTAAGCTTCAAGGTCTAGTAGTAGCTGATAACCTGTACTTTGCAGTCCAAAAAACCATTCACAGCAGCGAAGATGTTTAGGTAGAGTTCGCTTTTATGACTTGTTGAAGATACGTAGAATTCAAAGATCAAAAAAGATTCCTATGTGTTAATTTTGCTCACACTTCAGGGTCCTGACACACCTGCTTCAAGCTAGCGGTCATGATAAAATACGTTGGTCTTTCCTTGCTCACTGTCTTGATAAAGTATCGCGAGAAGAAACGTCTGCAAAGTAGTACTGCTTATCCTCCTAATTCCAAATAGAGTCATACGATAAGTATCGACTCACTGGCCTTTCAATAATAGTCACTTACTATCTTTAAGTGCTCACTGAAGGGCTGTCACTCACCTCCATGTTTTGATTTAACGAATTAACAGTAGTACACGGCCACCAGGCATGGTACACTTGCAATAATAACAGTGTGTATATCTTGGGCGTCAATCTGTTTCATGTAATTATAGCTTTGCAGCTGAAAAAAATGAGCCTATTACGGTAAGCACAAGTCCCATTCTCAAATGTAAACAGTGTTTGTATATATATTAAAATGCTAAAGAAACAATTGCTGACAGGCGCAAAAATACTGGCCTGATTTTTTTTTATTACTTGGGAACTACTGTAATTTAAAAAAGCGAAGCGTGTTGCTTTCCTCGCTTTGGACGGCACCCATTATCACTGGAGCTTTTTCTCGCTTTCCCTTCTTTTTTTAAAACCGCCATGACAGCGTCCAATACAAAACCAGTTATCAACTCGAGCCGGCTTCGAAGCAATCTACAAAGATCAGACCTGTCACTAACCGTTCAAGTCAAAAGTTGTCAAACCTTCAAAAACGACTTGCGCAATCGATGCAAAGCATGTGTAGCCAAAAAAGCCGAAGGCTGCCGCTTCGTAGGGATCCGTGCCTTTCCAAGCGATCGCATTCCCACCACCACCACAACCACCAGCAAAAAGTCCAAAAACACAAAAAGCAAAAGCAAAAATGTGAAACAACAAGTTATTGACAGCGATGATGCCATATATTTTGTTAATTTCGACGGTCCAGATCTGATCAGTGAGTATCGAGACAAAGAAAAGGCGGCAGCAGCAGCAGCAGCAGCAGCGGAGAACAAGAAAACCAGCAGTAACGGCATCAGCAAAAAGAGCCAACAGCAGCAACATCGAGATATCATACTACATACGGTTTGCAAAGCATTGTCGAAAATGCTTCAAGAAGAAAGCCAACGATTAGCAGAACTCGACAATTCGCTGATTCGACGTCGCGCTCCAATAGTCAATATGCGTCACGTCTGCGACGTTTGCCTGACAAGTATTTTTAACCTGCATTATATGTGTTCCATGTGCGCACTGGACATATGCGTCGATTGCCACGACAAAGATTGGAGCGACAAGAAGAATGAAAAGGTTGCGGCTTGCAGCTATAAGCGTGCTCACACTAAGGAACATATGGTTCCCGTCATCAAATACGATCCAGCGACACTTGGACGGTTCAAAGAACAGTTGATTAGCATGGATCATGGTCAACGCAACGTGAAAACAGAAGCTTGTGACCGTATAGATGGTGAAGAAAACGACAACAACAACAGTACCAATGGTTGTTCGACACCAGTAAAGGCGGTGACACCACTAACAACAACGACTGTTGAAGACGACAAAGATGGCTATTTAATATCTGATGCGGATGCTTTAACGTTGGATAACTTTCGTGCATGTTGGAAGCAAGGCAAGCCCGTAATGGTGAAAAACGTTATGGACGACGCCAGCAGAGTATTGTGGTCTCCAGAGACTTTTATCGAAAAGCACGGTGATTCAAAAACCGAAGTCATTGACTGCAGAACTGGATATAAAGACGAATCTACGGTGGAACGGTACTTTAAGGCCTACAATGACCCGACACTACGTTCAGGATATGACACTGGTAATCCAGAGGTGTTGAAAATCAAGGTAGATAATTTTTATTTTGTTGACGACAAAGCATTCCACAGAAAAAAGTTTTCGCAGAAGAAATTAATTCGTGGTTTTTCTTTAAACGAGTTTAGGACTGGCCACCCAAAGAAAACTTTAGTGAACAATTCCCAGACCTATACCAAGATTTCATGCGCATCTTACCTATAAAAGAGTACTGTACCGTGGACGGGGTTTTCAACTTATCGAATCGACTCCCCAAAGAACTATTACCGCCAGATTTGGGGCCGAAAATGTTCATTGCATTTGGTTCAGACCAAGGCGAACAGGGCGTGGGCACAACCAAATTACACTGTGATATGGCCGATGCTGTCAACGTCATGTGTCATGCCAACAACACCAACGGCGACAGGAACCATAGTGCAGCTGTCTGGGACATTTTCCCCTACGAATCCTTGATGACAGTACGTGCCTTTGTGGGGAAAATTGCAAATGAAAACCAAGTCAAACTTCGAGGCGATCCTATCCATGACCAATGGCTCTACTTGAACGATTCTTTGCTGGAACGATTGGAAAAAGAGCATGGCGTGAAAGGTTGGCGACTCCACCAGAATCCAGGCGATGCCGTGTTTATCCCTGCTGGTTGTGCACATCAAGTTTCAAACTATCACAGTGCTATCAAATGTGCCTATGACTTTGTCAGTCCGGAGAATGTGGTGCGTTGTTTGGATATAACCAGTCAATTTGGCCGCGTTCGACGTGAAGATGCTCTTCAGCTCAAAAATACACTGCTGTTCGCATGGTCTGATCTTTTTAATTGATTGAAGAATGTGGGTCATCATCCATTTATATATATCCTCCCCACCTTCTAGCTTGCCATCTGAGCTCACAAAGAACCATTTTTATCTCTTCTTGTGTCTCTTTTCTTTTTTTCCTAATCTTGCATTGTAATCTTGTTGTGTTGTCGACTCTCTCCCCCCTCCCACACATACTATGTAACTCGTATATTTATTTATTGATATCCAATTCATCACCTAGTAAAATCATGTACAAAATTTGCTATAAGATATGTCGAGCAAATCCTTCTCACTGCTGTTCTATGTATGTTTTTTTATACATATGATATACTATCATCTTCTTTATTATTAAAATCTTTAAAAGTTAGCTGAAAAATCCAAAAAAGGAAACTCTCATCCATGTAAATTCACAGACAGAAAAAGAGAAAGTAAATACTTACGCAAAGCATTCCCCAAATTCATGGGGGACCTCGGCCGCACTTTTTACCCGTGGGCGCGGGGAAATTGTAGATGAAGCAGGACTTACGCCCGGAGGCTGCCTGAGTAAAAAAACAGCCGTTCGCGTGAAACGATGCAACATCCGAAGATGGGTCGAGACAGAGGCTACTAGGAACTGTGAAAGAAAGCAAAGGGGGAGGGGAGGGGGATAAACTATATAAAGAACGCAATAGACGCTTTTAACGACTTCCTGGGTCAGAGCAAGGGGAAGGGGGGAAGGGGGATAAAATATACAAATAAGCAATAAGAAGATGAGGCTTTTAACGACTTCCTCAGGTCCAAGTCAAAGCAAAAAGCACACGCCACCGTCCAGATGGATGGATATATCTTGACCACTGCCGATGGACTACTTGACAGGTCGGCTTCTAGGAGCGGGATGACAGTGGAGCATCAATCTTGACTAGCATGGAGGTGTCTGTGCACTATCGCCATTCCAAGAAACAAAAGAGACGAATAGTTAATGGGAAACTGTCAAACCACACACACAAGATTCTATCGTGCTATACTTACCCATACTTCTACGATGAGACACAGGATAACCGAACACCCAGCCAGTGTAGAGCAGAGAATCACAGCCAGAACAGAAACACTTCTTCTAGCTGGATAAAAAAAAGATTATTAGAGGGCTGCACCCACTGTGCTATCTTTGTTTTTTGACACGGCATTACCATCCTCCTCCATCCCAAGCTGGATCCAGCTATACTTACATTTGTTTGTCGTTTTACAGCAAAGTTATACACAGAGAGAGATGGGGTCTAAGCCAATCCAAGTCCAAACAGATCACCGCAGAGCCATACTCTATTAAAAAAAAAAGAAAACATCTATGAGCAGCTGCATACACTTTTTGACATGTCACGGCACACATCTTCCTGGTTCTTCAAACACGCAAAGACAAACACAAGCACAGCGATACTTACTATTATGACATCCTTGGCTTGGAGGAAGAGAGCCTTGAGTTAGAGAGAGGAAAAGCAAGAAGGGGATGACCAATTCTGAAAAAAGAATAAGAGAAGAAAGGGGAGGAGAGAAAGAAAACTTTTTTGAGAGACTGCCATATTGCATACGTCATGGTCAGGAGCCCTTTCCCGTCACGCTGCTGTACACACTGCACACCTTTGACGCGTCATCCCCAACACCCATGTCATCCTACTCACCTATCATACCAATGTTCAAGTCCCCTTTTGCTTATACTTACTATCTGTTATTTGTCCGCAGGACACAATTAAACCAACCAGCATAAAGCGAAACCTGAAGTAGAATGAAAAGAAGAAAGATCATGAGCAGGCTGTTCTTAATATGCAACTATTCCTGACACGTCATGGCATCAGCACCTCCAACAGACACTCGACTTCTCTCCAACTCATCCTCACATTTCATTCCCTACCGTACTTACAGTTGTTGCTTATGTTCAAGGGTGGGATGCAAACACCAAACCGAACCAACCATTTCAAAAAGTCAGAATCCTACAGTAGTAGCAGAGAAGAAAGGAGGATAACATTAGCGACTGTATGCTGTACACACACTTCTTTAGACACGTCGAAATTCATATCTTCTTTCGTATATCACATCCACATGCAAAACCTCAAAGTACACTTCACACTTTCCATATTGTACTTACTCTTGCATTTGTGCTTTGAGAGCCAACGTGAAGGGGAGAAGGACCAGGTTAAGACGAGAAGAAGGTCTGTGTCAAAAAAGAAAGAAAGTGAGATAAACGGATCTTAAAGAAATCACTGTATACTCACAACCGGTTGCATACACTCTTCTCACTCACCACCATAAACATACACTCTCCGATCCTCTAATTCGTTCCAATGACACTCACCTTGAATAGCTTTGGTTTAGAAAAGTTGACGAAGAGGAAGAAGAGTGGCATGATTGCTGCGGATGCGCGGTTACATAGTAGAATGAACACATATGCTACCCGGCATTTGAGCCAGTTCATTCTATCCAATCAGATTGCTCTCTCATGGTTATGACGCGCCGAGGTGTGTGGCTCCTCCAGGTCAGAAACTTTGCTTTACAGTGAATGTATGTCATTGTGAGTAGACGGGTATCGCATTGAGGAAAGACTCAAAGGATAACCGTCATTAACACGATATGAAGCTCACTTTAAATCCTTCATCATCTGAGAAGCGTCATCGCTACAAACACGCTGAATACAAGTATCAACGTATTCACTACACTATGTATACAGGAGTATCTAAGATCTCATGAGACATGACGATCCCGCACTTGCCGATGTTCCATTTGATAAGAAATCATGGTCTTTGGTGTTGCCTTTCGCCAGGTATACAACATTGTATCCTCTCTTCTACTTTGCATCCTTTTACTATCGAGCGGTAGTACTTACACCAAAGTATCTGCATCAAACCTGTTGATAGGTCCTTCCTATGATATCATACCAAATGCATCGCGCTCGCAAATCGTACAGTAGTATCTAAATCGTTCATCAATTTGGCCCAGTGTCACCGTCCACCGCCTTGAAACCAACATGCGCGTCCAACAACCTGCCAACACCAATGACACAAACGAGCATGGCCAGTTTCTACAGTATTTACTTTGCATCGGTGATGGTGCTGAGCTGTAGGTGCCAACCACTGATGACAGAGTCCGGCTACCAGATCGGATGCTCATGCCACATTACAACACGTACGAGCTTATAGAAGCCATTTACGGCGACCTGAACGCATCACACGTAGATCGCGATTACCTCATCAGTCGCTCCATCTTGACTCCCAAGAATGTCTATGTTACAGCAATTGATAATTTGGTACTCGACCATTTCCCAGGCACTGTTCACGAATTCCAGAGCGCAGATACCGTGGATGATCCTGAAGAGCAAATAACGTACCCACCAGAGCTGCTCAATTCCATGAATCCATCCGACCTCCCTCCGCATTTGCTAAAACTCAAAGTCGGTTGCCCAGTCATGCTTTTGAGAAACTTGCACACCCAAAGTGGTCTCTGCAATGGGACACGGCTGATTGTACGCTCTTTCCAGCGATATGTATTTGAAGCTGAAATAGCCACTGGGCCTCATGCCGGTAACATCGTCTTGATCCCTCGCATAACTCTCACACCTTCACAAACACGTTCCCCCATTCTATTTAAACGCACACAATTCCCTGTTCGCCTGGCATTTGCAATGACCATCAATAAGGCACAGGGTCAAACTTTTAACACTGTTGGCCTCTACTTACCTGAACCTCCTTTCACGCATGGTCTACTCTATGTAGCCATGTCACGCGTCCGCACCCCTTCATCCATCAGAATCATGTTAGATCCCGAGAACTCAAGTATCGCAGGTCAGCAAGGCCAAAGCACAAGAAATGTTGTTTTTCACGAAGTTCTTCTATAATTCTTTTTGTCACCTACTCTATTTTTACAACGCCCATTCTCTTTTTCTACATCGCCTATTCTCTTTTTTTATATTGCCTATTCTCTTTTTTTATATTGCCTGTTCTCTTTTTTTCTCGCCCATTCTCTTTTAATCAATATCACTACATCATCTTTGTCAACACTTCTTTTCGCATTGCATTCTAAACTGGAGATAGTTAAGTATCCAACTTTGACGACTTTCTATGATAGACTACTTCGCACTGCACAATGATCTTGCTTTTGTTTTTGAAAACAGACAATTAGCATCTAATACCAAAACATTGATCCAACCTCGCTTGACAGGGGGGTTTGGGGGGCTTGCCCCCCACTTGGGGGTCAAGGGGGGAACCCCCCTGCGACGCGTTTCCGTTGAATGACACGGAGCGAAGCAGAGGGGCTCATTCATCCGAGCGAAGCGAGGAAGGACCGCTAGTCTATATTATTAAAATCTTTAAAAGTTAGCTGAAAAATCCAAAAAAGGAAACTCTCATCCATGTAAATTCACAGACAGAAAAAGAGAAAGTAAATACTTACGCAAAGCATTCCCCAAATTCATGGGGGACCTCGGCCGCACTTTTGACCCGTGGGCGCGGGGAAATTGTAGATGAAGCAGGACTTACGCCCGGAGGCTGCCTGAGTAAAAAAACAGCCGTTCGCGTGAAACGATGCAACATCCGAAGATGGGTCGAGACAGAGGCTACTAGGAACTGTGAAAGAAAGCAAAGGAGAAGGGGAGGGGGATAAACTATATTAAGAACGCAATAGACGTTTTTAAAGACTTCCTGGGTCAGAGCAAGGGGAAGGGGAGGGGAGGATATTTATAAGAATGCAATAAGAATATGAGGCTTTTAAGGACTTCCTCAGGTCCAAGTCAAAGCAAAAAGCACACGCCACCGTCCAGATGGATGGATAGATCTTGACCACAGCTTGGCAGATTGGCTTCTTGCAGCAGTTTAGTCACTTGAATGGCATTATGGACCTGAGACAGGTTCTTGACAGGATGAGAATAAGCTTGATCTTCTTCCAGCAGCAGCAGCAGCAGCAATCCAGCCTTCGCCGCTTCTAGCATGATATGACGGACATTTGTACCCACAGTATCGACAGCACAACCAAAGCACGGTCATGTTGTAAGAGTACATATACTGAGAAAGAAAGAACCATGAGCGAACTACATACACCAAGTGCTTCTTTTGACATTCCATGGCCACCTTCCATTTCACTCGCTGAACAAACCCAAACATCTTCTTTCTGCTCAAATACTTACAAGCAGCCACAGCAGACTGGCCAATTACACGGAGAGCACAACAGCCGCAGCAGCAAGTGACATGGCATGACACGCATTGTTTCTTGATGGATAGATGTCAAACGAGAAGTAGCACCTGGAGGACACATCAGTGGCGGCAAGCAGGAGTGAATCTTATAGTATTGAAAGAAAGAGTAAATTCATTAAAGATAAAGTTGAAAGAAGAAAGCAGGCATGGCAAGTGTCTACGCCAATGTGCAAACCCTTTTTATGTCTTTTTGTTGCTGACGAATGGGTTAATGACGTGTCCTCGCTCCGGCCAGGTACAACACGATAAAGAAGCGAGACTGCAGAAATAGATTTCGGATTACAATGGCCTTTTGTACAAAGTCGTATCGTTGCAGTTGGGCTGGTATTGATACCGTTTGAATGCTATGGGTCTGCTCTTCAACGCTCATATTTTTGTTTTCTGTTCACAACACGCAAAGCATCCTCAAACGATAAACAAAAACATTAGGTTGGTACGGCTCGCCAGAAGCAAAACTGTCATCCATGCATAGCCAACCCAGCATATATTTTTTCTTATCTTCTGATTGGCAGAGCAATACACGTACGAGTGCAGAAGACGTGAGACCGCAGAAATTGGTTTTAGATAACAAGAATCAGGACCGTTCGAGATAGATAAAGGGAATCATTGTCACGGATCAAGCGCATCGATTTTTCCCGATCAGATCAATGTGCTTTTCTTGATGTGCTATACTCTGTTAATGGCATGATGACTCAAATATCCGCTTGTTTTTGTTTCATTTCGTTATGATTCGGTTTCTCTGCTGTTGTTTTGTGATGTTAGCGCACTTCTGCCCATCTTTTTATAGAATGGCAAAAGTAAGTTGTTTTACAGAAAGCGAATCAGTTATCTTGCTATTGGCCACATATACCGAACACTAAGTTGTAGATTGGTAAGTGTGCACCGGGTACCAAGTGCCAGCCTTTAATAGTCCATTGACTTGCGGGTTCCGCCTTATTCATAGCTGCCTATGGATGACAAAATTCTTCGCAATTCAACACTTTTGTTCTCATCATACCAAGAAAGCTTGATAAAGCATACTCGTTATGCAGGTGCATAGTAGAACATAAAAAGACGCAGACACATCGACTCAAGAAATTTCTTTTATAATCGAGGCAAATGATGGATAGCAATTGTAGCTATAAGAACTAATCGAAATGCTAAAGGAAAAAAAATAAAAACATAAGCCTATCATAATATAATCCACAATAGCGCCTTCTTGCCGTCTAAAGTGCTGATGGCAAGGAAATATAATCCACAGTTGAAAGTCGAGTTATATTATGATGCATTTACTTCGCATAAACTGAAAAAAAGGTGCTTTAATCAATGCATGGTTTTACAACGGTCGTTTAATTATCTAAACGAGCAAAGCATAAGCATTATAGTGCTACTTTAGGCTCCAGTTGTAACATGTCATATAAACCAGGCAAGTTGCTAATGAAGAGCCGTTGCTAATGAAATCGATCGATTTTGTATTTGTATTGTGTTTCTGCTGCCCCTGATATCCCGATTGCGGCCGCAGCTTGTGCATCCCTGCCTCGTGTGTTGCAACCGGCCTGGTAGGAAGGGCACCAGTGGGTGAAGCACTGCGATCCCCCGTGTATCGTTTTTATTTGCGCATCTTTCGTACACTTTTGTCGAACGACGGGGTTCAGGCAGGTGCAACACGTCTGACTTGTGTTTTTTTCATTCGTCATGACTACTGGACAATTCCTGCTGTGGATTTGTCGAAGTTTTTTGCCGCCTCTTCGCTCATGGCCACCGATTCGACTGCCCACTCCCGTTCCTTGTGTTCCGATATACATCACTGGGATGACGTCCTTGACACCACCGGAAACAAACTCACGCTCTTTCGAACAGATCTGGTCATATGAACGACTCTGCCGTAACTGGACTGTGTACTTAGCGTGATGATGCTTTTTGCTGTTGTAATACTTTTCGACGACAACCCGTTCGTTGACAGTCTCCTAAGCACATACATAGTAAAATAAAAATAGTAAGTATACGATGCAAAACAAATTGGAGTATTAAAACGGTACCTGGTAGTGTTGAGTTGTTTGGTTTTTGTCAATGGCAAGGTCTAAAGACTTTTTCGCCAGCGTTTCCTCAGCGACAAGCACCTCTTTGGGCTACCATATAAAAAAATGTCAGTATAAGCCTAATTTAATCGTAGCCAGCGCCCACAAATAAGATAGTAGTGTTACGGTGAATTTGGGGTATTCCAGGTAGTTGCGTAACGGTTTATGTGTATGTTTTGTAGTGAGCACCAGTAATAATATCGTTTATTACAGACGGGTTGTGAAGTGATATGAGTGTAAAGTAAGGTAAAAATGTGTATTGGTTATGTCCAAGGTTGTAAATAGTGGGGAGCTGCTGTCTTGATTAAGCTCAGTGAGTAGAAATGAGGATCAGGGATGTTACGTCTGTCCAAAATGAATGAGGAATAAGGATCAGGAATGTTACGTCTGTCCAAGTAAATGAGAAATAAGAGCAGGAATGTTACGTCTGGTCTTAATAGAAGAGTTTATTTAGCTTCAGTTATGAGCAATAAACAATATGTAAGATAAAACAAGCCGTGTTTAGGTCTTGAGTGATTGAAAACAACACTTGAAAAGTTAAGTCAAAAGTGGGAGGTAGAAATTCAATGTCTTTATTCAAATAAAATGAGGGGGTATTTATATCTTTCAAAATAATTCAATACATCTATAATAATTGAACATCAAAGATGATGCTCGAAGGTTGTGGAAAGTACTCGCATCCAATGGTTACGGATGTGGAATCAATTGGAAAGTCTAGGAATAATGCTATTATTAGCTATTCCTTGGCAATTTGGAAGGTGCCAGAAGTTTGTAGAGTTGTTGCTGCGTAGTTATTGGATCGCTGTGTCCTTGGCTTTATGGAAAGTGCCAGAATGTTGTAGTAATTGCGAGGCTGCTGTAGTAGAGCTCTTGTTGTTGTGTGATGTGATGTGCTTGATGTTTGTTATGCAGCTCTTTCTTGTATTCAGATTTTATTGGAGGGATAGTTCTCGGGGTATCAGTAGTTGATCCAAAAAAATGATAGCAACCTTCTTGTTGTTCTTGCACCGTGCGACAACAGCTCCTGAAGCAGTTGAGATTTCTTTGGCACGGATGTTATACGGGCGGGGCAGCTTTGGATCTAAGGAGGATAGTACTTGATTGCTTGGTATTTGTCCACCCTTGTTCGCTTTGTCAACTTGTATCGCTCCAATTACTTGAGCCTCAGTTACGCGGGATGTACAAGCCATAACTGCAATGCCATAGTCGGTTCCACTACAGTTGACTGATTTGCCGTCTTGCTCAGCTTGTCTTTTAAGAATATCGAGGTTGGTACACTGTGGCACGTCCATGCTTCGTCTATCATTCAAAGTCGGTGTGCTGGTGTAATTCTTGAGGGCTCTTGTTGAAGAAGCCACCTCGTTATCAGCCTTTTTTCCTTTTGCATCTTTGATTGCTTTTGCTGTCGTGTATTTATCCAGTCGGCATCGGTCAAGAGCAACTACAACATGTACGTAATTTGTAAAGTATATGTTCCTTTCTTGTTTTAGGTTCTTGATTTCCATCGCGAGAACTGGTTTCCTGTCCACTTCTTCAGTGCGCTTTCGTTGGCGCTTTAGGGTGGTGATCTTGTTCCATGTTTTCATGAATTTCTTCCGTTCTTAGTTTCTTGAACCAACTGCATGTTGGCTGATCATAGTCAGCTGCTTGAGATATTGATCCGCTTCTGGTATCTGGCTCGCTTCAAGAGCAATGAAAGCGTCTGCTTGCAAGCAATTTCTCTTTTTCCGGACATCGTAAGCCGAAACTGTCGGCACCGTGCTCGGCTGCAGAGTGCCAATAACTGTACAATAAGTATCATTGTTGAGGATGATTGTGTAGTTGAAATCGAGGCCCCGCGAATCGCAAATATCTCGTACATGGTCGATATCGAAGACACTGCCAAACATCTCTGCTTTTCTCGATGTAGCCTCGGTAAAGCTTGTAAAATAGACTCCAGCTTTGGTATATAGTGAAAAACCGTTCTCTCGTACACCTAACGATTCGTATAACGTAGCAGCACTGACGTGAAGTGCACCGATTTTGCCGGAGCTTCTTACTGGACTGATCGCCCTCGTAAATGATGAATAACTGGATAAACGAAGCACGATGTTGGTGATGATGATAATTGATAATTGATATATGATGGTGAAACGATTGCCCTTCGCGGGAATGTAGGGTTTAAGTAGTCCATACACCTTCATAATCCACTGTACTTCGTAAAAAGTGAGGTCGTCCTCTATAGTGAATCTTTCCCAATTTTTAATGATGTCGTTTTGAGAGTAGGTCTTGTCGTCGAGTAAAATGGCAACCAGCATGGACTTGATCCGATTGACCCTTCGCGTGGGTAAATCCTTTTCGATCTTTATTTTCTTAGGTTGGTGCTCATTGGTAGATTGATTCATCGCTCGACTGCCGGATCCCTCCGTCTCGTCTTCTTCCCAATCGTCGTCAGAGTCAGCATCTTCACCTCCAACTTCTTCTTCGCCAGGTAAACCGAGATTCAATGCAGATTCAGTCTTGGACGGAATCATTTGTTCTTCTGTAACTTTATCGGCTGTAGTGGCTTGGTTCCTTTTCTGTATTTTGTATGCTTCTTTTTGTTGTTGATAGCGATCGAATACTACCCGAGAGTGCTTGATATTAGCGCATAAGCGCTTCTGCAAAGCTAATCTGCGGCCAGGATCGCTCTCCTTGTTGATAGACTGCTGTAATTTTTTTTGAGTACTGCTAAACTTGTGAAGCAAGGAGCGATTGGGGCGTTTTTTGATCTTCTGACGCCTTTCTTTCTTTTTTGTGCTGAAGACTGTGCGATATTTGATGTATCGAGCTTCTCGGTCTGGTGCAAGATTGAATCGGCATAATTGCAGAATTAGCTTGTGCAGGGCGTATTTGAACCGTTTACCGTCCGCATACATCTGTTTGAGGTTCTTTGCAAAATTCTGCGCGGCTACCGATAAGCTTTGAGACATTCCAGGTGGTGATCTTGAAAAGGTATTTGTAGCAATAGGCCTGATTGCTTGCTGATCCCATAACTTCCATGGATTGTTTTTGTGCTCCTTGTAGTCATTTGCCAGATATACGCTCTGAATATGCTGGATGTGAGTTTGAGAGAATATATCTTTGCCGTGCGATTGATCCTTTAGCTGTTTGATAGTTGCAACCGGGAAATAATGACCAATGGCCTTGACGAAGCGTTGTTCGCGTTGAACATTCTTCGGAACCAGGTCGACGACAGACAATCCATCTTTTCCGATATCTCCCCAGCCAGCGGCAAAATCAAGCATTAGAGCGCGCACCAGAACATCTAATTGCTGTATGTTGTTACTGACGGATTTGGCAGTGGACGCCAGTAAGTTTCTGGCGTGTGTTTTGTCACCGACAGGCAAATCTTTGCGGATTATCTTGGTCAATTTAATTGGTACAGCACGATACATGGATTCATTCAGCGAAAACTGTTGATGATCGCTGCTGCTGCCTGCCTGCTGTTGATGATCGCTGCTGCTGCCTGCTTGCTGTTGATGATCGCTGCTGCTGCCTGCTTGCTGTTGATGATCGCTGATGCTGCCTGCTTGCTGACGATCTCTTCCACCCGACAAACACTCTTCCACCAGAGTGCTCCAACTTTCCAACTGCTTTTTGTAGATGGCGAGGTTTTTGTTTTTGTTCTTTGGCGATGCATAATGTTTATAAGCTGTTTGCGCATCGTATCCACCAAGTATATCAATCTTATCGTTCAGACCTCGGGGCAGTCTTTTCGTATCACGTAATTCCTCTCCTTTTGATTCTAGCTTTTGACGCATTTTTGTGGTTTTAGTGCTATCCCGTTTCTTCGGTTCGTTTTTTCTAATGATCGCATAGATAATCTCTTGCAGATACACTTTGCATGCCGTTGCGCATGTTGCGTCGATCAGTTTCGCGTTTGGCAATTCTGCCTTTGTTCGGCGCTTGTGTTTCGGATCATCATCATGTTTCCTTGTTGGTAGCTTGATGTCGCTAACGCGGATCTATTACAAATTCGAAAAAAAGGGTGAAAATAAACATCTATCCCTTTTAAAATGATTTCTCAAGGGTTGATCGATACCTTCTCTTGCTCACCGATCTGTCTTGCTACTTTATGTTTAGTCATAGCAAACGGATTCACTTTAAAAAGAGTGAAAACGAAAAGAGAACCACGCTTTTTTTTGTTTTGAGAGTGACTGTGCTGTGATCGATAGGGATTATTGTAATAGGCCCTTTAAAAAGACTGTCACACTGTGTCAAAATACAACGATACATATATCAGAGACGAAGGGGGATAGATACATGAATGATAGATGCTAAACAGAAACGACTAATACATACCTCAATCTAGGAGGAGGACAGAGATACAACGACCGCAGAGCAGAGATACAACGTCTGAACGACCAGTGGTAACGTCTGAGAACAGGGATATGGGAGTACAAAAGCAGATCAAAACTTTTATAATAATCGACCGTTAATGACCATTACGAGGCTATTGAACCAAGAAACCCTTCTTGCCATCACATACAATTCGAAACCGATGATGAGAAACGACTTGAGAAAATCCGCACCAAGAGATAGAGGTGCAGGGAAGAAAGAGATTGTTTTTTGTTGATAATTCGTAAACTAGATAAATAGCGGGTTGGGTGGTTTTGTGATGAAGAGAGACAATAATGGTCCGTCAGACCAACGTCATATAATTTTCCACCTTCTACAGGATTTGGTGTGACTTAATAGCTAGACTTTTCCAGATAGAAACTACCAGAATGTACGCGACAGCCAATACTGCAACAACTAGAACACCAACTACAACGCCCACTACTAAGCTAAATCAATTGCTAAGGTCAAAGCACAATTGTCAAGGTTAACGACCATTTCATCAAAACATTGTAATATAGGTGCTAGAAAGTTATATAAGAAAAGCAGCTTTATTACTGTATATAGTAAAAAATTAGCATCATACAACATGTAAGATGTAGCTTCGGAGTGTATGATACGGAATACAAGAATAGACAGAAATGTGAACTAGGTGATGATAACTATCATATATGAGATAATCTTTATTTAATATGTCAAGAGAGTGGATTATATAGTTTTACACAATATTAACAACAGGCGATTATGTTCTTATTCTTTAAACATGTTATTATTTTTATGTAGGAAAATGGCATGATGATTTATATAAGAGAATGGTTTTGATGATTCTTCTTGATTTGAATCCGACAGGTCAGCTGATTGCTGACACTTACACAACATCAATCACTATAAAATCTTTTCATACAATCTGGCAATATTAGGTCGAGTAAGTCATGGTAATAAGTAGCAGTAGCGATCATTGGGTGTAATTTCATCGTCGCACAGTTTCGTCATCACGACCTGCCACTCATAACACCAAACAGATCATTATTAGATATGCTACCTTAGGGGGGAGGCAATCAATCAGAAAAAAATTGATGCGCCTTTTTGTTGTTCACACGGCGAGAAGATACTTTACAGTATAACCATCTTGTAACTGGATCAAAACCGACAATCCGCGGTGAAGTGTTCACAATGTATAGCTAGTTAGAAACAATAGCAAGTATTTGAAACAGATACTGTAAAGTATCTTATTACGGTTGAGTCGATTAGCTGTTTATTATAATGTAGTATACGTAGTTTAACCACGGTTTACGAGAAGTTCTCATATGATTAAACGGTCGATAGGTGTAGACCGGGCCGGATTCCATCCTTTTTTTTACATTGCAATATACGGCATACTAATACCTCTGTTGGTGAAGAGAGTTCGATGAAGAACATACTAGTGATGTCTTCGGACTGATGACTTTTGCGTATGGATGTTTCAGTTGCGCCACTTTAAAAGTATAATCATTGGCTATGCAAAATAATTATCATAACCATATGGAGATGTCGAGAGGGCCTGACACATGGGTAGTAGCGTACTACAACTACATGATGGAATTTACTACAGTAGATGCAAAACACTATTTTTTTCGGAGCCCGTTTGTCAGCATTATTGTTTTTCTGCAGCGTCAGAGTAGGGAGTTCATGTTAAAGATGCGTGTTTGGTAGGGCGAATCCACAGCTATCCATACTACAATACCCTCATCACTGTTGAAATTAATAGGTTCCCATTAAGTGTAGTAATAACCGGATAGTTCTTAGTATCCACAGGAGTTACACCGTCATTTTTATTCAACTACTGTTGTCGTGTTTTCTGAAACTTCGAGCAGCAGTTGACCTTCGTCGTCAGAATCACGTGTGGTCACTGACCGTGTTGTTGTAACGATTCGCGGACGCGGTGCGTGATAAACGCTGCTTCGCAGTAGTCAATTCTTCATTTGCTGTACGAAAGCAATGTTGTCAATGTTTTTTGCAAGCTTTGAAGTTCTGTGAATGATGGCGTTGGTGTCTTTAAATGTATACAATGTTGCATTATTAGTAATAGCAACAAATCATCGTTTCTGATGAGGCGTCGTATTAGATAGAACACTCTGCAAACCGTCTTTAATAAGAAATTGCTACTCGAGAGAAGAAGCCACTTTAGCTTCAGGAACAGCTTCCCATCTGGACTGGTAACAACAAGTTACGTTTAATTCGCAATGGAAACGCTATAGATGATGGACCATTTAACATTTGAAGATAAAGAAGTGCTGTTCATCATAAGGCAAGAAGTCCTACAGTACTGGACGGTTATACTACATAACCTCCTGCATATTGCACTTTTTACATTTATCTATGATGCATTTCACCTTAAACCGACAAACTTTTATTTTGTTGCAATTCATATTTCAGGTCCTGATTCCAAAAATGGCTTAGACCTGGTACCGTACATAGCACTGACGCATTGTACACTTGGATAATGTTTTACTTAAACGCCGTGTAAA